ACCGGGTCCACAATGCGCAGATTGTCTGTCGAGATAAGCCAAAGTGACTGGCCACATCTTGCCGAGTGCTGCAGCTTGTAATGTGCCAATGGCGTGGTTACGTTGAGCTGTATTCAGTCTTTGCATTCTGTAATTGCGCCTACTGGCATTATAAGGTCTGTATTGTCGTAACTGGTGATTGGGCGTTAGTAAACCCTCTACTGTTACAGTTACCTACTAAGTATTGCCGTTCCACGTGGTCAGGGGAGATTATAGCTCAGGCACTCCACTCGCTTGGTCCGTTGCAGGATCAGGGCCCTGTTCCTGAAAGCGATCGTACTTTAACACAGACTTACGACTGTCGTAGCGCTACGATCGCTTTGAGGAACGGGGTCCTGGAGTCTAGGGCCTAGATTTTCGAAGCTCTCTTAGCGCTAAGATAGTCGTAAATTGATGTTAATGTATGGCACTTACGACGATCTTAGCGCTAAGAGAGCTTCGAAAATCTAGGCCCAGGTTCCACTCAACACAAGCGTTTATAACTTTCTGGAAAGATGCATATCAGTTAGTTAAGATCATTTCTTCCTACTGTAATAGGTGAATTATAGTCCTCAAACATTATGGAGCAGCTCTCCCGTTACCTCTGACATAATCCATATCTCAGGCAGCATCCTGTCCATCATGTCAAAGCTTATCCTCTCAGTCTTTGCAACCTGGCACGTGCAGACAAATGAGACATTTCCTTGTACCTGGTGTTAATTTCTACACGTTATATTTCATACTGTAATAGAGGCCAACAACCTATCAACGACCAGTCATTTGTCAGTGGTATAAACACTTCATACTATACAATGGTTTAGTGAGAACTGAGTGACGTGGATTGGCTTCCGAGAATGTAGAACGAGTTACTACTCGTACTGAGCTCCTAGTGCCAAACATGTCTTTTTAAATGGTTCGAGCCTGACCTGATCTTTGATCACATTCCTTTGATTCGTTAACAACTGTATCTGACCTTGCACGCATGTGTGTCATAATTGGATTGATTTGTTACGCATGTGTTTCGTAATCTTCCTCTGACGACCTTGCCTTGTCCTTGTCTCACGAAAGCTGTGGCAAAGAGCTCGTCTCCATGTTTATCTATTTCTTATTCCCGACTTTCTTTCGCCTCTCCTTATCGATCTCCCTGTAACACTCGCTATTCTGTCTCCATTCCGTGTTTAACCGTTCTCAGTTTCATCACATTTTATTTAATACTTTTGAATATTTTGAGAAAAGTGGTTTTAGACCTATGTCATGTTTCTTTTTTTGAAGGGTATATATTGTTATGAGAGTGTGTTTTGTGAAGATGTCACACTGATTAACATTTCATTATTATGGGTCACAAAAGTTTAAAGCGCTGAGGGTGAGTTGAACACGCATCTTGGCGAGGCTACGTTATTCATCCTGTTGTAAATGGGCTGAGGAGGTGCTGCCCCTTTGTTGATGTTTGGTGATATACTGCTTCCGAAAGGATCGAGACGCGATTCGATCTTTGTCTTCTGTCGTCGGTTTGGCTGGATTTCTCCAGAACTGTATATTGTTGGTTTCTGCGATATTCGAGGAGGACTGCATCCGTCTGCTTACATCGTCTAACCTCGTCAACTCAATCTTCAATTAGAACATCGACAAGAAACAAGACTGCGGTAATTATATACATTTAGTTAATAGTTTAGATTTGTGATTCAATAGTTTAGATTTGTGACTCCATAATATTGCATTGGAAATCTGTATTGTCATTCATTGTGACCCTAATAAATATATTATTAAACATTTTAGACTTGTCTGTGTTCTATTTTGCTGGTTCAAAGGGGACTCACAAACCTTTCTAAACCGTAACAATATATCCTCTCTGCTCATTCATCACAAGCTGATTGGATATGTATGGAGTGTATCTGTTTTTTGAGTGTTTAGTTCCGGACCTTTCTCTTACGTACACCTATACAACATATAAACGAAAAGCAAGATTTATGGATGTCAACTTCTTTATTGTGAATAACACGACGTTTCGGAGTGTATGCTTACTCCTTCATCTGGTGAATCACATATAAACGGTTACATTTGGTTTTAGTACTGTAGTACTTCGCTGGTCTTAGGAAGGGGTATGTAAATAGAAGCAAAAAATACCTCGTTATCATTAATCAACACAATTCCAACAAGCAAAGTCCGCTGTACAATTCCGACTATATCCTGGTCATATGAATCACTGCAATCTAGTGATGGTACTACTGTGTGGCATCCATCATAGACACATGCAAATCCAGTGCTACTGGTCACACGACTAATTGCATAGGACATGAATTTGGAAACCTTCTTCATATGTCCGGCACTAAAACTTTTGAAACCTTTACACAAGACTTAAATGTAGAAACCCTGATCAAACCAAATCTTTGGAACAACATATTTTAATTTGAAAGAACTGATGAGTCTCATCAAATGTATTTCAAGATTTGATTACACTCAGGTGTGGCTGCACGTGTGTAGTCAGACATCAGGAGGTGACAAACGGGATCGGTTTGTCATGTTCGCTGACTTGTGTGATGCATGTTAACATGACCCAGTAGCGTTGATCGATAAATAAGTTTAGTTATCTCCCGTATATATCTACAAGTGATACATCCCTTTTGATACTCATTAATGACTATTGGAATTATTGGTTTAATTCTGTTAGCGATTAATGCTGATGCAACTTTAAATGAGGTATTTAGTAGAGTAATAGGACGCCAAGATTTGAGAAACTGTATAAGCTTATTGGCTTTTTGTAAACATGTAGTTCATAGCATAGTTCAAGGAGTTAATTAAATATGTGTTTAGATCATTCCAAAAGAATTTTAAAAATTCAGTAGTGAACTCATCACCCACGTGGGTGGTCATCACCCACTTCTCGAAGGAGCTGTCCAACGCTTACCGTATGTTGCAGCAGACACGCCGATGGCACTGGAAGTCCGTGATGTCAATGGGTTGCTGCTTGTGCTAGTGTTACTCATTACAGTGTATTACACAGTTACCATCATTGCTGTTTCTTCGTAGGAACCCGTGAAGTTCCGGGTTAGAATTAGTCTTCAGCAACCAATGCTTGTCGTAAGAGGCGACTAACGGGATCATAGCCCAGATTCCAGATTGTGTTCCAAATGTTCCAATTCTATGCACTCCGGGATCAGATGGTCAGGCTCGCTGACTTGGTGGATGCATGTCATCGTACCCAAGTAGATTCATGCTCATCGTATCAACCACTGGCTTGGCTTGTCCAGACGTGATTATTTCCAAACCACCGCCATATAGCTGAAATACTTTGATTGGCGGCAGAACAGTCTACCAAAGGAACTTGGAAAAAAAGGGAATAACATACTTGAGAAATATAGTAAATGTGGACGGCAATATACTGTAGATCAATTTCCGTATATAATGCTTCAAGCTTTGAAACATATAGCTCAGGCCTACCATACAAACGGTGAACAAATCATCAAAACTGAACTCATATACACCAAAACAGAACAAAATTCATCAAAACTGCAAAACAATATCCTCTAAAACCGAAACAATACATCTGTAATGGAAGACTAATCGTTTGAAATGGAAACAAAACTTGCGTATCAGCTACAAGAGAGCGCGAGAACGGTTGCCGAGCGTACAAACGACATTCATAGCATCCCAAAACGGCAGTCATAGCATCCCGAAACGGCATACAAATCGTCAAAGATGGCGGCGAGGGGAGACGAATAGGCATTGGTACATAATGTTTTTCGTCACTTTGAGTCTAATCTTGAATATTTGATATCGGGATGTTAATCCAGAACCATTCGATAAGTATATCTGTTATCAGATATATTTTACAGGGGTTTCATCCAGTGTAAATGAATCAGTTACAGATATCATTGCTCTCCACAGTACACCTCTATTGAATTTCAGCAGAAACCATAGTGAACTGTGACTGCCTGGTCTATGTGAAGGCTTTGTTGGGTCTTGAATCAATGAGCAGTGCGTTTTCTAACATGATTAGGCTTCATGCTTGTAAGCTTTTCGGATGGTTCATTTGGTGCTATAAAACACACAGAAGGTAAATGTATGCTTTGCATGGCGATGGCGCTCAGAAAAGGCAGGATGTAAGAATTGGTGATACCGCTTCTACTGTTGGTAGTTGTTAATAAGTTCGTTTTCGATGCTATGCTAGTTTTCGATACTCCGATTACGTGTGCCGATGATATAGATATTTCGACTTTGATAAGCTGATCAGAAAGTTCACTTGATGCGTCCTTTAAAGGTGTCCTCAGATCAGAGAGGTATCGAATCGCTGTGTGTTGATCAATTTTAACAATACTTTGTTGGATTTAGGGACTTATTTAACGAATCCTTCTAGAGCATTATAGTTACATCATGGCATTCCAGCTGAATGTTGACAGAAAGAGTAGTCAATGTCTTAGACGTTTGCCCCTTTGCTGAAACTCACGAGCACTGGCGCTGGCAAACATAGAAAGAGTTAGTGAGTGAGTTTAGTTTTCGGCCACTTTTAGCAATATTCCAGCGATATCCAGCAATATTCCAGCGATGCCATGTGGGAATCGAACCCGGTTCTTCGGCGTGACGAGCGGAGGCTTAAACCACTAGGCTACTCCACCACCCCCATGGAAAGACAATGGAGACGAACCGGTATTCGAACCATAAGGTTTCCAGCGTGATCAAGGGACGCAACTCTTCACAACAAACACCTCAGACCACTCGATCACCCACTTAGTTTGACACATTCGTGATATAATTATATCAGAATTGTTTCAGACCTACAAACAAACCTAAAAAGAACAACTTCTTAACTGAACATTTAATCGACCTGCACCATCAGCGCAGTCGCCAACAACCGCATGAAATGATCGAGTCACGAGTACAGATGTTTGACTTTACGAAGTTCAATGACACACACAATCAACTCCTCATTCACGTCATATGAAGGGAGAGGTTAGGCTAGGTCTTCCCTTATCTGCATGCGAGACCCGAGGGAACCCACCATATGGTCGCCCCTCTGTGCTCCTATCTCAGATAGCACAATAGCCACCGGCGGAAATATCTGCCCTTTCGTAAAAAGATCCTGCGACATGGTAGGTGTGTGTAAAATATGAAGGTATAGTTATGTCGTATAAAAGATAAACTAATCCACTCGATGATTCGATTCGATTTATAAAACAGACATTTTAAGATTTTAACATTTTTTTACAAAATGGTCTCATGTCCTTTGGCGAAATAGTTAATCGTCCCACGTTGGATGAGGAATTCCGCTCCCTCCGCTGTGTCACGAAGGTCCTTTGGGTTGAAGTTTTCATTACGATTTGTGCATGATGGTAAATGTACACCTTCAGTGCCAGGAAAACACCAAGCTCGGTCATCTAAACATAACAGTGACACAAATCATGAACAAGGCCAAAGTTTTCAGTCTACCAATATATGGATGTGATATTATTTGTACCTTGACAGCATTATTTTAACCATTCCACTGAGGAATATGATGGGGGTTAATCCCAGTAGATGATGTCGCACCTGTAGATGGTTGTAACAGCATTATGTCTTAGTTGGACGCTGTTCATATAGGAACTACTTATACATTAGTGTGGTCCAACAGCTCACTCCATCCACGAGCAATCAATGTAGAGTATGTCTATATGAGTGAAATAATCTTGAACGCGTTGTTTAACGAGATTTTACCCCACTTCACCTGTTTATTACATCACCCCTACATTTCCAGTTCACGTAGATGCATGCATGCCTACCTCCCTGCCTGTCTGTGTTCTGTGTGTCTGTGTGCGTGCGTATCTGTGAGCCCGAGTATGTATATGTGTATGAGTGTGTGTGTGGTGCGTGTGCGTGTGCGTGTGCGTGTGCGTGTGCGTGTGCGTGTATGTATTAGTGCCCTTAGCGTTAATCTTTATACCTATTTTTTCAGATGCTGAAACTCGGTCTACTATTAGCATGTTTGATGCCCATAAGTCTTTGTCAGAACAAGTAAGCGACCAAGAACTAGATCGCTATGTCTTTTGACTATTTATTTTTCAAATGTCAACTCACAACTACAAATTAAATGTGTTTAAGTAGTTAGAAATAATTTCTTTAAAGGAAATATACCATCTGATTGGACAGGAATTCAGAGCATAACTGTCTCATTGCTTTTTGTTACATCTCGCGTCCGCGGTTCGATAATCAGGATAAATGATTTTACGGAATGTGTGTCTTTATTCGTCCCCCCAAAAACAAACAGATCACCTTTTTATTCACAGATTCATTCGGTAGACATATGGTTGTTCGTGTATTATGGAATGAAATTACAATAATAAGATTGGTTATATAGAAGAAATGCGGATATAAAAACTGATGACTGACGTTGTGTTGGTCTTTACAGAGACCTGGACATGTTTGGGTTGATCAATATGCTGTATTTAAAAGCTGACAAGAACCTCGATGGCACCATTACACAGACCGAGCTTGATGACATATTCAAGGGGTTCGATGCTAATGGTAAGTACATGCCCAGCTGGACCCATTGGAAGCAGCGTCAGTTGTTTCACCCTTTAATGATAGCCTAGTGGTTAAAGCGTTCGCTCTTCACGCCAAAGACCAGGGTTCGATTCCCAACATGGGTGCAATGTGTGAAGCCGATTTCCCTGTATACCCCGCCTTGATATTGCTGGAATATTGCTTAAAGCAGCTTAAAACTAAACTCACTCACTCATTCTATTTAATGACGCTGCACTTGACTGGATCTACGCTACAAACACGTACCGAAACGTCTCATTGACAGAACGAAACAACTTGAAATCTATGAGTAATCTCTGTCCTCCTAATCACTGTTACCGCAGGTTCTTAAATGCCACATTTGAGGTCGCTCATGAATCTTTATCTGCATGTTTCAAACATCTTCAGTGTTTTACGCAAAGTGACAGTCCCGTTAAAACATCTACTCGTTCTTTATTCAGTAGGAAATGTTGCCGTGTACAAGGACATGTTTAAGTATGACGGGTGGCCCAGTTGTGTTGCAGAATTGTGTGACTATGTAGAGATGCGCCCCTTTGACACGAAAGGAAGCTGTGATTGTGCTACAATCCATAGGTTTGTGAGCACCCATTCTGGTGGGTGTCACCAAATGGGTAAACATCTAACAGTGCCCCACATCAACGTCACACGCCGTGACAAACCTTCAATTCTGTTTAAAGCGGCGTAAAAACTCACTCCTTCACTCACACACTGGAATACCTTAGGTTTTAAGAACCATTGCCCTTATCTGACATTGGTTTCCTTGATACTAATTTGACTTTGACCTTTGAGGTGACGGCAAAGTAACGCCTGCTGAATTTGTACCCACGTGGATGGTCATCACCCACTTCTCGAAGGAGCTGGCCAACGCTTACTTCCTCCTTGCTGACCTTAACGCTGACGGTGTCATCAACCACAAGGACCTCACCATACTCTATAGCAGATTCGACATCGATGGTGCGTTCATCAATTCCTTGCCTTAATCTAGTGGTGGATTTTGTTGTTTGTCGTTTAACGCCACACGCAGCAGTATTCCAGCTTCATGACAATCCAGTCATCAGCATCTGTGTCTGCAGCTAGGATACGACGACATCAGCTGAACCAGACCACACCGTCGTAGAGGAAGCCTTCGGCGACGAATGAAAGTCAATCAGTGTCGCTATCATTGTCACTTGGTTGTAATTTGTATTTATTCTCGAGATGAAAATAACATGGTACATTTTGACTTAACGGGTTTTCATATAAAGGATATGAAGGACTCGAAAAGCAATGCATAAAACAATATCTTGTTTTAAGGTGACAACATATTTTCCATTCAAACAGGAAATGGCAAGGTTTCTGGTGAAGAATTTAATCACAAGTGGCAAGACGTAAGTGTTATATACCGAAAGTATCGCCATTAGAATAAGCACATAAACATATTGAAATGTAACAGGCGAATGCTTGAGTGAGTGTGATGGAAAATATCAAACGACCTTGATCATTAAGAATGCGTTTGCTTCAAAAGATGGGGTATGGAAAATTAATAACTGTTCTTTAGTTGTCACTTGTCTTGAAAGCGGTAAGCGGGGTGTTGTTTGTTTGTTTGTTTGTTTGGTGTTTAACTCAACAATATTCACGCTGTATGACGGCGGGTTGTAAATGTCGATCGCGAGTCTGGGTAATACGATGCCATGCATCAACCAAGGAAGTCTGACTACCCGATCCCGTTAGTCGCCTCTTACGACAAGACCAATTCTAACCTGGATCTTCATGGGTGGTATACGACATGTAGAATACATTTTATCATACTAACCTTGTTTTTTATCATATCAACCTTGCATTGTAGCATATTAATTGTGATAATAATTCTCAGATTTACAAGGAGTCCGCCTTCGCCGTTCTGTTCACACGCGCTGACGCCGACAAGAACGAACACTTGTCTAAAGCTGAATTTACCAATCTCTTTGAGCCCTTCGACTCTGACAGTAAGTATTTACAGTTCGTCTACTGTCAGATTGCAGGTATTTGTTTGTTGTTTAACGCCGCATTCAGCAATATTCCAGCTATATGGCTGCGGTCTGTAAATAATCGAGTCTGGACCAGACAATCCAGTGATCAACATCATGGGCATCGATCTACGCAGTTGGGATACGATGACATGTGTCAACCAAGTCAGCGAGCCTGACCACCCGATCCCATTAGTCCTCTCTTACGACAAGCATGGGTTGCTGAAGACCCGGATCTTCACGGGTAGACCGCAGGTAGAGTTAAGGAGGCGAAGCGGAGACCAGGTTTCGATTCTCCCCACACGTCGTTTGGCTAGAACAACACTGAAATGCTTTAAATCATACTCACTGATGCACCGCTATATCCTATCGTAGTCACTGAGTATCAAGATGTGCACACAGATGTTATCGTGAAAGCATCTGCCTGTTTTGTTCCTAGAATTGACCCCGGCGAAATGAAATCTCCAAGAGCGCCAAAGTATGTCTGGATCTTTGAAATTGTATATATAACTGATTATACACTACTCAAAAGACCAACTGATTCCTACAAAGAACCATATTTGATATCCCATGCCACCAACTGTGGTAATATGAAAAAGTCGCTGATCCTTAACTTCTTTCGAGTACAATACAAAGAAGATAAGTTAAGACCTAAATTTATAGCAATGCACTAGACTTTGACTACGAGAGTGATATCATGCGTTTTTAGCAACAGTGTACTATTTAATTACCTATATTCTTCTTCTTATGTATTAAAGCGTATCGCTACGGTGGGGTAGCCCCCTGGTTAAAGCGTACGCTCGTCACGACAAAGACCCGGGTTCCATTTTCTACATGGGTACAGTGGTGTGAATCCCATTTCTGGTGTCCCCGCCGTGATATCGCTGGAATATTGCCAAAAGCGGCGTAAAACTAAACTCACTCACTCTCACTCACTCACTATGAAATCCTATCGTATGTTCAGGGTATTACATGCCAAGTGTTATGTTCAGAGGACAATGCTGTGACGAGGTCAGAGTTCGAGGCCGGGTGGACCAAGGAGAACTTCGGAAACAAGGCCCAGGCAGACACACTGTTCCGTAATCTTGACAGTAACCATGACAACAAGATCACCAGCGTCGACACCAACCGTCTCTATATGACGTATAACGCGAACCGTGAGTCATTTGATCCCCCACTGTTAACCATAGAATGAGTAAATGCAGCACCGCTTAGAAGAAAACGTGTCCTCTGGCTAGAAGTTTGATTATCGTCAAAGTATATGTGGACAGACAGTTGTCTGAAATTGACGTACGTTGTGTTCTCTGGCTAGAAGTGTGATTATCGTCAAAGTATATGTGGACAGACAGTAATCTCAAATTGACGTACGTTGTGTTCTCTGGCTAGAAGTGTGATTATCGTCAAAGTATATGTGGACAGACAGTAATCTCAAATTGACGTACGTTGTGTCCTCTGGCTAGAAGTTTGATTATCGTCAAAGTATATGTGGACAGACAGTAATCTCAAATTGACGTACGTTGTGTCCTCTGGCTAGAAGTGTGATTATCGTCAAAGTATATGTGGACAGACAGTAATCTCAAATTGACGTACGTTGTGTCCTGGCTAGAAGTGTGATTATCGTCAAAGTATATGTGGACAGACAGTAATCTCAAATTGACGTACGTTGTGTCCTCTTGGCTAGAAGTTTGATTATCGTCAAAGTATATGTGGACAGACAGTAATCTCAAATTGACGTACGTTGTGTCCTCTGGCTAGAAGTGTGTATGATTATCGTCGTTGTGTCCTATGCTAGAAGTGTGATTAGTCAAAGTATATGTGGACAGATTGACTCAAATTGACGTACGTTGTGTCCTCTGGCTAGAATGTTGATTATCGTCAAAGTATATGTGGACAGACAGTAATCTCAAATTGACGTACGTTGTGTCCTCTGGCTAGAAGTTTGATTATCGTCAAAGTATATGTGGACAGACAGTAATCTCAAATTGACGTACGTTGTGTCCTCTGGCTAGAAGTGTGATTATCGTCAAAGTATATGTGGACAGACAGTAGTCTGAAATTGACGTACGTTGTGTCCTCTGGCTAGAAGTGTGATTATCGTCAAAGTATATGTGGACAGACAGTAGTCTGAAATTGACGTACGTTGTGTCCTCTGGCTAGAAGTTTGATTATCGTCAAAGTATATGTGGACAGACAGTAATCTCAAATTGACGTACGTTGTGTCCTCTGGCTAGAAGTTTGATTATCGTCAAAGTATATGTGGACAGACAGTAATCTCAAATTGACGTACGTTGTGTCCTCTGGCTAGAATGTTGATTATCGTCAAAGTATATGTGGACAGACAGTAATCTCAAATTGACGTATCTGAAATTGTGTCCTCTGGCTAGAAAGTGTGATTATCGTCAAAGTATATGTTCTTAGACAGTCCCTGGCAAATTGACGTACGGTTGTGTCCTCTGGCTAGAAGTGTTCTCCCGGATTATCGTCACAGTGATATGTGGACAGGACAGTACATTAAAATTGACCTACGTTGTGGACTGTTGCTAAAAGTCGTGATTATCGTCAAAGTTGTTAGTTGTCGCCGTTGTTCGTTGAGTTTCTGTTCTTGTTAGTTACCGTTGTTCCTGTTACTTCTATAACTGTATAATCTTCTAAACTAAACGTTAGTCTACCACGACTTCAGTTAATACTGTGATTGGTTAAAACCATTCTCTTTTGCCCAACATATTTGTTCTAAAAAAATGTGATATCGTTGAAAAAATTATTTAGCCTAGTCACGATCCCTCTTAGCCATTACACTCTTTGATCTGAAGTAGTCTATGGAAGAATAGTTACTTACTTTACCGTATTTATGCCAGTGGTACACCCTCATGTCCTGTTCCTTCCTTTCGGAAATATCCCCCCAAACCCAGCTTTTTGTCAACAGCCTCGCGAACATCCCAGCGAATCCGATTCAATTTGAATCCATTACACTTTGAATCCACTAGGTCACAACACACTTTTCAAAATGTTGAAAATAATGTCCGTAGAATCGAGTTTGAGCGCAAAGTACACAAATGAGTGTGTAAGAGCTACCATAGTGACTCTTCTGTCGCACGCAGAAGTAGAGGTGCGTGAAATCGTCAAGTTGACAGGGCACAAAATTCAACAGTATCTAAATTCGTACAACAGGGACTTCTCATCACAGCAAAGCGCCTGTACTCTTAAATTTTGTAAGGTACCAATAATTAGATATCAAAGACTCTATCTCAGTCATACAATCATGTTAACCTTGCACAAACTGTCAGAAGCTTTCCTGTCGCACCTTTCCAAATTTCCAAAATGCAACGTCAATGTAAACAATCACTTCCTAGAATAGGTCAAGGCCATCAGGTTGCTGCCATTATTTGTGTTGGGAAAGGGTCTATGGTGGGATTTTAAAATGTGAACCAAACTTTTAACATCATTTGATATGTTTTCCAAGTTACCAGTTAATGTTTAGTGATTAATGATGTAAAAAAACAACAACGTTATTTGTTATTACAGAACTTGGTGTTTATAAGTCACTGACGGTTTTACCACCAATCACCTCTTATTGGGCGATACCACTTCAGACTGGACTGCGAGGCCGCTTCACGTATTGGCGCGTCACCAAAGGAGTTCCAACTGAAATTATTCATAAACCTGTCATGGTAGAATGAAAATAATTCCGTTATACTGTCTCTAATTTCAAAACACAGCAGGTTTATCTCCTAATTATTCAAGCTACTATAGACAATACAAATTTCCATTTTCTGTTCCAGACGACGACCACTTGGATCTCATTGAACTGTCAAAGGTATTCCTGGAATGCTTTCAAACCCGCTTTTAACCACATACGCATAGCTTAGTTTGAGTGAATGATTAAAATGTATAGCTTTACCTTTAGAAGATGAAATTTCATTGGTACGGTACTTTTGTTACGGCTGCTGATGTGACTAGAAGTATCAAACAACCTTAGTGTTCAACAACATACATACCGATAACGTGATAGCAATATTGTGAATGTCACAAAGGTGTCGCACAATTGACCACTTGTGACATCAATCTATTTAATCCAGCGTTCGATATTAACGTCGGTCCTTAGGCGGGAAGCCGACTGAAAACCACGCGGACTCACACCTTTGTTTTCTGCAGTCCTTATGGCCGACAGCTTCTTCCTCCCCAATACCTAAGAGTATTATTTCCATGTTAAGATAGGGTGTACACATTCTGATCAGGACCCACAATGTTTTATGGTTCTGGGTCCTTAGGGCCTGCAGCTTTCCAGGGTTCAGGACAAACACTGATTTGATCAAATAATAAAGAAAGCCACCAATAGCTGGATATTGTCGATTGCGGCATATAGATGAAGACATTATATTCTCTGTGTTTTTTCTTTCCAGATCAGTCTTCTCGTCGGTCACATTTAGAGTCTTCAGTAAGTACAGAAGAGTGCTGAGTGCCCTGAATATAGCATACACGGACTTTCACTATGTTGATAATGGTAAATTCGCCTTAATAAAGTGCCAGCGGTGGGCAGATGGGATGTACTCGTCTTGTCCAGGATGTTGGTTGAGAATACTCAGTGTCCTTCAGAAAGTGGTCAAATGTAACGTGTTAGTTTTGAGATTACACGTTCTTATATATTAGTTGCTTAGTGAACCACAGATTCCTTTACCTTTTTGGGTCCCATGCTGGTAGCCGCGTTGGCTGAGTGGGTTAGATCGCTGACTTGGTGTGTTAGCGATTTGGTGCCTCGATCACTCGTGCGGCATTGGACTCAAACCCCCAACAATAATACAAGAATGTTACAAGAAATTGTAAGATCATATGGTAATCTGTACGTTGCTCCGCAATATTTCAGAAATATGGCGATGGGCTGTAAATAACCGAATCTGATTCAGATAACCCAGTGATTCACATCATGGACATCGACCTACACAATTTGGACACCATGACATGCACCAATCATCGGTCGCCTGTTACGAGGCTGCGGAAGATCAATTCTAACTCTTCGCTGGGCATACACTAGGTGGAATACTGTGGACATGGATATATTCTGAAATGCTCATATAGTAACAGTTGTACACATAAATTAACACGCACATTATTTATTCTTTTCAGATGCAACCCTAAGAGAACGAATTCTTAAAGTATATCCGGAACGAATAAGTAAAGAATAACACCCTTGTTAACTTGTTCTTATTTGAGTTCAGCACCCCCCCCCCACCCCCACCCCCCACAAATAAATAAAAAAAAAAAAAAATAGGAGAATAGAAATGAAAGAAAAAAGGATCAATACCCAACATTTATGTGCCTGGGATCATCATCAACTGATTATATCATTTGTAATAGGGTGTGGAGGGTGGGTGAACGGTGTCACCATGTCATCGAAGCCCGCAATTCGCTGTGGAGAGTAACGTCCCTTGGACCCACAATACATTCAATCACTCTGCCTGATCTCGTGACCACAACAGGAAGAGACTACAACAGGAAAGTCTACAATACTGACTGACTGAGTTTAGTTTTACGGCTTTTGCAATATTCCAGCAAATGGGACACCAGTGGGAGTACCCATGTGGGGATTATAACCTGGTCTTCGGCGTGACGAGCCAACGCTTTAACCAACTACCCACGCCCCTTCTCAGGAAGGGAATATAACAGGAAATGGTAAACGTCGGAGATCATGGATATTGTCCAAATCAAACCCAACTCATGAACAGTTAATCTTTTTTCACACTATTGAGATTAGCTCATAATATTCAGAAACATAGACAAATAAGGCCACTTAAAAGATATTCTTATCACTTTTTAAAAAAAATATGGGTCGGGCGGGCGGATTTTATTTGTACATTACATTTTATTTTATGTACAAAACCTCTTGATTTCTGTGGAAAATTTCACCTTTTCTCCTATAGAAAATAAAAACTTAAAAGTGTGGAAGATTCGTGCACATTTTGAGAGTCAAAGCTGCATTTTCTCTTGTGTTAAAAATATCTTAGGGTCGGGTAGAATGTTTGGGTCGGGCGGTAATGAGAAACCAAAACATTTTTTATATATGGCCTAACTATAAAACAACAGATTACTGTCAACACAAGATGCCTACTACCCGAGGCAAATATACTATCCCCAAAAAGAAACGCATAGGCGTTTTGTATTTTTAAAAATCTATCAACTACCTATTGTGTTCAAACAATCGTCAAAATATGTAACACAAGTGTTGATAACATGATTTTACACAAATGCACAATTGCAATAATCGACTGTACCCGAAAATGCTGATTTTGATGAGATTTCTTACAAGGATTAAAAAGGCATCACCACAACACAACAGAAATCATCTTCCAGTTGAAATTATGCAGCAAAGAGCATGCATTGTCTGGCTATAAAAATTCAGATTACTTTCGGAAATCGGCATTCGTTTTGATGGAGTTTCAAGGTCAAATCACTACGCCACGTCTTTACGCTGCGACACCGAACATCGCCATTGAAAGAATGCACACTGGAGATCACCAATCTTCTGTTGCCAGGCGTCTGAATGTTAGTCTGAGCACGATACCACGGTTTACAGCTCCTTACATCCAAACAGGCATAACAAATGACCGTCCCCGTCCCCGTACCTGTACGGAACAGGTTGAGAGAGATTGGACTGAGAGCCGGGAGATCCGACGTCGGCCCCGTGCTACGTCGTCACCATCGCGCTCAGCGTCTCCGTTATATAACATTATCTACTTGGTTGTATAGACATTTCCTTCTTCTAAACTGACGCAAATATTCATGTACTAGTCTATTTGTGTACGAGTTATACATGTTTGAAAATACAACATGTTCTCAACAGATTTCTGGGTTATGCGTTTCTTTTTTGGAATAGTATACATTCAATAGACGTTAATAAACAGTCTGCCTGTCAGTCTGTCTGCAATACCAGTCAGGGGAATATTGATTTAAGACTGGCACAGCACGTATAACCTTGCGTGGATGTACCATATACTATCTGATATTTGTCTTTGACAGTTCTCTTAGAGGGTCATGTTATGATGAATCGATTTTGTCAAATGTTTGGTTTGGTTGTTGTCACGGTGGGAGTAAAACCCAGAGTTTGGCAGGTTTACACGTCTTCTAAAAGTATGGTTGACAAACCTACAAATAGACAGACAGACAGTCAGACAGACAGACAGATAATTTATTTGTATAAGTGGCCCTGATTGAATTGAACAGTGAATTTATGCGCAACCTATAAATACGTGAGCAATAGGAACATCAATAGATCCATAAACACCCATTAAGAATTTACATTTTTCTCTCAACTTAAGTAGGCCCATGTGGTACAACACAAGGGCTACCTTAAACAATAAATCAATATTTGCTGTGCGAAGTAGCGTACAGAATTTGTCTCGACGGTTGGTTGTATAAAAAATAAGGCAAATATTTGTCTCTTATTTCTAAATATTTCGGGCATATGAGTAATACATGGTACTCATCTGCATTGTAAAACTTACAAATAGTGCTTCACACAATCTCCAAAAGCTCTGGGTCGCGTGTTCACATGGAGCGAAGGCGCCAATCCCATTGGGGTATGGATTTCTTAGTAGCACAATGTGCAATTACGTATTCTTAACTGATTTTAAACAAAGACCAATGACCGCGATGATCGAGTCCTAATTCGTCTGGCAAGAAGCAATCCCTGCTCCAACCTGCGCCATCAATAGATAGCGAGAGTGGAACTCTAACAGTGGCACTACTGATGCTGCTGGTCTGACGGAACGTCGTCCAATCAGACGTCGCTTTCTCACAGACACAGACAGGACCGACTGGCGTGGTGCAGGCCCCGAGGACACTTGAGGACATGGCGTAGAGGTCAGATCATTGGTCTGGTGAAAGACTGGCGTGGTGCCGGCCCCCGAGGACACTTGAGGACATGGCGTAGAGGGACATGATCATTGGGGTGAAAGTGGTGCAGGCCCCCGAGGACAGAGGACATCAGATCATTGGTCTGGTGAAAGACTGGCGTGGTGCAGGCCCCCGAGGACACTTGAGGACATGGCGTAGAGGTCAGATCATTGGTCTGGTGAAAGACTGGCGTGGTGCAGGCCCCCGAGGACACTTGAGGACATGGCGTAGAGGTCAGATCATTGGTCTGGTGAAAGACTGGCGTGGTGCAGGCCCCCGAGGACACTTGAGGACATGGCGTAGAGGTCAGATCATTGGTCTGGTGAAAGACTGGCGTGGTGCAGGCCCCCGAGGACACTTGAGGAGATGGCGTAGAGGTCAGATCATTGGTCTGGTGAAAGACTGGCGTGGTGCAGGCCCCGAGGACACTTGAGGACATGGCGTAGAGGTCAGATCATTGGTCTGGTGAAAGACTGGCGTGGTGCAGGCCCCGAGGACACTTGAGGACATGGCGTAGAGGTCAGATCATTGGTCTGGTGAAAGAGTGGCGTGGTGCTTCCCGTGGACAGAGGACATGACGTAGAGGTCAGATCATTGGTCAGGTGAAAGAGTGGCGTGGTGCAGGCCCCGAGGACACTTGAGGACATGGCGTAGAGGTCAGATCATTGGTCTGGTGAAAGTTGTTATTTTAAATTGTATTCGTTACCGACGGTCGTTGTCAGGTATGGAGACGTCGTAACGAAGCATATCCCCAGGATATGATCCATGAAGGTGACCCCTTAGGTGGTGGTGGCTCAGTGATGGTGTGGGGTTGATTGCAAGTTACACTTGGAGGAGATGGCACAATTTTGAGATGATTTCACGCTTGATTTGGTACCTTTTACCTTTAATGGATCTGGATCGGTGAGGAGACTGGCGTGGCGTGTCACACCATTGGGTGGCGACGAAAATAGTGTTCAGTTTTTCCGCGCCTTTCTAGCTTGTTTTGAGGTCAGATCATTGGTCTGGTGAAAGACTGGCGTGGTGCAGGCCCTCGTGCCAGATGCAGGAGGACACATGGTGTAGAGGTACACAGATCAATGGTCTGGTGAAAGACTGGCAGGGCTATGGTGCAGGCCCCTGAGGACACTTGAGGACATGGCGTAGAGGTCAGATCATTGGTCTGGTGAAAGACTGGCGTGGTGCAGGCCCCGAGGACACTTGAGGACATGGCGTAGAGGTCAGATCATTGGTCAGGTGAAAGAGTGGCGTGGTGCAGGCCCATAAGAAAATGTTGCTGAGGACACTTGAGGACATGACGTAGAGGTCAGATCATTGGTCACTTTGGCGACGAAAATATCAGGTGAAAGAGTGGCGTGGTGCAGGCCCTCGAGGACACTTGAGGACATGGCGTAGAGGTCAGATCATTGGTCTGGTGAAAGTTGTTATTTTAAATTGATCTCATTGCAGTACTTGGGACATTTAATGTCAACGCTATAAAGAGGAAGGACTAGATACCGCCATCGTGCCACCTATTGGTAACCACCCTCTTGTTAATCAACCGGTATTCATGGATGACAACCTGGACCTCACCCTTCTCCAGAAGGTATCGCCCATTTGCAGAACAACGCCACTGAAACATAACCATGGCCCGCAAGGAGTCTCGATATGAACCCCATAGAACATGTTTGGGACTGTCTCAGAAGATAGGTTCGAGCTAGAGATCCCCCTGTTCCAAATCTGCTGGAATTTACGCACTATTCCTTGGAGAATAGCGGAATATTCTCATGCTGAGAATTCGACGCTTGATCGCCAGTATCAGGATGAGACTGTAAGATATTGTCAGTGCGAGGGTTGGCTATACCAGGTATCAGATATAGACGCCAGTGGTAGTTCATACAATCACAACAATCACTGTTTGAAGACTGTGACAATCAGACTGGTGGTGTGTCATGTGACCATACTTTTCAGGTGAGGTGAGGTGAAATTGGGTTTAGCATTGTTGATATTCATGTGTTTGTGTAGTCCTGAAGCTGCTAGCCCACTGAGATACCATGCCGCAGTGTTACCCGACTCAGACACACTATTTCCGAATTTGTTTTGTTGCCAGCAGACACCAACAAGTACCATATTTTAACGTCTTTGGTATGACGCGGTCGGGATGGAACCCGCGACCTTCCGTTCTCCGGGCGGACGCTCTAACCACTACACCACGGAGGCGGTTATACTTTTCAGCATTGTTGATATTCATGTGTTTGTGTATTCCTCTCAGTAAATTGTTGACAAATGTTTAATTTGTTATTGTTTCAGAGTATGTCACTGTGACCATCTTAATACGCGGAATTTAGTTTTCTCATTCATATACAACTTTTTATGTATATAGAATGTGGATGGTGTTTGATTTGGTGCTTGCTTTTTGCATATGTGTATATACAAACAAGGTGTTATATGATACTTACAAAAATTAAACACAGATAAAAGTGTAATCCGCTAGCAAGTTAAGGCAGAAGCCTGGTTATTGTATGGGGACAGGTTCCCCCATGTCTTACGTCTTCTGCCGAATCTTCTTTATACGTGGTTACGGAAAGAGGCGAGATTTGTCTATTGTAGGGGAGCAGTGTGGAGCGTGGTCGGAAGTAATCCAGACATGGTGTGTGGAGTTTTTGTTCGTCTGTCGGCGTTGCACGTGTGTTCAAGGACGCCTTGTAGTACGTGAACAAACACGAGGAAGGCCACAACAAATTTAGTGTTTGATCATCGGGCACCTGCCCATGTATTGCCCATGTCAAGTGTGTTTTGAAGCTGGCACTAAAATGTTTTCGAAGATCGTATGTTGCGGCGCTTGAAGTAATAGGATGCAGTGGCTAAATATCATTTAGCGTTGCTTTTCTTAACTGTGCCTTACTACGAAAGCCCAACGGTGCCAGCTAGTGGTTATTATTTTAATTAAAGGTAAATAGTTTTGATAGTTCGAGGATTTTCTGGTTACTTCTATAATTTGTTTCGTTTTGTCACGCTCATTCAAAAACTCGATTTATAATATACTACCCATCAAAAGTTTAGACTCATTAGTGTTAATGTAGTCACTTACTTCAGTCAACTGTTCTAAATTAGATTTTGCTAAATATTCCATAATGTTTAAAGGTACTGTTTACGCATAAACTGTTGTATTGCAAAACAAATTCGAAAAGTTGAATAAATTATTTTCATGAAAGTAAATCATGAAACTCAGTGAATATTGGCGATTTCTTAACAAAACTTCACCCCAAAAATGCAGCTGTTCACATGCACGATATTTGCACATGCTTTTCAGAAAATTGAAGCATGATCCGCGTCCAATTCATCTGCATATGCGTATGGTTTGCAGATGGTGAGCATAATGTTACACCGCTTTAAATCATATGCATGCAAGATAGGTTTCACATATTCACCCATGTGGGTCATGACGTAAAACTCGAATCCTTTTGACGCAATTGGGATACGATGACCTGTCAGCAAGCCTGACCACCCGATCCTGTTAGTCGTCTCTTACGACAAGCATGTGCTACAGAAGATCAATTCTAACCCGGATCTTCACGGGTAGACATACTGAATGACAAAAACTGGACTTCTGTCGAAGCCTGGTACTCTCATTGTGAGAATTGCTCACCTAAATTTGCAAAACATTTCTGAACAGTTAAACACCATGTATGTTTTGAAATTCACTATATTTGATATCTGTTTTTGCATGTGATCAAATTTTACATGTGCACCAAACATTTCAGACAACAGATCGTTTGGGAACATACTTCCGAATTTCCATTTCATGTGAACAGCTGCATTTTTGGTGTGAAGTTTTGTTAAGAAATCGCCAATTTTCACTGAGATTCATGATTTACTTTCATGAAAATAATTTATTCAACGTTTCGATGCTTGGTCCGTTTGTAAGTAGTTATATTAATCTCCACATACACAGAGTCGACTTGCAGAGACAAGTCGGTTGTTAACTTAAAAAATGAAACACTTAGGAACAGGGAATTGCGTTTGATGTGAAGCAATATGGAAGTATCCTCTGTAAACCATGTTTGAAGGATCTCTGAAGTCTACATGTTTGTGCCTACATCTATACAGAAACAAGACATGGTGGTTTCCACTGTGCTCCCTCGAGTGGTACATTCGCCGTTTTATCCCCCAGGAATGAAGAACAATTCTTTTGAGGAAGGGACCTTGCGTTTTTGTATAGTTCATTCACAGGAATCTCACTTAGTGTGCCCTCGTTATGCTGATTATACAGCATCTCCTCATACAAACATACAATGTAGCGCTATAATTGTCTTCAATTCTTAAATGTCACCCCCTACCGTCTTCTCGCAGTACACTTATGGTACCATTTTATCAAAACGTTTATTTGAATTTATTAAAGGTGATACTTCTCAAGAAATATGATTCGGTTTTTGTTCCCAGATCATACCTGTCGCCCGGATGGCTTCATATGCTCTGTTAACAACAATTGTAAGAGCTGGCGGTTGCATTGTATTGTATTGTTTGTTGTTTAACGCCGCACACAGCAAATATTCAAGCTATATGGGGACAGTCTGCAACTAGTTGAGTATGGACCAGGGCCCCTTCCTCAAAGCGACCGTAGCTCTAACATGATCGTAACTCCCATGCTTTAACATAGACTTACAACTGTCGTAGCACTGCGATCGCTTTGGGGAACGGGGCCCAGCGCCTCCTTATTGCGATAGTGCCTCAATATCGATCACTCACATACTGCAAAAATCTCTGTTGGATTAAGATAACCCCAATGCCTTATCTCCCCCGCCACCAACCCCTCCTCTCCCCCAACCCCCACAGCACAGCAAGACCTGGTGACAGAGCTATGGGCTTCGGCGATTGTTTGCCCTTGTCTCGTGTGACGTTGTATAGATGTTGTTAGACAGTAACACATCAGTCTGAGCGAACCTGTCCACAACACGAACAGGCTATAGACATAGGCTATCAAGAGAACACGATAGCACTATGATCACATGATTCTCACATGATCACATGATTCTCACATGATCACATGAAATAACTAAGCATTTCCTTTGTTGCCATCTTTAACTGCCTTCTTTGCTTTTGCTAAACTATTGACCATTCTATAAATTTGAATGAATGATTCGCTCAGAATCACCAGATGTTAACGACAAAGTGACCGGTAGTACCCGCCCTTCACTGTAAAGTAAGTGTTGCCTAGCTCCAGACTTCATATCGCCTTCCATACGTAGGCCACCTGTCACAATCGAGCTTGACCAGACAATCCAGTGATGGACCATACAATCCGGTGACACCATAGCGCAATAACATATATTCTTGAAACATGAAAACCCGATATGTCAATTTGGAATAATGTCTGTTGCATATACTGTGTGTTTTTCAACACATATCCATGACCATTATCAATTTCTAATGCTGAATATTTCAATTACAAGAAATACAAATCCCATTCCCCACAAATGTTTCTTTGTATCTTAAGGATATTTGCTGAAAGGGAAGGTCTATGGGTTAGACTGAAAGTACACACAGAGAAGGCAGAATCAATTGGTTGTCAGATTACCTTCAGTGGACTTTGAACCCATGAAACAAATACATTGAGAGAAAGCCAGATAATATTGGGGCGACCTCTTCAAATGTTTATTAATTGCACCTCTCTTCAAATGAGTAAAGAGAAGTCATATTAGCATGAGTATTAAGCATACTGAATTATTCTTTATATATGTTTTAAATTAATATGAAAAACCAGATTAGTCTTGAATCAGTCTTGAATATCGGCAAAATATTCCGTTGAACTTTAAGCGTTACGAATGAAAATGTTATAATGGATTGCTTAAAGTTAGCCATATTCGCGAAAAGGAAAATTCTGGGTTAAAAAACTCGTTTAAGGGTCAGTAAATATTATCATACAACGACCTCATGAGGCGAGACTGAATGTTGACGTGTTGGGGAGTACGGAAGAAAATACATTCCACAATTCGAAGTTTGCCTCACATCTAAAACGTCGTTACCCCACGTCGTTGATCGTTATTCATATTATCGATCAGTGGATTATCTGGTTCCGATTGCTATATTTAAAGGCGGTGTACATGTACCTGGAGTATTCAGTGCGATGTGAAACACAAATAACCAAACAAACTAAAGCTGACTGTAGGATCGGGGTAAGAGGTAACTTTGCATTACAGGAATATTTCGTGAAGCCACTTTTGGTCTATTGAAAAGGAAGTTTTCAATTTTCATATCATTCGAATAACATGTGAACCGCATCACCTAAAGTAAAGTATATTATAATATCATAAATAACAATATGTTCATTTAAGAACATGTTATCTCCAGCATCACATTTTATTTCCCGGGCAAAATGATTGGTACAACAAATATTGTCACTTCATGAAACCAATATGGCTGAACGGCAAGTATCCGGAGTTTTGACAAGGCTGGGTTTCCATCCATAAGGGCTATCAGCAAACGCCAGGTGTTATCAGAACTGTGGCAAGGGGCTACTGAGAGACATTTTAGCTGCGTCTGTGTACAAGGTAAGTATGCCTGAAATGTTCTACCGTATATTTTTATCTACTTATGATCTGATTTTGTACTGACAAAAAAAAATGGACCAATATTCAGGCCAGGCTTTCTTTACATTTCGTTTGAACCATGGTGATACACCTTGTGTTTATCGTCTTGCGTTAGGACAATACTATACCAGTGGAATGGCCTACGCAGTCAGAGATATTTTCATATCTTAGCTGATTTAGTTTTCGAAAATTGCGAGCTCATTTGTTAGTAAAACCGCGTATAACCATTTCCTTCATTACATGCATGGTTGTCCATTGTCCGATTCCGACCTTGTCATCCGCCTGCGTTTATAACTGTCCTTCAAACAGTGATAATAAAAGATGTTCGCGAATATGCGAGTGAATCGTTAAGAACATCCAATTAGCGAAGCATTTAACTTGTTTCAAATTCGAACCCAGAGTACCTATATAGGAATTAGGATTAAACTAGCGCTTTCGAATGGTTCTGCTGGGCGCCACAGGTTTAACTGCATCGATTAAGTGTATTTGAAAAGGCGTACAACACTATGATACATTTTCCAATCGTCCAAAAAGCCACACGTCTGGGTAGAGCATCACACAAACATTTTCCTTTTGCTTTGATAACTACAGAAATTGTGCATTATGAAGCGGTATCTGTGCATGTACGTACGAATAGTTTAATTTGGTCTCTCTTGTTGTTGTTAGTCACGATATGGCTGAAATATTGCCGATGTGACGTTGAATATTAACTCACTCACTCACTCTTGTTGTTGATGCTGTCCGTGAAACAGCGTAAAACGTTTCACTGTTTGCGTTTCGCAACATCCCCGACGCTGCTCTCAAAGCGTTTAGAATTTACTTTGTGTGACTTGGCAAGTCGTAGTACTCTGCCCCGGACGTTTACGTAACCAGGATGTTCCCCATCGAGCTTTTTGATTTGAAGTTCCTTGGGGAGACTTGGCATGGCGGTATACTCTGCCTCAGGATTTCACGTATCCCCACGGCGTTGCTCTCAGAATTTCTTTAGAATTTCTTCAGGGTGACTTGGCAGGGCGGTATACTCTGCCCCCGGACCTTCACGTGCCCCCGACGTTCCTCACCGAGCGTTTAGAATTTCCATGGGGTGACCTAGCAAAGCGGTATACCACCCATGTCCATCGTGGATCTAATTATTGTCCACATGATATTCTTCCATATAGAACCTTATTGAATTATCAAAGGAATCTTTGCTTTTTCCAATGTAGGATAACCATGCATATTGAATCCTATCGTGTTATTACGCCCATAAAGACGTGTAAATGAGGTTGAAACAAAACGTATTGCCTGGTCCAGCGCGTTCTCCAGACATTAAACATCTCTAGGATCATCTTGATCGTCAGCTGAGTTTGCGTGTACCACCTCCAGCGAAACGGTTTGTATTGTGGACAGGATAAATACTGAAGGCTTATAAAACTAATCGGTTTATTCTTTTACAGCTAGATCCTCGTCATCATGAAGTTCCTAGTTGCAGCACTGGCGTCGTTCCTCGTTCTCGGGTAGGTGCATGAAACAGTTGCAGTTGTATACACCATCGCTCAGCCAGAGTACTTGTGTATCTCCAGTCAAATTGATTGTGATACATAGTGTGGTTCAGTTGTACCGTTTTGTGGTACAGTGCATATACCGTTTGAGGCTTATTCCTGGTATCCTCGGGATATTGCTGGAACATTGCTGAAGGCGGGTACCGCCATAATCATTCACGATTTTTAACATAGGTTTGCGATCGCCCTACAGTTGTGATCGTTTTGTGCCATGGTTTACTTATGACAGTGCTTTGACGACTATTCGTGTGCGTTGTCATACGAATGACAGTCATAATAAGGTATGGTGATGATTGAGTCCTTCGTGTTTATCACACTAGATCGGAGATATATTACGCTGGATAAGTGATAACTAGTCAACAGTCCGAAATACATGTACTTCGTCTAATACATATCGCTATAGATATGTAGAAACGATATTCATAAATTGTAGCTCAACTAGCTCCATAACTCCAGTTTGGAGGATCATGCCCTTGGCATGACATGTTATCTATAGTATGAAAGAATCAAATAGTCCTTAGCTGTTTTGAGTAGAATCCAGATTATATATTACGTACGAGAGATATTTGGATTTTTAGTTCAAACAGCGTCATTTCAGCGGTAAAGGGTAGACTAGTGGATCTGTCTTGACACTGATACCAGTACTGGGATCTGTTCTTCAGTTTGGTGTCCTGCAACTCTGAGCCCCAGAAGGAGGTGATGTTGTTCAACAATGTCGACAAGGACAAGAACGGCAAACTGTCCAACGCTGAGTTGGAGGCCATCTTCCTCTTCTTTGACGCCAACAGTAAGTCACACAAACTGTGGGGGATGTGAGTGTGTATGTGTGTGTGCACGCGCATGAGTGCGTGAGAACGTGTATGTGTGCGTGTGTGTGAACGTGTATGTGTGTGTGCGTGCGTGTATGTGTGTGAGAGAGAACGTGTCTGTGCTTGCGGGCGTGTATATATGTGAACTAATCCAGATTAATGGCGGTTCTTCGGTGTTAACATGCTGAAATTAAACATGTACACCTCATGTAGACACGGTGTACAGACTGCGATAGGGTACATCATAAGTATCACGATAAGACAAATTACATTTCTGGGTGACGATTTTCTTTCGGTGAACGGAACGAAAATGTTCAAATCTAGTTTGCCTAGACATACTTTAGACACATTCCCAAATTTCGTATTTTTGTGTCAGAAATGATATCCAATACAAGTGAACATATACTGGGCAAAATAAGTTAAGCATATTGATATTTTTATGATTGATATTCTATCAGTGTGACAATGAATAAATAGATCATTATTCATAATTTCAAAATTTGCATATATCCCTAACTATTTTTGTCCAGTATATATGTCTTGTTTTTTGTACCTGTTTGTGACGGCAGGATGTGTCAACCTTTCAGTGTCCACCTGGTGCCTTTACAAATGTATCGTCATATATACATGATTAGGATGTTGCCGAATTTGCACCACACAATTTTAATATTAATTCCTAAATACATGTCATTGATATGTTCGAAACCGTACAGTGGATTGTTTTCAGGGAGCTATATGTCGTGTTTGCGGATTGTAATTTAAGTCATCACCCGCCTTAATTACAAGCGTATTGGACTTGCATATAACCCATGAAAGTGTTGCGGTGGATCGACTCTCACTCTCGAGATATCGTTTTACTGTTATGAGAACTATTACATGGCACAATAGCAGTATTGAGAAGAACACCATCCCAGATGCAAAAGGCCATACCCAAGGCACCATCCGGCTTAGAAATGGCCTTCAGCAACCAGTGGCATCAGGTGTCTGAAAGGACCAGTAGTTCAGACGTGTCGTCGTGTCCGAAACTGCGTAGCTCGATGGCCATTATGTCGATCACCGGATTGTGTAGACTAACCTCGATCATTTAAACACCGCCTTATAATAGCTGTAATATTGATATTGTTCAGTGCGGCCTTTAAACAAACAAGCAAGCAAACAAATAAACATACAGCGCATCTGGTGGGATCGACAATTTGAGAAACAGTCATGCCTCTTTTCCCCCCTACACCCACACACTCACACACATATATGCTGTGTACTGGATGATATATAGGTGATTTCACTGGGTATGTATATATCACATTCCCAACTCCTCACTGTTGAGACAAATTCTTCCTGCGAAACATTTCGTTATGCAGCAAACCTGACAAGCGCGGTCGATGTCCTCTGTTGCAGATGACAAGGAGATAACACAGAAGGAATTCGAAGATGAGTGGGTTGTGAAGTACGCACTGGGACCATCGGCGGAGGCTGTCGCCCTCTTCAAGGCTGCAGATGCAAATGATGATGACAAGATCACCAAAGCCGATCTACCCTTCATCTTCCAGTATTTCGACATGGACAGTGAGTATATTCAATATTATAGCTAAAATACATGGAATTATCATGAAACGGCCCTCCCATTATCAGAAATTGAAAATGATATTGGACCGCTCAACCTTAAGGACGGGCCACTATCAGTTCTGTTGTCAAGTGACGTCATAGTGGGTGCGTGGGCTTACGGTTCATTCGACAATAATTGGCTTTCGAGTGGCAGATATTCTGGGTCAAACAAGTCAAAGCAACCCGAATTCCCGCTTTAAATAGCGGTAATATTGGCTTTCTTGTTGGTGCTAACCTTAACAATTGCACTATTAAGACTGTTGATGGACCAAAACCGAACACTGACATAGTTTGACATGTTGCAGGCTATGGTCTTGTCAAAGGCCAAGGTCGAATATCGTCACTTTCTGTTGTTACGTCACTTGAATTGTTCAATGACGTAATTGCATTCGGGCAGTCAACCCCGTCAGAAGTTGATTTGGGTAAATTTACAGTCAAATGCCTTCATTGTTTCCCTTTTCTTTTCAACACAAATTCCATGTATTTTAGCAATAATAAGGGTAATGCTATTTTTGAGGACATTATCATTTGCAGAAGCCCTCGGTCTTTTTCATATGCCCTCCTTCGTCGGGCAGTTAATGGAAGACCTCAGGCTTCTGCAAATGATAATACCCTCAAAAATAGCATTACCCTTATAGGTGTGGTCAAGGTGTTGATGTTAATGACAAGGATAGCTGAAACTTATGCAGTGGTGACTAGAGTTTACAGCCACATAACCGTCTCCTCTGTTATATCGTACCCCTGAAGGCCCGGGTTAAAATAACCTTCAGTAACCCATGCTTGTCGTAAGAGGCGACTAACGGGATCGGGTGGTCAGGCTCACTGGCTTGGTTAACAGATGTCATCGGTAAAATAAAAGAATGTTATATCGTATATATGTTTCTGTGTGTCCTGTGAGTTCTGATTGGTTTTTATCTCTTTGTGATTCAGCACGATGTTTGTTCAAATAGGTCTCCATGATTTTCAGATGTTGTGTTAGGGCTTGGCCTCTTCTACCTCCAGGGTAGCTTCCGGTGACTCTTATCAATGGTCGTTTTCCAAGTTGGAGCAATAAGTATACCAATAAATTTAAACGGAGAGGAATTCACTGTGAAAGCAACAAATAACAAAGACAGGTTATACAAAAACAGTTACATTCACAGTTTTAACAGTCATCAGAAAGTAATGTATTTGAGGTACCTAGTCAAGTGGCAGTACAAGATTCAAAGTCCAACGTAGCTCCAGTCTGGACAGTCAGGCTGTAAGAAAGGGTCTTCACACTCCCGACAAACATTATGGAATGTGAGATGAAAGAGGCCCTACTTGCCCCTTATATGGTCATAAAACACAAGAAATTTCTCTATTCCTTTTGGATTATGCCTGTTTTTCGAGAAGATTCCTGACCATCCTTGATCCCAGAAGGGTCTAGCTCTACTGTTTCTTACCACAACCCGCAACAGATTTGTTCATTTCCGACAACCAATTGCTGAAAAACACAACGTTATGAGAGTTTTTTTCCGTTTCATCTTTATGATTATGTTCTTGTCAGTCAATGTTGTAGCCATGCTGTAGTGTCTTACAAACAAACCATGTTACTTTATGATTATGTTCTTGCCAGTCAATGTTGTAGCCATGCTGTAGTGTCTTACAAACAAACCATGTTACTTTATGATTATGTTCTTGCCAGTCAATGTTGTAGCCATGCTGTAGTGTCTTACAAACAAACCATGTTACTTTATGATTATGTTCTTGCCAGTCAATGTTGTAGCCATGCTGTAGTGTCTTACAAACAAACCATGTTATTTCCAGGTGACGGTAGTGTGGACATGAATGAGTTCCTAACACAGTGGGGCGACCTCACGCTGATTCCGGTGGTGGGCAAATAGACACTCGAGTTGTCTCCCTTCTGAGGGCGGTCGCCTTATTGCATGTGACAATAAATGTTGTTTTTACCTTGTGTGTTGTCATTTTGACTTCCAACCCTCCCTTTTCCTTACTCAGACATGGTTGGTGAGTTAAGTTTAAGTTCCATGTTAAGTTAAGGATGACATTAGCGTAGATATTATTATGATTATGATTATTATTATAGGATATTTATATAGTGCACATATCCACGCACTAGTGCATGCTTAAGGCGCTGGTATTTTTCCCCTCGATCATTGGACATACTGTGTTCGTATATGCGTTTGAGACTGTGATCGAGTGAGTGAGTGTATGGGCGAGTGAGTGAGTTTCCACAGAGTCAATTCCGAAGATACGTCATGAGAATCTATATTTATACCAGACATAAAGCATTCATAGTACAAATAATTATGGCCATGATAGTTCCACCAATATTGGTTTTCAAAGTTGATGTGTGCACCTGATCCGATCCTAACCCCTCTTCAGTGTGGATAGAGGTAATGATATTATACAGAACAGGTATGCACGTATGATATTCTGAGAGATCTTGCTCTCTTCATTTCTCTTTAAATCGTTGTCCCATTCTCTTAACACCTGGTTACAATTTCCTGCCAAGCTAATGTATTTGGAAATGCACCAACATTCAGACTGAGTATAACCTTTGATGTATGTCTCTGGTGGTAGTTGGTGCTACACATGATTACTTAATGGCTAGTATTGCCATAAGTCTGTTGGGAACATTAACACAGAATGGATCTTAATTGCAGAGCTTTTATCAGAATTATTACCTACCTTTATCTATATAACTATTGAATGGACGACACCTACTCTATGTTAAAATTTGATGTATGTGTCAGTTGAACATAAATGTCGCACAATGTAAGCCTTATAGTGATGAGCAGATACTGACGAGTCTGTTGGAGGCCTCTTACCAAGCTCCTGTATACGGCGGGCAAGGTAATGCTGTGTACATTCAGTTATGTCACGTTGGTTACTGAATAAAGCTTTATACAATTAATTTACGTAAATGCTTGTAGATACACTCATTCATTATCTTGACACACAAAGCATGGGGGTATCAAAGTTATAAGGCCAATGCTCACAACGAATAAACTCATTTTCATGCTGGATTTGCCATCGTACATTTCCGCAATATTGGACATATGAGTCAGAACTGTCGCCTGTAGCACGTATTGTAACTCACTTTATTGTGAGACTGGAGAGATTTCCTTAATACGGGGATTTACTTTTAGAGGCGGTATAGGCGAGGCTCCATTTTTGCACAGAAACGAACTGAATAAAGTAAATTCTGTAAGGTTTATACTCTTGAATGCCAATGAACCTTATACACCAAGTGTCTTATCGGCCAGTACGACACTGGGTGTCCTCTTCGAGGACAGAGAAGTCAGAATTTGCTTTACGTAATTCACTCATACAATTACAAAACTATTGAAAAGACCTACAGACATGGTTATGACGTGCCCAAAAGCTATCTTAATAGGAAACACATCACATCTTTCTGCACGTCATATCCTGCACAAATAGCTATGAAACAGTAAGATTACGTAACCTAACCTTGACACCAAGGTCACGTAACCTGACAACTTGACCGTCGTGCCAAATACGATCGAAGGCAAAATGGATAAGATACGTGCAATATTTGTTTTTTGGGTTGTGGCTCTCGTGTTAGCATATGTGTTATATAAAACACCCACAGAGTAGAACCTGCCACAACACCAAACACCCGGTGTCCACATCGAGGGCATACATTCTGTATATTCCAAGTTATTTACAAAAATACATACTTTGTTAAAATATTCGAGTCAGGAATTGTATCGCTAACAATTCCACCTACAAGAATGCATGACTCAAAGAGAGAAGTGTATGTACTCGATTATAAGAAAATAAAAACCCCAACAATTTAAATTGGTTTGAAGACACTTTAAAAATTAAAGTGGAGCAGACAACATGTTGAAAGAGATTACTAGGTCGCCAGGTAAGTGTAAGGTGTGATCAGCTCAGATAGCGAGCAAGGGAAATCCACATATGCCCGAAAGTTAGAAAATATTAAAATAAGATTCGAACGAAAACCCCATGGAATAACATTAACAATTCAAATTCAAATATTAGTGCATATGGTGTAGTATAGGATCGCCTTGACAAAATGTTCACATTTCACTTCAATCCGTTTGTGATATATTGTTGTACTGAAGGTCGAATTAAATATGTATTTGGTATGCATTGATTTCGAATATTCTTTAAGGATGGACATACATGTATGTGAGTGAAAGGGGACAGATTTCGATATTGTTTAAGTTACAAGATGTTCATATTCTTGCAGACTTTTATGATGTATCCTGCTATCAATATTTAGCCTTGTACGTCCAAGTCGAGCCCGAGCAAAGTCGGTGGAATATGTACACAATTTATTACATATTTCGCTGCAATTCTACCAGCGTGTAAAGTATGTAAGTACAATGAACAAGGCTTTCCTGCGAATAGAACTTAGATTTTCGTATTTTTTCACCTCTGCTTACCAGTACAAAGTAATGACTGCTAATGGTTGGATGTCTGGCGCTGTCTGAGTTCACTTCGGAGCTAAAAGTAAGCTATAGTAAAAACATGAGTCTTTAACTGGCTTTTGAAAGATGCAAGTTCAGTCAATGATCGAAGTTCTTGTGGTAGATTTTTCCAGAGTTTTGGACCATTTGAAGTGAATGCTCAGTCATCAAAAGACTTTGTTCTGGTACATTGAATTTGCAGAAGAGATTGGTCACTGGAGCGAAGAGATCGGGTTGGCACATAGGGTTTTACAATTTGTGAAAGATACCTTGGAGCCAGTCCATGGATGCATTTGAAAACAAGAAGCAATACTTTGTATTGGAATTCTGAATTTGATTGGGAGCCAATAGAGATTTTGCATGACAGGGGTAGTGTGTTCAATCTTCTTTGTTGTGCTGATTAATCTTGCGGCTGAATTCTGGACTTTCTGTAGCTTGTGTAGCACATGATTTGGAAGACCACGGACCAACGAGTTGCAGTAATCAATGCTTGATGTTACATAGGTCTGAGGGCAGTGGGGTAGCCTAATGGTTAAAGCGGTGGCTCGTCACGCCGAAGACCCGGGTTCGAATCCCCACATGGGCACAATGTGTGAAGCCCATTTCTGGTGTCCCCCGCCGTGATGTTGCTGGAATATTGCTAAAAGCGGCGTAAAACCAAACTCAGTCAGTCAGTCAGTACATAGGTCTGCACCAGAGCACTCGTTGTTTTCTCATCAAGGTACCTGCGGATCAGGCCGATATTCCAAATGTGGAAATAAGCGCTGCGACAAACACTGTTGACATGTGGTTCCATGCAGAGAGATGAGTCAAATACTGCACCAAGATTCCGGACTTGAGAACTTGGTGTGATTGCACAGTGTCCAATAGAGAAAGTGGGTACATGTGGCATTCGGATCCATGAACAAGCTGAGGAATGTAACTTATTATAGTTATGAGGGATGTAACTTACTTATAACAGCTGACGTGACAGCTGCTCGCTATATTGATTAAGTCATAAGACCACACGCTGTACCACATTTGGACGTTACAGAAAACACGTCTTCCAGCAAGACAACGGTCGTGCCCACACTGCCAGAGTAACATTGGACTTCCTAAGACAACATGGCATCCAAACCCTACAATAATCAGTCCGGGTTTAAAAGAACACCTTTGGGACGAGATTCAAAGAAGACTGAATGGCCTCCAACCAAGGCCGACAACTGCGACTGGACTCGACCAGGCATTTCGCAGAGTATGGACACAGAGTATTCCCGAAAATGTGTTAACCATAATTGTCAAGTTTGAACTCAATCCTCCGTTTTGATTGTTAATTAAAGTGATTTAAAGTGTGTACTTCAAGAAACCGCTATCGGTGCGACATTTCTTTTGTGGTTCGGTATATATGTCGTACACTTTCCCAGTAGACTATGCAATTCTCCAAAGCAGTGTTACCTTCAAATGTCTAAGGTATTTATTAACCGGTATTCCGGTACACTATAACACTACAGTTTGCTTGTATTGTGAGAGCGAGCAACCAATGCTGTATTGGTGACGATACGATGTCTTTCACAGGATAGTTAAACCAAGACCACCTGCATGACGGACAAGCACCCTAACCATATACCTACCTGCAAGGGCTGTAACGATGCATCGAACTATCGATGGATTGCAATTATTGAGTCTCCGATAACAATTAAGCGATGGTAGTAACGAAAAACTATCGATGCATCAATAGTATGTGTGACTATCGATAGTTTAGTAATTGATGGTTGTTCGTTTTAATTATTAATTAACTATTTATTTACTATTAAAATTATTTGTTTTGTATTTCTTGAAGGTTTGGGTGAAGACTTGCGGCTTCATTGAGTTTTAACTGTTTACTTGATCTGGGTTTCCAGTTTCTTGTCATTTATTAAAAGAGATTGAAACTACACTAAACGCCAAAAGAAACGTGACCCTCCTTCCTTAATGACGGGGGTACCTATCTTCAGCTGGCGTTGTGATGCGTGGACTTCTTGGTCTGTCTATGGTGACCCCAGTCTGTCTGAAGCCCTAAATATGTCTTATAACCGTGATACGGCGGCATCCGAGGGCGTTGGCAACAGCATTGTATGTCGACCCCATCTGCACCATCCCAAGGGTTCTTTCTCTCTCTTCAGTTGTTAATCGTGGCATATTTCTCGTACTTGTGTATCATATTATGTATTCTATGCTCTCTTCATACCCTATAGAATCTTTCAACATGTGAAATGGATGCAAATACTGCTCGAAATTTGCTGCGTTTTGGCGATTGATTTCTATGTGTAAACAGGAAATGGAAAAATGTTACTTTTAGATAATTTTAGATGATTTTAGATGTTCCTAAACATTTTTCACTATATCAAAGACACGTTTTACTTGTTTTCACTAATGAAAATCAGCAGAAAATGTTTTAAAAGACTAATATCATAGGAATGGTGATTTTACAATTTTACACACTCTACAACAGTTGTTTCTTGTTTTAATAGTTGAAAAATGGTGACTTTCAACGGTTTATCATTGTCCCAAACCAGAATTTTATTTCAACCTTTCTTTTGGACATCAAAATCAGTGTTATTGGTTTATTTCGGCATGGACGAATATAGGACAATTTAACTCTTCTGAAAAAAGATGCATTTCACCTAAATATGAATGCATTTGAGAATTCTTTTCGTGATTTGCATAAAGCTGTGTTGTTTCTGGCAAACTAATACCTTCTAACATATCTTTGGTAGTTTTTCAGTAATTCATAACGGTAGGAGTGTAATGTTTCTTATGGCGTTTAGTGTCCTTCAACTTGTTTTTATTCATGTAAGCTATACATTCATTTGGAAAATGACTTCAAATGAGACAATTCAAGGGGAAAAAAAGCTAGTGCAATAGTTTTGCAATAATTAGTCACAATAGACTATCACTATCGCAATAGTTGTTTCCCCCTCAACAGTCACCCATACCACCTGCCGAGTAGTGTTGAGACCAGACTGCGTTCGCCCGTCGAGCCGGAGAACGGGTTTGATTTCGGGTGCCGTTGATCTTTCTGAAATAGCAATGGTCATAATAATGTTAGAGTGAGTGAGTGAGTTTGGTTTTACGCCGCTTTTAGCAATATTCCAGCAACATCACGGCGGGGGACACCAGAAATGGGCTTCACACATTGCACCCATGTGGGGAATCGAACCCGAGTCTTCGGCGTGACGAGCGAACGCTTTAACCACTAGGCTACCCCACCGCCCCTAATAATGTTAGAAGCTTTGTAAAACTCTGTTGTCTCACATTCGGTATCTGCGTGTTTGATCGGTGGAATAAATGCAATGTCTAGATATAGTGCACGTAGCACTCATATTTTGGTGTTTCGTTTGTCTTTTCTTGTCCTGACAGTTGGGACTGGGCCTAGACTAGAAAAACCGCTTTGGAATAATTTGATTTCAGCATGACAACCTTTCTAAAGTGCAACTCCTACTGATATATGTATGAATTAATTACATGACTCAATTTAGATCTTGATTATACATTAGTTTCCATATATGACTGACTGACTGAGTTTAGTTTTACGCCGCTTTTAGCAATATTCCAGCAATATCACGGCGGGGGACACCAGAAATGGGCTTAACACATTGTGCCCATGTCGGGAATCGAACCCGGGTCTTCGGCGTGACGAGCCAACACTTTAACCACTATGCTACCCCACCGCCCCCCATATATGAAATCTTTCGTTATGCATGCGTGTAACCTAACGCCACCAAATGCTTTCCTACCGTGACTTCACCATGTCACATCGTGCCTTGGTCTAGGTGTACGGAATACAATAACTGCCAAACTTCGAAGTTTAAAGAGAACCTATTGCACTTCTAAACTTTTTATAAAAATATTTTAATCAGCATAATTATTACACGGATGATCTCCATACAACCGGGGCTATCGGGCCAGGTGTTATCTGAACAGTTGGCTACTGAGAGACAGTTTACCTGCGTCTGTGTACAAGGTAAGTATACGTGGGGTGTTCCACGGTATATTGCATTACGTAGTCTTGTACTGAACAGGGCAGGAAGAGTTTCCTATGTGGATTCAAAGCTTTGTGCTCAGCTTTGTTCTGAAACGTATTTTTTTGCCACACGACATATGAAACAGCTAATTCTAGGGTCACACCATGCCTTCAATCCTGAGGGGATTAACGCGGTTGTCGAGTTAGATCCTCAAGCGGGAGGGATCCGTGAATGTGAACACGACAGCACCAGTTGCATTGAGACGTGTTACCTTGTCCAGGCCATCCATGGACTGGTTGTTTTCGAATCAGTTTAAGGAGTGAGGGGAGTACTCGTGTTAAACCGCGAGATGGTTTCTCATTAGTCTGGCGTCAGTGCGACATGAGCCCAGACTCGTATAAACACCCACTTTACTACATTCCTACTTCTATATATTCAAATTTCACCACACAGAGCTTATACTTTCACCCAATTTTAACACACCAGCATCTGATATTCAAACCTAATTTCACCACGGAGATACTGTAAACATGATTTAGTTCCGAGTAGTAAATGTTCCGGTTCGGAATAAATGCCGTGAAATTGAGAATGAATGACACGAATAAAAATTCCGCACACACGGGAAATATTCCATCGAAAAGGAACAAATACCGTAGGCCTAACCTATTCCAGTCATCATTGAATGCAAAATGGACTCATCCAACTTGTCAACATCCGGGATGTCTACTAACTTCAACTTGGTTACATGCTGACTGTAACTTGGCTACTGACTAACTGTAACTTGGTTACATGTTGACTGTAACCTGGCTACTGACTGTAACTTGGTTACATGTCGACTGTAACCTGGCTACTAACTGTAACTTGGTTACATGCTGACTGTAACTTGGCTACTGAATGTAACTTGGTTACATGTTGACTGTAACTTGGTTACATGTCGACTGTAACCTGGCTACTGACTGTAACTTGGTTACATGTCGACTGTAACCTGGCTACTGACTAACTGTAACTTGGCTACATGCTGACTGTAACTTGGCTACTGACTAACTGTAACTTGGTTACATGTTGACTGTAACTTGGTTACATGTCGACTGTAACCTGGCTACTGACTGTAACTTGTTACATGTTGACTGTAATATGGCTACTGACTAACTGTAACTAGGTTACATGTTCACTAACCTGGCTACTGACTGACTGTAACTTGGTTACATAGTGACTGTAACCTGGCTACCGACTAACTGTAACTTGGTTACATGTTGACTGTAATCCGGCTACTGACTGTTAATTGTTACATGTTGACTGTAACCTGGCTACTGACTGACTGTTAATTGGTTACATGTTGACTGTAACCTGGCTACTGACTAACTTGGTAACATGTTGACTGTAACCTGGCTACTGACTAACTCTAACTTGGTTACATATTGAATGTAACCTGGCTACTGACCAACTGTAACTTGGTAACAATATGACTGTAACCTGGCTACTGACTGACTGTAACTTGGTTACATGTTGACTGTAACCTGGCTACTGACTGTAACCTGATTAATGAAGGTAACTTGGTTACATAATAACTGAACTCCTTTTAACACAAGATTCATTTAGAATCATCAGTTCGCATTCTGGGGAATCTACAATGTATTTTCATAAAAAAAATTAAGTAACTTTCACACATGATAATTGCTTCTTGATAGCCACATGATTTGTTCCAAATGGAACAAATACCGTAGGAAAATCTTTTTTTCCTTTCCGTTCCCCCCACGCCCCAATTTTTAAGACCATCCCAACAAACAAAACCCTCTTTTAGACACTTTATGATGTGTGTGGAAGTTCCTCTTTACCCGGAATAAATTATGTGTGTGCGGAACGAAATAATTGTTCCGCATGCACTATTACAGGAACAAATGTTGGAATGAAAAGTTCCGCCGGAACTTTTACTATGGGGGAACCAAATCTTTTTTACAATACACCTTATACATGCCTCATTTTACCGCACCCATCTTATATTAAACCCCAGTTTACCTCACCTTACACCTTTTACTCCTTTTCACCCCACATCTTATATTAAACACCAGTTTACCTCACCTTACACCTTTTACTCCTTTTCACCCCACATCTTATATTAAACCCCAGTTTACCTCACCTTACACTTTTTACTCCTTGTCACCCCACATCTTATATTAAACCCCAGTTTACCTCACCTTACACCTTTTACTCCTTTTCACCCCACATCTTATATTAAACACCAGTTTACCTCACCTTACACCTTTTACTCCTTTTCACCCCACATCTTATATTAAACCCCAAGTTTACCTCACCTTACACCTTTTACTCCTTTTCACCCCACATCTTATATCAAACACCAGTTTACCTCACCTTACACCTTTTACTCCTTTTCATATGCAATACATATGAAATCATTACTGTCAGTCAATCAACTGAATACACAATTCATTTTTTCGCAGCATACCATCATGAAGTTCCTAATCACAGCTGTGGCGTCGGCCGTCCTTCTCGGGTAGGTTTTATAAAATAGGATGTTTAATGTTATAATGGTATTTAGTAGGGGTGACTATTGAGGGGGAAACAACTATTTTGATAGAGATAGTCTATTGCGACTAACTATTGCAATACTATTGCAGTAGTTGTTTTCTCCTTGAATTGTCTCATTTGAAGTCATTTCCCAAATGAACGTATAGTTTATATGAAATAATAACAAGTTAAAGTACTTTCAGTCTCTTTTAATATATGACAAGAAACTTGAAACCCAGATCATGTTAACAGTTAAAACATAAACTCAATGAAGTTGCAAGTCTTCACCCAAACAATAAAAAAAATACAAAACACAATAGTTAATTAAAACAAACAACCATCAATTACGAAACTATCGATAGTCATACATACTATCGATGCATCGATAGTTTTTCGTTTCTACCATCGCTTAATTGTTATCGGAGACTCAACAATTGCAATCCATCGATAGTTCGATGCATCGTTACAGCCCTAGTATTTAGATGTCAAACAGCTTCATGCTCACAGTAAAATGATGGACCTGTCGTTTTTGGTCTGCCTTTAAACATGACTGATCCTGGTATTGATTCCCAATACATCTGAAAATATGTGGGACTCTTTTCAGATGTTGAAGACTTAAACCTTGAATTGATTTGGGGAGATACACAATTGTCCCATACACTTAAGACTGCATAAGTATTGTAAAACAGAGAAATATTGCAACGAAGTTGAATTTTATGCATGATTGCTTTTTTGTATCGCAGAGCTTGTGCAGAAACCTGGAAAAAAAAAGGAACACATGTGCTTTCATGTGATCTCTTATTTTTTCCCGTGTATATCAAGTCTCAAACTGTAACATTTTTGACTGAAAGCCTTGATGTACATAATGCATGTCTAAGAGAACTAAAAGGAACTGAACCGATTACTTCAGTGACCTGCGTAATTCACTGACCAAACATTGCCAGAATTGTGGGTTAAAGGCCTTCATCGCAATATGCTGTCTCTCTCTGTGTGTGATGCTGGGACTGGGCTCTGTTCTTCAGTTTGGTGTCCTGCAACTCTGAGCCCCAGAAGGAGGTGATGTTTTTCAAAGCCGTCGACAAGGACAAAGACCAAAAACTAACAAGCACTGAGTTGGAAAATGTCTTTCTCCTCTTTGATGGCAATAGTAAGTCCACCTTGCAGACTATCACACACATCCTGATGTGACTCACTATCACCTTGCTGACTATCACACACATCGTGATGTGACTCACTATCACCTTGCAGACTATCACACACATCGTGATGTGACTCACTATCACCTTGCAGACTATAACACACATCGTGTTATGACTGACTATCACCTTGCTGACTAACACACACATCGTGATGTGACTCGATATCACCTTGCTGACTAACACACACATCGTGTTATGACTGACTATCACCTTGCTGACTAACACACACATCGTGATGTGACTACTATCACCTTGCTGACTATCACACACATCGTGATGTGACTCAGTAGCACCTTGCTGACTAACACACACATCGTGATGTGACTCACTATCACCTTGCAGACTATCACAAACATCCTGATGTGACTCACTATCACCTTGCTGATTAACACACATATTGTGATGTGACTCACTATCACCTTTCTGACTATCACACACATCGTGATGTGACTCACTATCACCTTGCAGACTATCACACACATCGTGATGTGACTCACTATCACCTTGCTGACTATCACACACATCGTGATGTGACTCACTATCACCTTGCTGACTAACATACACATCGTGTTATGACTCACTATCACCTTGCTGACTATCACACAAATCATGGTGTGACTCACTATCACCTTGCTGACTAACACACACATTGTGATGTGACTCACAATCACCTTGCTGACTATCACACACATCGTGATGTGACTCACTATCACCTTGCTGATAACACACACATCGTGATGTGACTCACTATCACCTTTCAGACTATCACGCACATCGTGTTGCGACTCACTATCACCTTGCAGACTAACACACACATCGTGTTATGACTCACTATCACCTTGCTGACTAACACACATCGTGTTATGACTGACTATTACCTTGCTGACTGACACACACATCGTGATGTGACTATCACCTTGCTGACTATCACACACATCGTGTTATGACTGACTATCATCTTGCTGACTAACACACACATCCTGTTGTGACTCACTATCACCTTGCTGACTATCACACACATCGTGATGTGACTCACTATCACCTTGCAGACTATCACACATATTGTGATGTGACTCACTATCACCTTGCTGATTAACACACACATCGTGATGTGACTCACTATCACCTTTCTGACTAACACACACATCGTGATGTGACTCACTATCACCTTGCTGATTAACACACACATCGTGATGTGACTCACTTTCACCTTGCAGACTATCACACACATCATGTTGTGACTCACTATCACCTTGCTGACTTTCACACACATCCTATTGTGACTCACTATCACCTTGCTGACGATCACACACATCGTGATGTGACTCACTATCACATTGCTGATTAACACATACATCGTGATGTGACTCACTATCACCTTGCAGACTATCACACACATCGTGATGTGACTCCCTATCACCTTGCAGACTATCACACACATCGTGTTGTGACTCACTATCACCTTGCTGACTATCACACACATCGTGTTGTGACTCACTATCACCTTGCTGACTATCACACACATCGTGTTGTGACTCACTATAATCTTGCTGACTATCACACACATCGTGATGTGACTCACTATCACCTTGCTGACTATCACACACATCGTGTTATGACTGACTATCACCTTGCTGACTAACACACACATCGTGATGTGACTCACTATCACCTTTCTGACTAACACACACATCGTGTTATGACTCACTATCACCTTGCTGAATAATACACACATCGTGTTGTGACTCACTATCACCTTGCAGACTATCACACACATCGTGTTGTGACTCACTATCATCTTGCTGACTATCACACACATCGTGTTGTGACTCACTATCACCTTGCTGACTATCACACACATCGTGATGTGACTCACTATCACCTTGCAGACTATCACACACATCGTGATGTGACTCACTATCACCTTGCTGATAACACACACATCGTGATGTGACTCACTATCACCTTGCAGACTATCACACACATCGTGTGGCGACTCACTCATCACCTTGTTGACTATCACACACATCGTGTTGTGACTCACTATAGTCTTACTGACTATCACACACATCGTGATGTGACTCCACTATCACCTTGCTGACTATCACATCATCGTGTTATGACTGACTATCACCTTGCTTGACTAACGCACACACATCGTGATGTGACTCACTATCACCTTACAGACTATCACACATCGTGATGTGACTCCACTATCATCTTGCTGACTAGCACACACATCGTGATGTGACTCACTATCACCTTGCTGACTAACACACACATCATCTCATGTGACTCACTATCACCTTGTTGACTATCACACACATCGTGATGTGACTCCAGTAGCACCTTGCTGACTATCACACACATCGTGTTGTGTCTTACTATCACCTTGCAGACTATCACACACATCGTGATGTGACTCACTATCACCTTACAGACTATCACACACATCGTGATGTGACTCACTATCATCTTGCTGACTTACACACACGTCGTGATGTGACTCACTATCACCTTGCTGACTATCACACACATCCTGATGTGACTCAGTAGCACCTTGCAGACAATCACACACATCCTGATGTGACTCATTTTCACCTTGCAGACAATCACACACATCCTGATGTGACTCCCTATCACCTTGCTGACTATCACACACATCGTGATGTGACTCACTATCACCTTGCTGACTAACACACACATCCTGATGTGACTCACTATCACCTTGCAGACTATCACACACATTGTGATGTGACTCACTATCACCTTGCAGACTAACACACACATTGTGATGTGACTCACTTTCACCCTGCAGACTAACACACACATCGTGTTGTGACTCACTATCACCTTGGAGACTAACACACACATTGTGTTGTGACTCACTATCACCTTGCAGACTAACACATACATCCTGATGTGACTCACTACCACCTTACAGACAATCACACACATCCTGATGTGACTCACCATCATCTTGCAGACTATCACACACATCCTGATGTGCCTCACTATCACCTTGCAGACTAACACACACATCCTGATGTGACTCACTATCACCTTACAGACTATCACACACATCGTGTTGTGACTCATTATCACCTTGCTGACTATCACACAAATCATGGTGTGACTCACTATCACCTTTCTGACTAACACACACATCGTGTTGTGACTCACTATCACCTTGCTGACTATCACACACATCGTGTTGTGACTCACTATCACCTTGCTGACTAACACACACATCGTGATGTGACTCACTATCACCTTTCTGACTAACACACACATCGTGTTATGACTCACTATCACCTTGCTGAATAATACACACATCGTGTTGTGACTCACTATCACCTTGCAGACTATCACACACATCGTGTTGTGACTCACTATCATCTTGCTGACTATCACACACATCGTGTTGTGACTCACTATCACCTTGCTGACTATCACACACATCGTGATGTGACTCCCTATCACCTTGCAGACTATCACACACATCGTGATGTGACTCACTATCACCTTGCTGATAACACACACATCGTGATGTGACTCACTATCACCTTGCAGACTATCACACACATCGTGTGGCGACTCACTATCACCTTGCTGACTATCACACACATCGTGTTGTGACTCACTATAGTCTTACTGACTATCACACACATCGTGATGTGACTCACTATCACCTTGCTGACTATCACACACATCGTGTTATGACTGACTATCACCTTGCTGACTAACGCACACATCGTGATGTGACTCACTATCACCTTACAGACTATCACACACATCGTGATGTGACTCACTATCATCTTGCTGACTAGCACACACGTCGTGATGTGACTCACTATCACCTTGCTGACTAACACACACATCCTGATGTGACTCACTATCACCTTGCTGACTATCACACACATCGTGATGTGACTCAGTAACACCTTGCTGACTATCACACACATCGTGTTGTGTCTTACTATCACCTTGCAGACTATCACACACATCGTGATGTGACTCACTATCATCTTGCTGACTTACACACACGTCGTGATGTGACTCACTATCACCTTGCTGACTATCACACACATCCTGATGTGACTCAGTAGCACCTTGCTGACAATCACACACATCCTGATGTGACTCATTTTCACCTTGCAGACAATCACACACATCCTGATGTGACTCACTATCACCTTGCTGACTATCACACACATCGTGATGTGACCTCACTATCACCTGTGACTCACTATCACCTTGTTGACTAACACACACATCCTGATGTGACTCACTATCACCTTGCAGACTATCACACACATTGTGATGTGACTCACTATCACCTTGCAGACTAACACACACATTGTGATGTGACTCACTTTCACCCTGCAGACTAACACACACATCGTGTTGTGACTCACTATCACCTTTGCAGACTAACACACACATTGTGTTGTGACTCACTATCACCTTGCAGACTAACACATACATCCTGATGTGACTCACTACCACCTTACAGACAATCACACACATCCTGATGTGACTCACCATCATCTTGCAGACTATCACACACATCCTGATGTGCCTCACTATCACCTTGCAGACTAACACACACATCCTGATGTGACTCACTATCACCTTACAGACTATCACACACATCGTGTTGTGACTCACTATCACCTTGCTGACTATCACACACATCATGGTGTGACTCACTATCACCTTTCTGACTAACACACACGTCGTGTTGTGACTCACTATCACCTTGCTGACTATCACACACATCGTGTTGTGACTCAGTATCACGTTGCAGACTAACACACACATCGTGATGTGACTCAGTAGCACGATGCATGCTAACAACACTTCTTGATGCTACTAACAAGGACCTTGGAGACTTACAAACACCATGGTCCTCCCATCTGTTGTAGAGGACATTCTATCTCACATACGAGTGGTGTATGTTGTTGTAGATGACACGCAGATCTTAAAGTCGGAGTTTGAGTCTGAATGGGTTACCAAGTTTGCTTTAGGACCGAAAGCGGAGGCTGACGCGCTATTCGATGCCGCCGATGCAAATGACGATGGCAAAATCACCAAGGCGGATCTTCCTTACATCTTCCAGTATTTCGACATGGACAGTGAGTTATTTTTATATAATCAATTATCAGACATTAACATGCACTCTGACATGCAGTTAAGATAGGTCAGTCCAACAGAATACCCAGTCCTTAGTCTGTTTAATTTGACGGGAAAATTATATGAAAGGATCACTGGAATATCCTGGAAAAACAAGCACCTTCTGTGAGTGTATGTTGAGATGACAGCACCGTATGTGTATGACAGCACCGATGTGTGTGTATGTTGAGGTGGCGGCATCCTATGTGTGTGTATGTTGGGATGACGGCATCTTATGTGTGTGTATGTTGAGATGGCGGCACCTTATGTGTGTGTATGTTGAGATGACAGCATCTTATGTGTGTGTATGTTGAGATGACAGCACCTTATGTGTGTGTATGTTGAGATGACAGCATCTTATGTGTGTGTATGTTGAGGTGGCGGCATCCTATGTGTGTGTATGTTGAGATGACAGCACCTTATGTGTGTGTATGTTGAGATGGCGGCACCTTATGTGTGTGTATGTTGGGATGGCGGCATCTTATGTGTGTGTATGTTGAGATGGCGGCACCTTATGTGTGTATGTTGAGATGACAGCATCTTATGTGTGTGTATGTTGAGATGACAGCACCTTATGTGTGTGTATGTTGAGATGGCGGCACCTTATGTGTGTGTATGTTGAGATGGCGGCATCTTATGTGTGTGTATGTTGAGATGGCGGCACCTTATGTGTGTGTATGTTGAGATGACAACACCTTATGTGTGTGTATGTTGAGATGACAGCACCTTATGTGTGTGTATGTTGAGATGACAGCACCTTATGTGTGTGTATGTTGAGATGACAGCACCTTATGTGTGTGTATGTTGAGATGACAGCACCTTATGTGTGTGTATGTTGAGATGACAGCACCTTATGTGTGTGTATGTTGAGATGACAGCACCTTATGTGTGTGTATGTTGAGATGACAGCACCTTATGTGTGTGTATGTTGAGATGACAGCACCTTATGTGTGTGTATGTTGAGATGACAGCACCTTATGTGTGTGTATGTTGAGATGACAGCACCTTATGTGTGTGTATGTTGAGATGACAGCACCTTATGTGTGTGTATGTGTATGTTGATGGCAGCACCTTATGTGTGTGTATGTTGAGATGACAGCACCTTATGTGTGTGTATGTTGAGATGACAACACCTTATGTGTGTATGTTGAGATGACAGCACCTTATGTGTGTGTATGTTGAGATGACAGCACCTTATGTGTGTGTATGTTGAGGTGGCGGCACCCTATGTGTGTGTATGTTGAGGATGGCAGCACCTTATGTGTGTGTATGTTGAGATGACAACACCTTATGTGTGTGTATGTTGAGATGACAACACCTTATGTGTGTGTATGTTGAGATGACAAGCACCTTATGTGTGTGTATGTTGAGATGGCGGCACCTTATGTGTGTGTGTATGTTGAGATGACAACACCTTATGTGTGTGTATGTTGAGATGACAACACCTTATGTGTGTGTATGTTGAGATGACAGAACCTTATGTGTGTGTATGTTGAGATGACAGCACCTTATGTTTGTGTATGTTGAGATGACAGCACCTTATGTTATGTTGTGTGTGTATGTTGAGATGACAGCACCTTATGTGTGTGTATGTTGAGATGACAGCACCTTATGTGTGTGTGTATGTTGAGATGACAGCACCTTATGTGTGTATGTTGAGATGACAGCACCTTATGTGTGTGTATGTTGAGATGACAGCACCTTATGTGTGTGTATGTTGAGATGACAGCACCTTATGTGTGTATGTTTGAGATGGCAGCACCCTATGTGTGTGTATGTTGAGATGGCAGCACCTTATGTGTGTGTGTATGTTGAGATGGCAGCACCTTATGTGTGTGTATGTTGAGATGGCAGCATCTTATGTGTGTGTGTGTATGTTGAGATGATGGCAGACAACACCTTATGTGTGTGTATGTTGAGATGACAGCACCTTATGTGTGTGTATGTTGAGATGACAGCACCTTATGTGTGTGTATGTTGAGATGACAGCACCTTATGTGTGTGTATGTTGAGATGGCAGCACCTTATGTGTGTATGTTGAGATGACAGCACCTTATGTGTGTGTATGTTGAGATGACAGCAGCACCTGACAGCATATATGTGTGTATGTTGAGATGACAGCACCTTATGTGTGTGTATGTTGAGATGACAGCACCTTATGTGTGTGTATGTTGAGATGACAGCACCTTATGTGTGTGTATGTTGAGATGACAGCACCTTATGTGTGTGTGTATGTTGAGATGACAGCACCTTATGTTTGTGTATGTTGAGATGACAGCACCTTATGTGTGTGTATGTTGAGATGACAGCACCTTATGTGTGTGTATGTTGAGATGACAGCACCTTATGTGTGTGTATGTTGAGATGACAGCAGCACCTTATGTGTGTGTATGTTGAGATGACAGCACCTTATGTGTGTGTGTGTATGTTGAGATATGTTGAGATGACACCTATATGTGTGTGTATGTTGAGATGACACACACCTTATGTGTGTGTATGTTGAGATGACAGCACCTTATGTGTGTGTATGTTGAGATGACAGCACCTTATGTGTGTGTGTATGTTGAGATGACAACACCTTATGTGTGTGTATGTTGAGATGACAACATATATGTGTGTGTATGTTGAGATGTATGTTGAGATGACCTTATGTGTGTGTATGTTGAGATGACAGCACCTTATGTTGTGTGTGTATGTTGAGATGACAGCACCTTATGTGTGTGTGTATGTTGAGATGACAACACCTTATGTATGTGATATGTTGAGATGACAGACACCTTATGTGTGTGTATGTTGAGATGACAGCACCTTATATGTGTGTGTATGTTGAGATGACAGCACCTTATGTGTGTGTATGTTGAGATGAGATGACAGCACCTTATGTGTGTGTATGTTGAGATGACAACACTTTATGTGTGTGTATGTTGAGATGACAGCACCTTATATGTGTGTGTATGTTGAGATGACAGCACCTTATGTGTGTGTATGTTGAGATGACAGCACCTTATGTGTGTGTATGTTGAGATGACAGCACCTTATGTGTGTGTATGTTGAGATGACAACACCTTATGTGTGTGTGTATGTTGAGATGACAGCACCTTATGTGTGTGTATGTTGTGTGTATGTTGAGATGACAGAACCTTATGTGTGTGTATGTTGAGATGACAGCACCCTTATGTGTGTGTATGTTGAGATGACAGCACCTTATGTGTGTGTGTATGTTGAGATGACAGCACCTTATGTTTGTGTATGTTGAGATGACAGCACCTTATGTGTGTGTATGTTGAGATGACAGCACCTTATGTGTGTGTATGTTGAGATGACAGCACCTTATGTGTGTGTATGTTGAGATGACAGCACCTTATGTGTGTGTATGTTGAGATGACAGCACCTTATGTGTGTGTGTGTATGTTGAGATGACCATGCACCTTATGTGTGTATGTTGAGATGACAGCACCTTATGTGTGTGTATGTTGAGATGACAGCACCTTTATGTGTGTGTATGTTGAGATGACAGCACCTTATGTGTGTATGTGTGTATGTTGAGATGACAGGCACCTTATGTGTGTGTATGTTGAGATGACAGCACCTTATGTTGTGTGTATGTTGAGATGACAACACCTTATGTTGTTGTGTGTATGTTGAGATGACAACACCTTATGTGTGTGTATGTTGAGATGACAGCACCTTATGTGTGTGTATGTTGAGATGGCAGCACCTTATATGTGTGTATGTTGAGATGACAGCACCTTAATATGTGTTTATGTGTGTGTATGTTGAGATGACAGCACCTTATGTGTGTGTATGTTGAGATGACAGCACCTTATGTGTGTGTATGTTGAGATGACAGCACCTTATGTGTGTGTATGTTGAGATGACAGCACCTTATGTGTGTGTATGTTGAGATGACAGCACCTTATGTGATGTGTGTATGTTGAGATGACAGCACCTTATGTGTGTGTATGTTGAGATGACAGCACCTTATGTGTGTGTATGTTGAGATGACAGCACCTGTATGTTGATGTGTGTGTATGTTGAGATGACAGCACCTTATGTGTGTGTATGTTGAGATGTATGTTGAGATGACAGAACCTTCTTATGTGTGTATGTTGAGATATATGTTGTGTGTATGTTGAGATGACAGCACCTTATGTGTGTTATGAGATGCACCTTATGTGTGTATGTTGAGGATGACAGCACCTTATGTGTGTGTATGTTGAGATGACAGCACCTTATGTGTGTGTATGTTGAGATGACAGCACCTTATGTGTGTGTATGTTGAGATGACAGCACCTTATGTGTGTGTATGTTGAGATGACAGCACCTCTTATGTGTGTGTATGTTGAGATGGATGACAGCACCTTATGTGTGTGTATGTTGAGATGACAGCACCTTATATGTGTGTGTGTATGTTGAGATGACAGCACCTTATGTGTGTGTATGTTGAGATGACAGCACCTTATGTGTGTGTATGTTGAGATGACAGCACCACCTTATGTTGAGATGTGTGTATGTTGAGATGACAGCACCTTATGTGTGTGTATGTTGAGATGACAGCACCTTATGTGTGTGTATGTTGAGATGAGCAGCACCTTGTGTGTGTGTGTATGTTGAGATGGCAGCACCTTATGTGTGTGTATGTTGAGATGCACAGCACCTTATGTGTATGTGTGTATGTTGAGATGACAGCAGCACCTTATGTGTGTGTATGTTGAGATGACAGCACCTTTATGTGTGTGTATGTTGATGATGACAGCACCTTATGTGTGTGTATGTTGAGATGACAGCACCTTATGTGTGTATGTTGTGTATGTGTGTATGTTGAGATGGCAGCACCTTATGTGTGTGTATGTTGAGATGACAGCACCTTATGTGTGTGTATGTTGTGACAGCACCTTATGGTGTGATGTTGAGATGACACCTTTGTGTGTTGAGATGGCGGCATCTTATGTGTGTATGTTGAGATGACAGCACCTTATGTTATGTATGTATGTTGAGATGACAGCACCTTATGTGTGTGTATGTTGATCTGTGTGATGACAGCACCTTACCTGTGTGTGTGTATGTTGAGATGACAGCACCTTATGTGTGTGTATGTTGAGATGACAACACCTATATGTGTGTGTATGTTGAGATCCCAGCACCTTATGTGTGTGTATGTTGAGATGACAGCCACCTTATGTGTGTGTATGTTGAGATGACAGCACCTTATGTGTGTGTATGTTGAGATGACAGCACCTTATGTGTGTGTATGTTGAGATGACAGCACCTTATGTGTGTGTGTATGTTGAGATGACAGCACCTTATGTGTGTGTGTATGTTGAGATGACAGCACCTTATGTGTGTGTGTGTGTATGTTGAGATGACAGCACCTTATGTGTATGTTGAGATGCACCTTATGTGTGTGTGTATGTTGAGATGACAGCACCTTATGTGTGTGTGTATGTTGAGATGACAGCACCTTTATGTGTGTGTATGTTGAGTGTGTATGTGTGTATGTTGAGATGACAGCACCTTATGTGTGTGTATGTTGAGATGACAGCACCTTATGTGTGTGTATGTTGAGATGGCAGCACCTTATGTGTGTGTATGTTGAGATGACAGCACCTTATGTGTGTGTATGTTGAGATGACAGCACCTTATGTGTGTGTATGTTGAGATGACAGCACCTTATGTGTGTGTATGTTGAGATGACAGCACCTTATGTTGTGATGACAGCACCTTATGTGTGTGTATGTTGAGATGACAGCACCTTATGTGTGTGTATGTTGAGATGACAGCACCTTATGTGTGTGTATGTTGAGATGACAGCACCTTATGTGTGTGTGTATGTTGAGATGACAGCACCTTATGTGTGTGTATGTTGAGATGACAGCACCTTATGTGTGTGTATGTTGAGATGACAGCACCTTATGTGTGTGTATGTTGAGATGACAGCACCTTATGTGTGTGTATGTTGAGATGACAGCACCTTATGTGTGTGTATGTTGAGATGACAGAACCTTATGTGTGTGTATGTTGAGATGACAGCACCTTATGTGTGTGTATGTTGAGATGACAGCACCTTATGTGTGTGTATGTTGAGATGACAGCACCTTATGTGTGTGTATGTTGAGATGACAGCACCTTATGTGTGTGTGTATGTTGAGATGACAGCACCTTATGTGTGTGTATGTTGAGATGACAGCACCTTATGTGTGTGTATGTTGAGAAGACAGAACCTTATGTGTGTGTATGTTGAGATGACAGCACCTTATGTGTGTGTATGTTGAGATGACAGCACCTTATGTGTGTGTATGTTGAGATGACAGCACCTTATGTGTGTGTATGTTGAGATGACAGCACCTTATGTGTGTGTATGTTGAGATGACAGCACCTTTATGTGTGTGTATGTTGAGATGACAGCACCTTATATGTGTGTATGTTGAGATATGTTGAGATGACAGCACCTTTATGTGTGTGTATGTTGAGATGACAGCATGTGTGTGTATTATTATGTGTGTATGTTGAGATGACAGCAACTTATGTGTTTATGGTGAGATCCTAGCACCTTATGTGTGTGTATGTTGAAATGACAGCACCTTATGTGTGTGTATGTTGAGATCCTAGCCCCTTATGTGTGTGTATGTTGCGATTCCAGGACCTTATGTGTGTGTATGTTGAGATGACAGCACCTTATGTGTGTATATTTTGAGATTCCTACCCCGTATGTGTGTGGTGGGTGTGATTTTACTAATTACTCAAATTTTTCTAACATGAGACTTCATGGAAACCAAATCAAGCAATGTTTTCAGGTGATGGTTCCGTTGACATGAATGAGTTCCTAACACAGTGGGGTGACCTCACGCTAATCCCAGTCCAAGTTGGCAAGTAGGAGCGGTGTCCTTTGATAAGACATGGCATTTGAACTGTATATTTAATAAAAACTGTTGAGTCTAATCAAACTCTGTACACTATTTATTTTATCGTTGAAAACGATCCAGCTCAGTGTACCTGGACATGTGCAGGATAACCATCCAAACACCTGTTAAGACATTATTTCGAACTCACGGTACTTTAATGCTGATATGTCTTTATGAAAAGGCCTTCTGTGGTGATGATATAGGTTCTACCAAGAATGGAATGACGATGAGAGAGGAAAATAGAGACATTTTGTCAGTGGTCAGGTCAGCAATATTCCTGCAATATCACAACTGACAATATACTCAAATCTGGACTGGACAATCCAGTGATCGATGTATCAATGTGAGTAACTATCCACGTCGTTGGGGTGGGTACAAGGATACCCCTGAAGCACATCAATCCGTTTGACCACCCGATCCACTTAACCAGCACTTTAACGCAGAGTGCTGGGAATCAGTTCTACGTCAGAATCCCCAAGGGGTACCATGTCTCTCTGCAATCACGGGTATGATATGTATCCTAACACTAAGGGAGCGGTGGGTAGCCTAGTGGTTAAAGCGTTCGCTCGTCACGCCGAAAACCCGGGTTCGATTCCTCACATGGGTACAATTTGTAAAGGCCACACATGATGTCCCCGGGGCGGTGGGGTAGCCTAGTGGTTAAAGCGTTCGCTCGTCACGCCGAAGACCCGGGTTCGAATCCCCACATGGGTACAATTTGTGAAGCCCATTTCTGGTGTCCCCCGCCGTGATGTTGCTGGAATATTGCTAAAAGCGGCGTAAAACTATTACTCGCTACACTAAGGTATATACATGTACATCCGACAAGGCATTAGACAAGGTGGTTCGTGTTTCAATCTTCATAAAATGGCTGACAATGACATTATGCTAATCATGGTATAAGTATGAATATAGATACTGATTTAAAGAAGCCGGGATCTAGCTATTTGTGGAGCTGATCACGTGACACTGATAACAGGTTGACATTGCCGCCAGTATGGTAAGTGGAGTTTTTCTTTGTAGAATTGTAGAAACCAAGCTTGAATAAAACAGTTAAGTCACATCTAGTTATAAATACATTTACGAAGAGAAGACATGGAATTGTACGTCTTAATACAGCTAAGTAAAATGTCCTCTCAGTTTAGAAAAAGTAACTCATATGTATACAAGAAACACAATCAATATCATCTTGTCAAATCTAAGCAAGTTTTAATATGTACCCAACCTGACCACGACCAGCCTCTTATACCTTGCGAGATACACACGGTGAACAACATAGGATTTGCAAAGTTTCTCGACAAACAGTTCACGGATAGAGTGAGTGAGTTTAGTTTTACTCCGCTTTTAGCAATATTCCAGCAATATCACGGCGGGGACACCAGAAATGGGCTTCACACATAGTACCCATGTGGGGAATCGAACCCGAGTCTTCGGCGTGACGAGCCAACGCTTTAACCACTAGGCTACCCCACCGCCCCAGTTCACGAATAGAAACATCGGCGGAAACTTTCGAATGTGAAGAAGGAACCAAAATAATCTACAGCGTTTCCATAGAATAGTTAAAATGATATGCAGTAAAACCTGGTAAATCCGGACAGGACACTAATTATAGAGGTGTTCAGATTAGCGGGGTCCCAACTAACGAAATGTTGGTGTATTTCACATGTGGATATGCCTATCTCAGTGTGTAGATAGCGTGTTATTAGCAGTTCTTGTGGGATTGTTGAACAGACAGGTGTCTTGGGTCACATCCTGTCTAAGGGAGACAGAAACACGATTAGTAAATTCACAGATTGGACAGGTTGATTCCTGTATTCTGGTTGTAAATATTCTTCTTATCTGACACGGACTCTGAACATTGCTTCATTGTATGAAGGAAAAAGGCCTAGATAACAGCAGTCAGGTTTGTTTCACTGACACACAGACTACCTCTCACAAACACAGTTACAGACACACACAGACTACCTCTCACAAACACAGTTACAGACACACACAGACGCACGCTCACACAGACTCTTTTTCTCATGCATACATATTATTCACTATCGCGAGTGCGCACACACGTCACAGCATTCAAGAACCTTGCCCCAGTGAGAGTGCTACTACATCTACATTGATTATATTTGGGGCCGTGACTTAGCTTACCCGTGAAGATCCGGGTTAGAATTGATTTTCAGTAACCCATGCTTGTCGTAAGTGGCGACTAACGGCATCGAGTGGTCAGGCTCGCTGACTTGGTTGACACATGTCATCGGTTCCCAATTGTGTAGATCAATGCTCTGCTCTGCAGTTGACCACTGGATTGTCTGGTTCAGACAGGAGTATTTACAGACCGCCGCCATATAGCTGGGATAGTGCTGACTGCGGCGTAAAACTAAACTCACTCTCTCGGGGGTAGCTTTGTGGTCAAGCTTACAATGTGCTTACAAAGTCACTAAACAAGATGTGGTTGTCTCCCTTGTTGACGGGGCTGCCTCCGAGCCCCGAGGTGAAAGTGTCTAGTCAAGTCAATGGTTCGATACCCGCTAGAATCATACCAAAAGTTAAAAGATGGTACTTATTGTTTCCCTGTCTGTCACTCGGCAATACGCGCATACAACAAGGACGATGTGGGGCATCCAAGTTAAACTGCGGTATGGTATCTATCTGGGCTAGCACTTTCCCAATGGCGTCACTACACAAGTGAAATAATATTGAACCCACTGAACCTGTCCCCGCATCTTATTTACGATACTAACAGATGATATCATACTTTCAGACTAGCCTGTCCAGGATATCGTGTTTAGTTGTCGTCTCTGCTGTGGCACTGGGGTGAGCAGATTTCCTGCATATTCAATTATTGTTATATTTTCACCATTGTGTACACAGGGTATCCTGTACTGTATCGGTTGTCCATGCCTTTAGTTCCACTGTGTTTGGATCTATTGAAAACCGCCTTCAGTAACCCAGTGACCCTTCACTGCTTGACTCCACCCTGGTCTAGTGGGCCGAGCGTGTTCTCGGAGAGCGACAAGTCGGCATCCCGTTATAAAGATGGTACACGATATTACCTTGCCTCGGGTGGCAATCCCTTGTTGTTCTGGGTCAGTAAACCGCATTAGAGCAGCTTATCCATGCATTTTCACCGCGCCCAGCGTCACTTTGTTCGAACCCTAACTTTTCCTGATATTGAATCAATGTGTTATTCGTTTAATGCTATTCCAGATATATGGCAGCGAACTGTAAATATTCGAGTCTGTCTTGTAGTGTTGGGAATTGGTTAAAATCTCATAATTGATGATTGGTTCATTACCACCGATCAATCATCGAAAATAATTGGTTAGCCACATTTATGAAATTTGTTTATGCACAAATAAATAAGGAAAAAAACATGTAGTTATTTTGGGGTTTGGGCAAAATTTCACATCTTTAAAGGATGACTAGTATTTTGGGAACAGAAATTTCTTAGTGTCTTTAAGATAAATTCAATCATGGCTTGGAACGATCTTCTAATGCTTATGAAATGTAACAGACAAAACCAACCTTGTGAAAAATATTGTTGATAAAAACAAGTGTTCCAGAATTGTTTGTGTTCGATTATGAGAAAACATGATCGTTGCTTGGTCGTTTAGTCACTGCGACCAATCTTCGATTATTTCAATTAATCGGATCACCACTACTGTCTTGACAATCCATTGATTGACACCACCTATCTACGCATTTTTAAAAGCAATAGATAGCAAAGGCAGTCAAGAGACCCACCCATGGAGTCAACTGACCATTGCCGCTGGTTCAAAACACGTGGCCACAGTTGGACATAGCCTCCGTTGACTTCTCACCTGCTGGTTACAGGCTTACACTCGACTCGTTGCTCACAACAACAGCAATTGAGCGTGACGGAGGAACATTGTGTAGACTCCCGTCTAGGTCTTTATAAAACATACAGTGTCCATTGCTGTTTCGTTTACTGTATATAACTGGCTGTGTTAATGCTGAACTGACCTATGTATGTTGCCCCTACCCTGGCAGGGTGATGGGCCACCCCGGGCGTCCCCCCCCCTCATGGACCCCACCCAGGCCAGACAGTTGTTTCATCTCGCCGAGATGAACAGGACAGCGGATGGGTTTCTCACCAAGGCGGAGGTTGCCGACATATTTAGTGCATTTGATGTGAACGGTGAGCACTGACCAATATAAGTATGTTTTAATGCTGCCCGATGAAAACTACCAGATATCTTGGTGATAATTAAGCCTACTTCCGGTAGGTCAGTGATATTAAGTCTATATGCAGCTATCTATGTCTGTAGGCCGCCTCCGTGGTGTAGTGGTTAGAGCGTCCGCCCGGAGAACGGAAGGTCGCGGGTTTGATCCCCGACCGCGTCATACCAAAAGACGTTAAAATATGGTACTTGTTGGTCCCTGCCTGGCGCTCGGCATTCATGGGTACAACAAGGACTGGTCGGCTCGGAGTCAGTATACTGTGTCTGAGTGGGGTATTCATGCTTCACTGCGGCATGGTATCTCAGTGAGCTAGCACTATAAAACCAGCTTCAGTCTGGGCTAGTACAAGCAGCCGCACATACACATACACACGCATGCACGTCGTCATATGAGCGAAATATTCTCAAGCACGACGTTCAACCCAATTTCACCTCACCTCACCTATAGGCAGTATATATCCGGGTAGGTCAGTAATATGAATTCTATATGCGGTATATAAGTCTACTTAGAATATATACCCGGGTAGATCAGTGATATCAAGTCTGTATACGGTATATAAGTCTATATGCAGTATATATCCGGGTAGATCAGTGATATCAAGTCTGTATGCGGTATCTAAGTCTATGTACAGTATATATCCGGGTAGATAAGTAATATCAATTCTATATGCGGTATCTGAGTCTATAAAGAATATATTCCCGGGTAAATCAGTGATATCAAGTCTGTATACGGTATATAAGTCTATATGCAAGTCTGTATGCGGTATATACGTCTATATACAGTATATATCAGGGTAGATCAGTGATATCAAGTCTGTATACGGTATTTACGTCTATATGCAGTATATATCCGGGTAGATCAGTGATATCAAGTCTGTATGCGGTATCTAAGTCTATGTACAGTATATATCCGGGTAGATAAGTAATATCAATTCTATATGCGGTATCTGAGTCTATAAAGAATATATTCCCGGGTAAATCAGTGATATCAAGTCTGTATACGGTATATACGTGTATATACAGTATATATCCGGGTAGGTCAGTGGTATCAAGTCTGTATACGGTATCTAAGTCTATATACAGTATATATCCGGGTAGATCAGCGGTATCTGGTTTGTATACGGTATCTTAGTCTATGTACAATATATATCCGGGTAGGTCAGCGGTATCAAGTCTGTATGCGGTATCTAAGTCTATGTACAGTATATATCCTGGTAGATCAATGATTTCAAGTCTGTATGCGGTATCTAAGTCTATGTACAGTATATATCCTGGTAGATCAGCGGTATCAAGTCTGTATGCGGTATCTAAGTCTATGTGCAGCATATATCCGGGTAGGTCAGTGATAATCTTGAAGTCCTTTTCAGGTAGATCACCGTTATAGCGTCTATATGCGAGTACAGTCGAGCACAGTTGTATCTAAGACAGATCAATCATGTATTGGCACATCGTCAGGTAGTTCTGTTATATGATGTATATATCCCAGTGGTTCGCTGATATCGTGTATATAGCCTCGTAGATCAAGTGTATCAAGTCCGTATCTAGGTAGATTAGTGATATATCGCTACATAGTCCTGTAAATAAGACACATTACATTTACTGGCTCATGGACGTATGGTGGTCGATGTGAAGTTTCTTCCCATAGCTGTGCACAGATCAGCTGCTCGTGTGTTTGAATCCCATTATGAACCTCGGTATGTCAGCACAGTACTTGGAATCGTTTTATATATTTGTCAAATGTACACTTAAATCCACACTTCTTAATATTGTTGAAAGTGGAGTTAAATCCTACTCAGTCCCTCACAGCAGCTTTGATCTAAGTTCTATTTACATGTCTCTCGTGTCTCATGGGACGTTATTGTATCTGTAGGAGACGGGACAATCGTGGAGTCTGAGTTCACAGCTCACTGGCAGAGTCGCAATCTCGGCAGCGTCCTATCCGCCGTCTACCTCTTCCACCGCGCCGACACCGACCAGAACGGCATCATCACTCGAACACCTGACATGGACCGGGTTTTCAGCTACTTCGACCTCGACGGTAGACATTTTGATTCACCAAGAACACCGGCTGTATGATGAACTTTTGCAATGTTTCATTTTCAGACTGCAAACTGTCCACTGGTTTGGCGTAATACGAGTGTTATTTGGGATGGGATTGTGACGATGTGTCGATTGTCCCATTACTAGGGGTGGGTATTGCCGAGAAATTTCATATTGCGATATATTGCGATTCGAAAGCATATATTGCTATACGTATTGCAATATATTGCTAGAATATTTGTTTCATAAAAAAATACTTATAATCGAGTTAATGCTTGATTTATAAAGCAAATTCACAACAAAATCACTATGCTTGATTAAGCTTTAATAAAAACTTTGAATCATGTTTAAATGAAGGAAACAAGGAAAAGAACAATTTAACATCAACACAGTGGTTACTAGTTTAAACTAGTTTCTCCACCCTCAAAAAAGCCCTGAGATTTTAGACAGCAACTTGACCTGGTCAGGACATATCAGGGATCACTGGTCAATAATGAGTAAATATATATATAACATTCAGATCCAAAACATTGCGAAACACTTGAACAAATATTAAGAACACAACTTCAAACCGAACTTAACTTGATTTCCGGTGTGAAAAACGGAAATATCCGAAGATTTCCGAGTGTTACGAAGTTTTCCGAATGCATGTCGAAAAACCGGTTTTCGATCCGGGTATCGCAATACGTATCGATTTCATGTCTGAACCGGTAAATACCGGTAAACCGGATATATTGCGCAGCCCTACCCATTACACATCCAGTGTTGTTCAGACACCACTATTTGCAACCCGCTATATAGGTCCGCACTCAGGGGGCACAGAACCCTTTCTTTCTGAGGCGACGCATGCAATGAGCTGTGCAGATACCCTCACGAAAGGCGTTCCTTATTTATATAATAGACACTCACATCCATATCATTCAAGGAGCAATGGTGTTCGCTCGTCACGTCAAGGATCCGGGTTCGATTCTCCACATGGGTACAATGTGTGAAGTCTATTTCTGGTATCCCCCGCCGTGATATTGCTAAAGCGACGTAAGATTAAACGCACTCACTCACTTATCATTCAAGAGGATGCCAGTTGGATACTTGGTGTAAAAGTGGCCAAGGGATTTTCTCTCATTGACAGGAATAAGTGAAGCGTTATAAAATACCTTCCAGACACCCACATGTGAATGAGTGAGTTCTAATGTTAGTAGATCCCTTCGACTATAGTTTATAAAATGCTCAATGTAAACGTGGATGAGTGAGTGAGTGAGTTCTAATGTTAGGAGATCTCGACTATAGTAAAATGCTCAATGTAAACGTGGATGAGTGAGTGAGTAGTTCTAATTATAGTAGATCCCTTCGACTATAGTTTGTAAAATGCTCAATGTAAACGTGGATGAGTGAGTGAGTGAGTTCTAATGTTAGTAGATCCCTTCGACTATAGTTTATAAAATGCTCAATGTAAACGTGGATGAGTGAGTGAGTGAGTTCTAATTATAGTAGATCCCTTCGACTATAGTTTATAAAATGCTCAATGTAAACGTGGATGAGTGAGTGAGTGAGTTCTAATTATAGTAGATCCCTTCGACTATAGTTTATAAAATGTTTATAAAATGCTCAATGTAAACGTGGATGAGTGAGTGAGTGAGTTCTAATTATAGTAGATCCCTTCGACTATAGTTTATAAAATGCTCCCTCAATGTAAACGTGGATGAGTGAGTGAGTGAGTTCTAATTATAGTAGATCCCTTCGACTATAGTTTATAAAATGCGATGGATGAGTGAGTGAGTGAGTTCAATGTAAACGTGGATGAGTGAGTGAGTGAGTTCTAATTATAGTAGATCCCTTCGACTATAGTTTGTTTATAAAATGCCCAATGTAAACGTGGATGAGTGAGTGAGTGAGTTCTAATTATAGTAGATCCCTTCGACTATAGTTTATAAAATGCTCAATGTAAACGTGGATGAGTGAGTGAGTGAGTTCTAATTATAGTAGATCCCTTCGACTATAGTTTATAAAATGCTCAATGTAAACGTGGATGAGTGAGTGAGTGAGTTCTAATTATAGTAGATCCCTTCGACTATAGTTTATAAAATGCTCAATGTAAACGTGGATGAGTGAGTGAGTGAGTTCTAATTATAGTAGATCCCTTCGACTATAGTTTATAAAATGCTCAATGTAAACGTGGATGAGTGAGTGAGTGAGTTCTAATTATAGTAGATCCTTCGACTATAGTTTATAAAATGCTCAATGTAAACGTGGATGAGTGAGTGAGTGAGTTCTAATTATAGTAGATCCCTTCGACTATAGTTTATAAAATGCTCAATGTAAACGTGGATGAGTGAGTGAGTGAGTTCTAATTATAGTAGATCCCTTCTATAGTTTGACAATGTAAACGTGGATGAGTGAGTGAGTATAGTTTATAAAATGCTCAATGTAAACGTGGATGAGGTTGACGGAGGGTTAGTGGACACATACAGGAATATAAGAAGCGTCATAAAATACCTTTCGGTGCTCAAATCTGTTCGGTGAGTGAGTGAGTGAGTGAGCGAGGGTTGATGTTTCCAGCATCCGGGATCACATAAAAGGAATAACGGTCTACACATCAATAGTTTACTGTTATTGTTCTACATTATTGCTTGTTTATCTCCAGATAACGGAAAGGTTAGCGAACCCGAGTTTGTCGTCGTTTGGGCGAGTCTGACGTCATAAATGGAACACATGCTGAGGAGAGAGATGCTCTCATCATTCTGTGGAACATGAGAAAATAAGAAATAAAGTGTTTTCTAAACCTGAAGTTTTTCCTTTGTTGTAAAATATTCATTTCTGAAAATTAAGAAAAGGTCGTTATGAAAAAGTCTCTGTACAGAATGAAATTCTTCAAAGGCATTTAGAAGTTGGTGTAGTAATACAAGACAAATCTTATGGATAACAACTTCTTGATTTATTTTACACAACGTGTCACAGGCCTTTGCAGACAAAATTAGAATTGCACGAATCGTTTTTCCATTACTCATAAACACCTATTTCCTCCCTTTCAAAGAATTTGCGGGGTGGTGGGGTATCCTAGTGATTAAAAAACGGCGTAAAACCAAACTCACTCACTCTTTTACACTTTCGCAACCCCGTACAATAAGCGTGGTACTATTCAGAATCTCACTTTCGATATTGTGACAACACATTTTCTTAATTTAGGGGTTTAATTTACAGAACAATTAACAACCGAATGGCAATATGCGCAACACATATATCCAGAAACTATATATCGATCCCAAGGACATTTTACAAAACGGTTACAAACAGATCATGGCTGCCACGAAAATAATGGTCTTAGTAAAACTTTGTAAAACCTGAGAGACTCGGAAGTTAATTACATGCATGTAGCTCACATACGGGATACAGACTCGTCACAGGGATGCAGGTGATGAGGACGAGGGGACACAGGTAAGTGAATCACAGTGGGGTATAACTACATTATCAAACACGCCAGGTGCAAAGTAGCCTTTGAAAAAAAACCCTTGTGACCTGTCACTGCTTTAAATAAAGGTATCTCACCCACCTGCTGTTTTAACAAACCATGTTGGGATGCTTCAGTTACCTGAGGACTCCTATACAACAGGTGTAATAGACTGTAATATTCTTACAGGTGAGGCACGTCAAATATCTGGTATACTGATGTAATCATGACACTGGCTCGTTATCCATTGGTCTTCAAAGGCACGAGGACTGGTGTTTTTGTGTGCGTTAAGGAGAATAGAGGGAAGTTTGAAAGTTGAGATTTTTTCGTAGAGAGCCTTTTTGTCTCTTTCCATCCTTTTGTATAGGTCTAAATATGAGTTTCTAAACCAGTGGTAGGGATTTGGCTATTTGATCTCAAGCTGAAACAGAAGTTGCCCGATTTCCCTTGTTTCGATTTGCAATTGAATCCAAAATCGATCTAGAGCAACTGACAAGCGACTGCTTACAAAAGATAGTAATTCATTCTGACCAACCAAACATTGCTAAAAAAAATGTCATAAACTCCTAAATAATCCGAACAGCAACAATAATACAGTTACGACAACTAAACAAATACACAAATGAAAGCATTCACAAATGGGTTTTACTTAAAATTTAAACTTTAGTATTTGGAAAGTGGGGTGACAATCTTTGGGTAGACATGTAAAGATGGTGAGGTGAGGGTCTCAGGGTAGAGCTATAAAGGTGGTGAGGGGATGATCTGAGGGTAGAGATGTACAGATTGGTGAGGTGATGGACTGAGGGTTGATACGTACATATGGTGAGGTGATGGACTGAGAGTAGAGATGTACAGATTGTGAGGTGATGATCTGAGGGTAGAGATGTACAGATTGGTGAGGTGTTGATCTGAGGGTAGAGATGTACATATGGTGAGGTGATGGACTGGGGGTAGAGATGTACACATGGTGATGTGATGGACTGAGGGTAGAGTTGTACAGATGGTGAGGTGATGGACTGAGGGTAGAGATGTACAGATGGTGAGGTGATGGACTGAGGGTAGAGATGTACAGATGGTGAGGTGATGGACTGGGGGTAGAGATGTACAGATGGTGGGGTGATGGGCTGAGGGTAACGATGTACAGATGGTGAGGTGATGGACTGAGGGTAGAGACGTACAGATGGTGAGGTGATGGACTGAGGGCAGAGACGTACAGATGGTGGGGTGATTGTCTGAGGGTAAAGATGCACAGATGGGTTAAGTGATGGTCTGACGGAAGAGATGTACAGATGTGAGGTGATGGAGTGAGGCTAGAGATGTACAGATGGAGAGGTGATGGACTGGGGGTAGAGACGTCCAGATGGTAAGGTGATGGACAGAGGGTAGAGATGTATATATGGTGAGGTGATGGACTGAGGGTAGAGACGTACAGATGTTGAGGTGATTCACTGGCGGTAGAGAAGGACAGATGGTGAGGTGATTGTCTGAGGGTAAAGATGCACAGATGGGTTAAGTGATGGTCTGACGGAAGAGATGTACAGATGTGAGGTGATGGACTGAAGCTAGAGATGCACAGATGGTGAGGTAATGGACTGGGGGTAGAGACGTACATATGGTGAGGTGATGGACTGAGGGTAGAGATGTACAGATGGGTTAAGTGATGGTCTGACGGAAGAGATGTACAGATGGTGAGGTGATTGACTGAGGGTAGAGATGTACAGATTGGTGAGGTGATGGACTGAGGGTTGATACGTGCATATGGTGAGGTGATGGACTGAGAGTAGAGATGTACAGATTGTGAGGTGATGATCTGAGATGTAGAGATGTACAGATGGGTAGAGATGTACAAGTGATGGTCTGGACTGAGGGAAGAGATGTACAGATGGTGAGGTGATGGACTGAGGGGTAGAGATGTACAGATGGTGAGGTGATGGTCTGAGGGTAGAGATGTACAGATGGTGAAGTGATGGACTGAGGGTAGAGATGTACATATGGTGAGGTGATGGACTGAGGGTAGAGATGTACAGATGGTGAGGTGATGTACTGAGGGTAGAGATGTACAGATGGCGAGGTGATGTACTGAGGGTAGAGATGTACAGATGCTGAGGTGATGGTCTGAGGGTAGAGATGTACAGATGGGTTAAGTGATGGTCTGAGGGTAGAGATGTACAGATGGTGAGGTGATGTACTGGGGGTTGAGATGTACATATGATGAGGTGATGGACTGAGGGTAGAGATGTACCGATGGGTTAGCTGATGGTCTGAGGGTAGAGATGTTTGAGGTGACGGTCGTAAGGTAGAGGTGTACTGGTGGGGGAGGTGATTATTTGAGAGTAGTAATGTGCAGATGGGTGAGGCGACGCTCTGAAGGTAGAGATGTGAGAGGCGATGGTCTGTCGATAGAGATGTAGAGATCGGACCAATCATGTTCTGACTGGTGAGATGTAAAAGTGGGTGAGGTGCTTTTTTGAAAGTAGAAAAAGGTAATGAGGTAACCGGAGCCTATTAAACAATATTTCCTCACATAATACCAACTAGCGAAAACATCTGGTCGTTCAGGAGTAGCGAACTCGTTATCAAAGTGTAGCCTTGTTCATTGTTATATGTCACAGATTGCACGAGGAAAACTGACACATGCGGATCTTAAGAATAATGCGTTTGATAAGGCTTTCCACGACCCCAATCACACATCTGTACAGGTAAGTGGCATAGGAGGAAAGAAAATGTCGCCATATGGTAAAAGGATACTTCCTTTGAATATCCTCACGAAATATCGGAAAACAGGTTTTGCAAAGAATAACTGTCGATAATGTACAAACAAAAAATAATGTTGACAGTAAATAGTTTACATTGAATTAAGTAATCATGAAGCGACCATTTGACTTTCACTGGTGCTTTGTGGTTAAGCGTTCGCTTGTCACGATGAAGACCTGGGTTCTTTTCCAGCCTGGTACAATGTGTTCAGCCCATTTTTTGGTGTCCTCCGCCGTGATAATGGCTGAAGGCGACGTAAAACTATATTCACTCACTCCAATTATTTTGTTTTGGGGAGGTTCTTTGATGTCAATTGTTATTTGTTCATTACAGAGATGTTGACCCTCTTCCTTCTTGGTGCCTGTATTTTTGTGGCAGGGTGAGTAGTTACCGAAATATGAAGTTTCCAGTTAAATTATTGACTTGTGGTGGGATGGGATGTTTCGGTGCTAGGGGCGGCTATACAGGATCGGGGGTAGTAGGGGGTGTTATACAGGTGCAAGGAATGGGGGTGGGGTATAGGGGGATAATACATGTTTTGTCTTTGGTTTGGATGTAGAGAAGGGAGAGGTGATGGCTTGGAGTGGTTGGGTGATGGGATCGGGACGGGTGATGAGGAACAAGAGATTGGGGAGGTGAACGATTGAAGTTGTGGGTAAGAGTGCATGATGATCTGAGAGGAAAAAAATGTAGAAACAGAAAAGCGTACAATGTTCACGGATGGAATGTACAGAACGATGAGTTGATGGTCGGTATATAGTTTAGGTCCAAGGCAAGGACTGATGGACGAGTCGGGTAATAATGTTGGAGATGTTAAGGACTTGAGTGTGTTAGTCTGAGAGCTGACATTTAATGGCTGCCAGCCCCAGTGATCCGCATTATCCTTGACGTAACTCCCATTCAGGGTTGTCGGGCACCCAGCTAGACCTCCCTTGTTGGACCTGAACAAGGCCAGACACCTCTTCCAGTTGGCTGAGAAGAACAACGGTGTTACAGATGGGGTTCTCACAAAGACAGAGGTCGTGCGTATCTTCACAGCTTTTGATGGCAACGGTAAATATCTGTCCAGTTTAACAATAAATACGTGCATTACCTAGTTTAGCAATACGTACATGTCTTTCCTAGATTAGCAATGCGTACATGTATTACCTAGTTTATCATTACGTAACGTATTATCTAGTTCAGCAATACCTACATGCGTTACCTAGTTTAGCAATACGTAAATGCATTACCTAGTTCCGCAATACGTACCGTATTACCTGGTGTAGCAATACGGACATGTCTTACCTAGTTAGCAATACGTACATGTATTACCCAGTTTAACAAGACGTAACGCATTACCTGGTGTAGCAATGCGTACACGTATTACCTAGTTTAGCAAGACGTAACGCATTACCTGGTGTAGCAATACGTACACGTATTACCTAGTTTAGCAATACGTACATGTATTACCTAGTTTAGCAATACGTACATGTATTACCTAGTTTAGCAATACGTACATGTATTACCTAGTTAAGCAATACGTACATGTATTACCTAGTTTAGCAATACGTACATGTATTACCTAGTTTAGCAATACGTACATGTATTACCTAGTTTAGCAATACGTACATGTATTACCTAGTTTAGCAATACGTACATGTATTAACTAGTTTAGCAATACGTACACGTATTACCCAGTTAAGCAATACGTACATGTATTACCTAGTTTAGCAATACGTATATGCATTACCTTGTCTAGCAGATGTATTTCAAAGTGTTGGCTGTCCGCATCCGTCGACTCCAGTGATGTAAGGGGATGCCTGTGTTACTGTAGCTTGATGTATGCAGGTGATGGGCGCGTCACGGAGACAGAGTTCACGGGCTACTGGCAGAAGGAAAACCTGGGCGACCTACAGGCTGCGGTCTACTTGTTCCATCGCGCCGACACCGACAACAACGGCGTCTTAACCGTCACCCCCGACCTCGACAGAGTCTTCAGCTACTTCGATACAGATAGTACGTAGTCCATTACTGTGTATAGACATGCCAGATATTTAAATCCTTGTGCACTTAGAGGAACCACACATATTCTGGTCTGGATTACTGTTAAAGACAGACTAAAGAAACAGCAAACCTTATTCCTAGAAAATGGAGAGTGTCTAATTGTTGTCCGACACACCACACATGTTTCCACTTCCAGGATCAAAGCGAACGCATTGTTTTATACATGTAAAACTTTAGGATACTTAAACTTTAAACCTTTTGAACCAGTCATTATCTTCGAATGTGGATATTACCTATACGTTTTGAATTATATGACACTTGGAAATGTTCATCGTTTAAATAGCTGTAATGACTATGACTGTCAGGCCTACCATACAAACGGTGAACAAATCATCACAACTGAACTCATATACACCAAAACAGAACAAAAATCACCAAAAAACCCCAACAATATCCTCTAAAACCGAAACAATACATCTGTAATGGAAGACTAATCATTTGAAATGGAAACAAAACTCGCGTATCAGCTACAAGAGCGCGCGAGAACGGCATTCATAGCATCCCAACACGGCAGTCATAGCATCCCGAAACGGCATACAAATCGTCAAAGATGGCGGCGAGAGGAGGCGAATAGGCTTTGGTACATAATTGTTTTTCGTCACTATGAGTCTAATCTTGAAAATTTGATATTGGGATGTAGCGCATAAACCCCCTATTGTAGTAAGCTTCAAATCTATGTCCATACTTCTCAGTGTCAGGCTTGCAATTCTGCACAGTGTGGTGCCTCGTTCGACCGAATAGGATTTCTGGTCAACATGCCGTGCTACAGTTTCTCTTCAGTTTTGAAAAATAAAGTATTCATAGCATCACATTCAACATTACTATATTTTACTGATTTAAAAAGTTTACAGAAACTTTGTTCATTCTCCTTGAATTGCCTGACACTGAGAAGTATGAAGCTTACTACAATAGGGGGTTTATGCATTACATCCCAATATCAAATTTTCAAGATTAGACTCATAGTGACGAAAAACAATTATGTACCAAAGCCTATTCGTCTCCTCTCGCCGCCATCTTTGACGATTTGTATGCCGTTTCGGGATGCTATGACTGCCGTGTTGGGATGCTATGAATGCCGTTTTGTACGCTCGGCGATCGTTCTCGCGCGCTCTTGTAGCTGATACGCGAGTTTTGTTTCCATTTCAAATGATTAGTCTTCCATTACAGATGTATTGTTTCGGTTTTAGAGGATATTGTTTTGCAGTTTTGGTGAATTTTGTTCTGTTTTGGTGTATATGAGTTCAGTTTTGATGATTTGTTCACCGTTTGTATGGTAGGCCTGACTGTGGTCAGACTGTTTACTGCTCCTTATCCTGCTTGCAGCAAACGCCAAGGTCACCGAGGCTGAATTTGCTGTCGTGTGGTCAAGTCTTACCAGCTAAACACCATTGTAGAAACAAATCTGAATCTGGAATAAACACGTCTTTCTCTAGACTTGTGCTGATTGATACGGTCTAGCTGATGAACAGACTAATCACAGTGTATTCTGGACACCTGGTGTTATTATACGATCTTGTGATCAATTCTTATGATTTCTCCCGACATTTTGCCTTCTATGCCCAATGGAAGTTGTTTCGGCGGACTGAAACCATTTATTCTCTCTGGCGATTTATTTGCTACTCAAAACAGTTAGGAAGCATCAATATGTTTTGGATTTTCTTTTCATGAAAGTGTGTTCTCAGCCTTAAATGAAACACAATATCCAGCAAAATATTCATGATCTTTAACTGAAGCTGGTTTAATATATTTACAAAGTGTTGTCTTAACACGTGGAGAATTCAAACAGGTTTTCTATCTGCCCCTACTGGACTAAGTGTTCTTGTTGTGAGAGGTGCAGAAAGCTGAGGTCTGTCATGATCACATCAGTGTCTGGTTTCGGAGAGTGATCCACTGTTTCTCATGTTGATCAATCAGCCATGTTGAGGATCGTTAGGATACAATGTGTACTCTGGCTTTGTGCCATGGAAGGGAATGGTCATGACTCTATTATTTACACGACCCTCTGTACAACGACAGGGATAATACTGTCCATGGGAGTGATATTTACCCACTTTCAAAACTTGCCTATACCAGAATTCACAAATGGTTTTAGTTTAGAAAGCCCATACAGGCGCCAGTATCATCGGATTGTCTGGTCGATGGTATGCTTTGCTACATTCGGCAACAAACACAAAGTCCGATTTTGTTCAAATTGTGTGCGGACAGAAGCAGATGCTGCAGGTGGAGTAGGATTTACTTAGTCATCAACACCCCCTATCATGAAAGAGTCTTTGTGATCCATTTATTAGAAACGCGAATTTTGGGGAATCAGCTCGCTTGGCAAGAGGTCTGCCCATACCAACCCACACACAACACAACACCTGAGTAAATATACAAGGAGTTTATTACACAGCAGTCACTGAACGAGTTTACATAATCAGTCAATAATACCATAGTTTACAATTAATTATTAGAACATGTTAACAATACAATCAGCTATCAAAGTAAATAAACATTACATGTAGATTCGTTATACACGACACATACTACATTAATCGCGATACATATTCCAATGTACACAACAATAGTTCAGTACACTACACATCACCCCAGTGGGGGTTCATACAATCTACATTCTGCAACGGTCCCAAACAGCATAGTATTCACAACGTAATACAATAATTAAAATATCCGACACACTCTATACATTCTATAATAGTCACAAAACAGTGTAGTGTCAATCAGTATTAAATAAACAATCCTAAACTGTAATACAGAAGATATGAGACACATACTAAGGGATGCCTCGTTCCACATAAACCTGAACGTACTGCCAGGGTTGTAACTTATAGTTAAGGTATTTACAATAGATTAAAGTTAACATAGAATAACAATGGTATATATGTCAAAGTAGAAGAAAGTAAAGTTTCTTACCTGAGTAAATAAACAAAGAGTTTATTACACAGCAGTCACTGAACGAGTTGTGACTGTGTGTCGTCCCTGTTTTATACCTATTCCAGTTATCATAGATAATCCCATTTACTGGTACACTGACGATAAAGTTGTTGTTGTGACCTTCAGTTACTGTATCTTAATCCTATTGCCTAACTCGACTGACGATACGGTGCCAACTGCGCACTTAAGCTACTCTATCTTGACCGGATTATATGATAATTTTCCCAAACGTATTGAAGACATCGGTGTTGATGGGTGAAGTTCACAGTGAATTTGATTAGCTTATTGCTATCTGCAGACCCGGACCAGATACTGGTTTCGGATGTTCGTTATCAATGTGACCCTTGGCAGCTTGAAGATTGTGAACCGTGGTCAGTTAATCTGTACATGTCCAGTTTTCAATAATATATACTGTTATAAACATTGGTAAAACTTTTTATCATACAATGGAAAGTGTTCTCGGCAGGATAAAGCCAACGGATATTTTCGGTATCCGTTGGGGTCATATACGGATATCGATGCAAATTAGAGAGGTCATATGCAAATTTCAGGGTCTACTTTCACAGTGTAAACAAACATGGCGTCAAGGGTCGGCGGTCGTGTCCGGATTGACGGCCGTGGTTACGGTACTGTCAGTGTTTTGATCCAAGAAAATTCATACCTTGTTATAATATATGTAGTAGATTACAAAGCGAAGATAGAATTTCATAGGCTTACGAAGATACCAACATCAGTTCCCCGACCGACTGTCAGTGTTAGCGAGAGAACGGCATAGGAATCCAGGTGCACAATGTCACGCAAACATTAAAGCGTAGTTTGCTGTTCAAAAGGTTAATTGAAGGTTTCTGAATTTTCTTAGACGTAAGCTAAGATTTGTTGACAACAATACGTGCTTTAGCATAAAAGCTTACTGGGAACTAGATGACCTAACGCAGTCAGCTGAGTGATCAGGAGAAAATTATGTCACCGGGCTTGTGACGTAACGTATTACTCCGCACATATTTGAGACGTCATAGACATTCCACGAAGTTTAGGGCCTGTTCGATTATTGCGAAACTGGTTTTGGTTTTTGAAACTGGTTTCTCCTGTTATAAACGAGTGTCTAGTTTCGGATACATGGTTTCAAAGAGAACTAGTTTCTAGTTTTATAAACGAGTGGATGGTTTCACCATCCGGTTTCAAAATGGATACCAAAAACATGTCTCAGCTACTGTATATGTGGAACGAATTGGATGACAGCATATGTTTTCCATTTTATCAGTGAATTCACAAATAATAAAGAGATGAAATGCTTTTAGAGGTAAATATTTGCGTATATGTAATTATACTGTTACAAGTAATTATATATATACAAGTTACATAATATAGTCATGTTCAGTAGACTGGGGTTTTAAATAATATTTTCCTAGTTCTCAGTTGATTTTTATCATTATTTTGGTTCCAAAAACAGCTGCTCTATTTTGCCACCAAGATCAGCTGAACTTGGCGCTTTCGTTTCCGCCATGTATGTTGTTAGAGAACGCGAAACTGAAACTGCGAAACCTGCCTCGGAGATGGTTTCGAAGTTTCAGAACCCAGCTTTAGGTTTCGACGTAATCGAGTGCATGGTTTTCCCGAAACCAAAAACGGTTTAGCATAATCGAATAGGCCCTTAGTTTCATGATTTTTTTAAATTATAAAGCAAAAATGACATTGTATGATAAATAGGTTATCACACTCGTGTGTTTTGGGATGGTTAATATCCTGCATTAGGAATAAACACTATGTATCTAGCTCGCCAAGGCTCGCTAACTACAATGATTATTCCTAATGCAGGATATTAACCATCCCAAAACACACTTGCGTGATAACCTATATGTCCAGTTTTACCGTGTTAATACATTCATACAATTCCCGCCTCTGGTTTAGCTTAACCAGCGACGCTTTGTATTGCATACTCAAGCGTCAAGAAGGCCATTAAACCCGATAAAAAAAATGACAATCAGATATTCACAGGACAAACTGATGTCTACCGTTGTTTGCTATAAGATAAAATTAAATTTCCTAAAATAGGTAAGCATGAAAGCTTGTATGTGAAATGTCATAAAGATCTACCGAGATAATGCCACAATAGAATACAGATGTTGGTTCGCAGAGAGAGAGAGAGAGAGAGAGAGAGAGAGAGAGAGAGAGAGAGAGAGAGAGAGAGAGAGAGAGAGAGAGAGAGAGAGAGAGAGAGAGAGAGAGAGAGAGAGAGAGAGAGAGAGAGAGAGAGAGAGAGAGAGAGAGAGAGAGAGAGAGAGAGAGAGAGAGAGAGAGAGAGAGAGAGAGAGAGAGAGAGAGAGAGAGAGAGAGACGGAGACAGAGAGAGAGAGAGAGAGAGGAGAGAGGATAAGTTGGATTTTCAATATATTATTCAGGTAACAGACAGACGTTTTTAAAGTGCTCTACACTCACTTTACACCAGCCCACACACTCACACCCATACTGTGGCCAATGGTTGTCAATAATTGACACAGGTATGAATTGACAAAGAACACACTGGGTCATTTAGTCTGTGTTAGTGCCTGCAGACATCTACCACCTACAGCTTATCAGCTGCGAACTATCTGCCATATGTGTTCTTCCATATTTTCACATCCGTAATGACTGCAGAAAAATGCACCAAACTTCACCAATGAACTAGAATTAAACCAGCAAGATGTCTGTAAGTACACACTCAGATTACATTTAATGTCGTCTGTCTTGTCTTAGTTAAAATCTATATTTGTAATGCAGAATCTGCCATTTGAGTGAGTTCACCTCGATTGCCTATCGTCCTTGTGGCTTACCTTACAGTGTCCCATGTCACAAGACTTCAGTAGCGAGTGAGTTCGACCATTATAAAATGTATATTAATGATCTGTAAATTAATACAGTAACTCAATAAGGACCATTCAATGGGCAGTAAAGTAACAAGAATACTACAGAATTCATATAATGACGTGGACACCCTCATTATAACGCTGAAGTCGTCGAAGCCGAATCTAAGTTTAAACGAAGCGTGAGGCTACATGAAACGAAACGATGCTGGCGTAATTAAATGTCGGAAAGAGAAAAAACAGATTAATGAAGTGTTAATGACTGTTTTTGCAAATATGTCTAATCGATGGCAACAATGTACATGGACAGACCTAGCTGGGCATTCTACCATTGATTACACCACAGCCACCACACATACTGACACACATACTGATACACATACTGACACACATATTGCCACACATACTGCCACACATACTGCCACACATACACACATATTACACATGCTGACACACACACATACTATTGCCACACATACTGACTACACATACTGCCACACACACATATTGCCACACATACTGACACACATACTGCCACACAACCCTTGTTGAGCGTAACACTGAATGATTAAGTTCAGTCCATATATGAAAATGTTTCCTCCAGTCAAACTGTTCCAACACCCTTGATAAGTTCCAGACCTGTCCCTTACTGATATGGCCACTGCAACTGACGATCATACGCAGATGGTGGCTTCTCCTATGTTGGGCGATGATCTGGTGTTTAATGGAGACTGGTGTTGTTCAGCACGGAGAATAGAACGCCCGCATGCTGTTTCCCAATACATTGTAGGAATGTCAACATGCTTGTATATTAGTAGTTTAGAAACAATACAAACAAATACACCAGGGCATCCACTGCTCAATGGTTCAATCAAAACCGTCTCAATTATAGTTGACATTGTTCCGGCCTTCTTTTAAACATACGACACAGTTCAACTGTCCAACCTGTAGGGTAATATATCACCCTGAAGAACAAATGGCTGCACTTTACCCATGTTGTGCTTGAGGGGTGTTCCATACATTCCCATGCACATATAACCCTCGTCCGAGGTAACATTCTCAAAATGTCATCTTTGGTGTCCGTTTACCCTGGTTCACAGAGAACTGAAATGTATTTTCTATAATGTTCCCGTTTGTAGATCCTCGTCCTGACCATTCTCTGTGTGGCTGTTATCTCAAGTTCAGCTTTGATCATCCCGAGAGTCAACAAGACCAATACCCCCGACCCGAGCACTCATCACACGGATCCGTGAGTTGACCACCCTCATCATCATAACCTGTTTCAGTCCGAAATTAACACTCTACATAAACTACGTCGCCACAGAGGATGACATCAGGAGAAACCCGCGCGAACTTTCACCCCCAAATCTAAGTGACAGGTACGCGTGGCCTGGAGCCAATAACATGTCATTCCTCTAAAACAATTCGGCTCCATTTCTTTCACCATCTAAAAACTTTAATTCTGTTTTGTAGTATTATATGATATTTGTATAGCGCCAATATCCAGCTCAGCACAGCTGCTCAAATGCGATTGTTTTTCCATCGATCATAGGATGTCAATCTCAACGGCAGATCGTACTTTCTATCTCAACTTCCTGGGGAGTATACAACTCTTGCAGCCATTTAGGCGCACGAAGTTAATGTGGCTTCGCCATCTTTACGTGATACCCATTCACAGATGGATGGACTGGGACACATAGTCACAGTACTTTGTCCAAGTTTACTACACGTTGCTGTACCCGCAACTAGGTGTTTGCGCGTATTCATGTGTCCACCATCTGGTCATATACCAACGGATTCGTGGGTTCTTTTAAGTGCACAGGGTTGTGTACTGTACACTAGGGGTTGTGACAACACTGAAAGTCTGCACTCAAAATTGACTCAGAGGTTTTTACACCCGTTCACAGGTGGGCGCGATCCCGACACCTCAAGCTCGCTGGATCACTAGCCCGGCTCCTTAGATCGCTCGCCCATCTTATAGTGTGATGCTATGCTTCAGTTCATACCCATAACATTATAATGAAAATGTACCTTTCGCCATTTGGAAGTTCCCGATTATATTCGTTTGAGATGCTGAAGACGACAGGCTCCGCTCACTCAACCCGACATGGACGTGCCTTCAGATCGTCACAAGAGAAATTAGTGGAGGAGGTGCACGTATCAGAAATAACATCTGATTTATAATGAAATTCTAATTTCACCAACCGCTTTATGTAATGCTCTTTGTAATGGGGTTGGGATAGGTGTACGGGAGGGGTGATGAAGTGGGCATTTTGTATTTTGTATGATAACTGGATATTTTTCAGCAACAGACTCCAAATAAGATATGCTCTTAATCAAAACCATGAACATAAATATCTAAACTTGGCAGACAAATTCTTTTACAAACAATTGCTTTTTTCACCACCCATTCCTCCCTCCCTCTTGTCTTGTTTACTATATGGCCAATGTGTGTGTGCGGTATTGTGTTTTTCAAAGGAAATGGGTTCATTGCCATATGTTTCGAGAAAGTCTGCCCATAATGTGACCCCATCGTGTGAAACGTTGTTTGTGTTTAAACTTGAAACTGTGCCTGTGCGTTCCTTACTGTTTAACTAAGGCCGATACACAATATGCCATCATCCACGTCGACCGGAAGTGTTAATCAACGTCAAGGTCATATGTTGTGATATCACTGAAATGTTGCATTATTCTTGAATCAGTCTCCTTTCTTTCTCAGTCGTATTGTAAATCTCGCAAATGTACCGAGACGAGAGCTGTCTCTGTGCTATTACAATACAATACCAGTGGTGACTTGGATAAGCAAACAAGCAAATTACAACAAAATTATTCATTATTTGAAACATAAAGAATATAGAAACAATACAGATTCTATTCTGCATTCGGAACACAGCAGGGATTATTGCATTCAACAGGCACCTGCGTCTATTTTGTTTTGTCCACGGTGTAAATTATTCCGTCGTATACAGGTGTGTTTTCCACTTTCAGGAACCACATGGACCAGGTGGCTGTAGACAGCAAACAAGCCAGGACTGTTTTCCGGGAACTCACACTGGGAAATACCTTTCTCAAAATGCAGGACCTAGAGAGATTCCTGAATAGTTCAGATACAAACGGTAACTAAATGACTTGACAAAACAGATTCTGTTTCTGGAGATCTATTTCTGGACACAGGTAAATGGCTGGTCTAATGCCTTGTAAATCTCCTCGTAGTGTTTTCTCCCTTAGCAAACATAAACTTGCTGCTGGATTCCTCTATCCAGTTGGGTGACCAGTGAATACGTATGGTCATTCTCCAAAGCAAACCTATAAGCCCCAGTGACTTTCTGACAGCAACTGAACTCCTTAACCGTAACATTATGTACGCATTCAGTGAACATTGTTGTGATAGAATATCAGGTTGTAGTATTCCAATGGGGAAACGTTCAGTTTCAAGGTGGTACTGTTCGTAGGCGCTCATCACTGGGGTAGTCTTATATCCTATTATTCGCATAGAATGAAACTAGGGCCGCCCTTCTCCAAGCATCCCCTTCGATATCTCTTGTTGTAACATGAAAATATAGGAACTTTAAAAGACACGTGAGGGTTTCATATTAACAAGAGTTACACAAATACAAGTATATTTTTATCAGGTGACGGCCAGGTGACAAGTGACGAGTTTCTCCAAACGTGGTTCCAACATAAGGTTGGTTCGCTTGTCAACGCAGTCCAATTCTTCTTCAACATCGACATAAACAAGGACAACAGGATCACCGATGATGTCGATCTCAAGTACATATTCGGCATATTTGATAGAAATGGTAAGTTGAAACACCAGGAATAAGAACTTCTGTGTACTCAATCGCAGAGACGCCATCCAGTATATATGTCGAGTTATCTGGATTTCGAGATAAAAGGAGTGGTACTAAAGACGACGATGTAGATACTGATAGGTCTGCTTTGTTTTAACCTCTTTGATGTCGGGATGTTGGAGCTTAGGGTTTAACAATGCGTTTTAACAATGGGTTTTAGCAATGGATTTTAACAATGGGGTTTCACATAGGGGTTTCACATAGGGGTTTCACATAGGGGCTGAATGTGACATTGTAGATGCTACTCCGGACTACTACTGGTTTCATACTCGTATATCAAAAGAATACCTAACTTGTTTAAGTGAGATTTAGAAGTTGGTGTGAGAGAGGAGAGTTCTATGGATATACAACTTCTTTAACATAATATGAGTTTCGATGTAGCTACTAACGACGTTATCAAGCAAATGACAGTAGCTACTAACACCGTTATCAAGCAAATGACAGTAGCTACACCGAAACGTCGCTCATATTATGTTAAAGAAGTTGTATATTCATAGAACTCTCCTCGTTGTTCAAAAGAATACCTATCCACAGTTTAATGTGGATATACCACACAGGATACAATCACAGTATTCTTCAAGTCCTTGTTTCATACCTTAATACAGAGCGTCTGGCAATGTGAAAACCATCATTAAACATATTTTGGTTTGACTCGACCGGGCATCGAACCCTCGACCTTCCGCTTAGCGAACAGACGGTCTATCCACTTATCACGGCGGCAGTCAAACAGCTCGGTACAAAACTACCTTCATGGGTTGCTTCTCCACGTTATTTTCGGATACTATGACATCACCACTCCTCGTTGTTTCTTTGATAATGTCCCATCTCCTCGTTTCTTTGATAATGTGCCATCTCCTCGTTGTTTCTTTGATACTGTGAAATCTCCTTGTTGTTTCTTTGATACCGTCCTATCTTCTCTTTCCTTTGCTACTGTGACATCCCCTCGTTGTTTCTTTGATACTGTGACATCCCCTCGTTGTTTCTTTGATACTGTGACATCTCCTCGTTGTTTCTTTGATACTGTGAGATCTCCTCGTTGTTTCTATGATACCGTCCTATCTTCTCGATCCTTTGATACTGTGACATCCCCTCGTTGTTGTTTGGACACTGTGACATCTTCTCGTTGTTTCTCCGGTACTATGATATTGTCTCGTTGTTGTTTTGATACCATGCTATCCCCTCGTTGTTTCTCCCATACTATGATATCGTCTCGTTTTTTATATTGTGCCATCTCCTCGTTGTTTCACTGATACTATGACATCTCCTCGTTGTTTCTTTGATACTGTGATATGATTTACTCAATACATTAGACCCGAATGCACTAGTATGACTTTCTATATATTCCTGGGATGTAAGGGATGTACAAGGCTTACGTTGAGGTCACTGGACGTGGAGGTGGGGAGGACTACAGGACGGATTAAGTCATATCCATGGAAACATGGACGTGTAAGGTCTGGTTTACCCCGCTGAACTTAACAACGTCTCCATCTAGGGACCATGTAGCATAATGTATTGAGGATAATGTAGCATAATGTATTGAGGACAATGTAGGATAATGTATTGAGTTTCACACCACATTCCAGTAACTAAGGTATGAATATAACATTATAGGTTTGACATTATAGTGGTGAGCAATTGACGTTTGACATTATAGTGGTGAGCAATTGACTTTTGATATTATAGTGGTGAGCAATTGACGTTTGTCATTATGGTGGTGAGCAATTAACGATTGACATTATAGCTGTGATCAATTTGCGTTTGACATTATAGTGGTGAGCAATTGACGTTTGACATTATAACGGTGAGCAGTTTGCGTTTCACATTATGGCGGTGAGCAATTAACGTTTGTCATTATAGCGGTGAGCAATTGACGTTTTTATTATAGTGGTGAGCAATTAACGTTTGACATTATAGTGGTGAGCAATTGACCTTTTATATTATAGTGGTGAGCAATTAACGTTTGTCATTATAGTGGTGAGCAATTGACGTTTGACATTATAGTGGTGAGCAATTGACCTTTTATATTATAGTGGTGAGCAATTGACGTTTGACATTATAGTGGTGAGCAATTGACGTTTGACATTATAGTGGTGAGCAATTGACCTTTGATATTATAGTGGTGAGCAATTGACGTTTGTCATCATAGTGGTGAGCAATTAACGTTTGACATTATAGTGGTGAGCAATTGGTGTTTGACATTATGGTGGTAAGCAGTTATTAATATATTACATATATGTAGCATGTATGTTGAAAGGTCCTGTTTGAAATTACTGACTGTTAACGATGACTTTATGTTTGTCAACAGACGACGGTGTCGTGGATGAGGCGGAGTTTGTCGTCCAGTGGGTGAAGTTGTCATCTCTGTGACGACGCGCGGAATACACACAGAGCACATATACCAAAAATAAACCCTTCTTAAGTTACTTTTGTTTGTTAGTCTATTGTCTGACGCCGGACCCGACAATAGTCCAGCTGCCATAAATAATCGAGTTCTGACCAGACAATCCTGTGATCGATATAATGATCAACAGTCCACGCTCTCCGGGAAATCGTTCAATATGGTCGCCTCTTGCGATCAGCATACGTCTGAGGACTTATTCTAACCTGGAAACCTGGTGATTTTGTAGTTCTACTTATCAATACAGCTGATTACAAGGTGGTCGTAGTCAGAGCATTTTCTGAAGGGGAGCTGTAAATGATTAGAAATAATAGATAACAAAGATAACACTCGAGCACCCATACAGTCATTCCTCCAAGCTCCATCCACCCATTTCTCCTCATTCATGGTTTATCCTCTTTTTGCCAACGCCCTGAAAAGGATTACCAGGTACTGTGTTCATACAAGCACAAGGTCATGTCAAAATTACTCACAGCAGCAAGTGAGTGAACTGAACTCAGGCTTAATACGTATCCATGATACTGATAACGGTGTTCACTATATCTATATCTATAGAAGCTAACTTGTCAGTAAACACAGTTCACTCAATTCTAACAATGTAATAATTACGACACTTGAAGTAACAAGTTAACACATAATTAGTGAGATGGTGCATATAAGCACTGGGAACACCAAACAGCTTCATTGCAAAATGGCAAATGCACTTGTGAATGTCGAGTTCATTGCTAACAGTGGTGGTGACAGTAGTGTAGTATTTCAAGGTTTTAAGTATAGAGTTAAGAGAACGCGAGGTGCCAGCATTCACTGGAGATTCTGTACTGCTACATGCCCAGCCACCATCAACACTTCGAACTACTACATCATAACTCAGAACAATGGACACAACCATCCTCCAAACCAGGCTAACATCATCGTGGACTAGTTCCTAGGGACAGTGAAGGACTTAATTGGTGACGAAGGCCATAGGTCGATTCCGACAACCTACTAAGAAGAATTGAATGGTACGTACCCGTACAAGCAAAATGCCAAACATATCTATGAACGTGACTTGTAGTTGTAATAATGTAGATGGTTACTGCTTTCCCCCCTAAATATCAGTTAATTACATTCTGTTTTTATGCAGCTGATATACATATATATTTTATTCATCTTTTTTAGGTTTATGATCAGCTGAAGCAGATGCAACATGAGCAGCACCTACGTTTTACAGCGTCCAGGCCAGCCTCTACAGGTCCAGAGCCAAGGAAGTCCCTCCACCGCCACAACAGCGATCAAACATCGACCTACGTTTTACAGCGTCCAGGCCAGCCTCTACAGGCCCAGAGCCAAAGAAGTCCCTCCGCTCCCACAACAGCGATCAAACATCGACCTTCCCCAGATCTGCACTTAGACATCTGCCTGCGACAACTTCCTTCTCCATTCTGACGACAACATGCTCATTCAATTCAATTCTTTTATTCGGTATAAAGGCCAACGGCCCATGTACAACATAATACAAAATAATCATTATAATGACAGATGGGAATTTCTCAGAAATAGAGCTTCCTTAATAAACCTTGCAACATTTAACAAAATATTTATCTTATCACATGTTAAAAGAATTTTAAACTTAAACATCGTGGGTGAATGACAATAATATCTTGGTATATATTTTGATCTGAGATAGTCATACAATGGACATTTTAGAAGGAAGTGATATTTATCTTCTACACAACCTAACGCACAAAATGTACATATTCTATTACCGCGGGGAATGCCACAGGGTCTGCCAATATTAACCATTAAAGGAAGCTCACACATTCGTAATACACATAAAAGTCTTCTGTATTCTCTTTCTAGGATAGCACACAAATAATATTCAGTTGACAAAAGAGATTTATATTCTATATAATTACATGATTTACTTGAATCACAAAATTTAGAGCCAATTTTGTTGATTGCAGTCTTTAAGTCTTTGTACAAAGGTATTAAGAAACATGTTTTTATCCCCCACTTCATGTGTGATCCACACTAAACCAAAGCTATAACTAAACAGTAAGTGTTTAACCTCTGATGCCCATGTTATACGATTACATTCATCTAATGATTTACATAATAAATAACATTGTTTTGGATATCTAACAGTTGGCATTGCTAACAATTTTAACCAAAATGTAATACATCGTTTATGATAATCAATAAACAGACCATGTATACCGCATTCACCCACAGCAGCATCATTTGAGACATAATACCCAACCCTTAAAACATATTTACAAAACTTAATGTGAAAACGTTCAACATATTCAATTTTAGAAAATCCCCATACCTCACTGGAATAAAGTAAAATTGTTTTTATCTGTGTATCAGAAATCTTAAATAGAACAGTGGGAGAAATATTCTTTAACTTATACTGTAGGTGTATAACTGAAAATTAAGCCTTATTGGCTTTCTGAACAAGAACATTAATTGCTTTTGACCAACATAATCTATTAGAAAATACAATTCCCAGGTAAATATAATACGTTGATATCTTAACCTGATCACTTCCAAACATCCATTTTTCTGTTCCCCTTAGCTTACCACCGTTTCTAAACACTAATATCTCTGTCTTATCTAGATTTACATTTAATCCCCATTTAATACTATACTGCTTAAGTACATCAAGTTTTCTCTGCAAACAAACAACACTGTCATCAAACACACACAAGTCATCTGCATAAAATAACAACAACATATACATAAATTCCTGACCTACAAAAATACCCCTAACATTGGATTCATACAACATATTTTCAAGTTCTACCACAAACAATGAGAACAGCAAGGGGCTGAGTACACATCCCTGTTTCACACCACTCAATGTATCAAAATAATTGGATATTGACAAATTAGTTATTTTAACAGCAGATTTTACATTTGCATACATATCAAACAAAACATTAAATAGTTTACCATGAATGCCCCGAGTACCATAACAGTTTTCTATTAATAGAATCAAATGCTTTTTTTAAAGCAACACACAAGCAGTAAAAGCGACCATTAGTCTTTGTAAGATACTTTTGTACTAAACAATGTAAAATAGAAATATTGTCTAGAGTGCTGTAACCAGCTCTAAACCCTGCTTGTGATTCGACAGCTGTTCATACAAAGAACAAAACAGTGTGATTCTCTGGTTCAAAATGAATGTAAAAACTTTACTCATAATGTCAGTAAGTGTTATGCCTCTATAATTATAAAGTTCTGAGGCTTTTCCTTTTTTGTATAATGCTACCACTAATCCCTTGATCCATTCCACAGAAAATTTACCACTAGTAAGTATAGCATTAAATAACACATGAAAATACGGTAACAGTTCAGATTTACAAGATTTAATCATCTCAGGTGTAACTGCATCAGGTCCAGGCGCTTTCCCAACACTGAGATTGTCAATAGCCTGAAGAATTTCAACGTTCGATATTTCACTGTTTAATGTGTGATTAACGTCATCATCATTACAGGCACTACAAGTTTTATCATCATGTTCTTTCACAAACTGATCAGCCTTATTGAGATGATCTTGATCAATGTCAGTGCTTATGGTATTAAAGACAGTTCCAAAATATGACACCCATTCAGTCGCTGATATGGAGTTTGATGTGCTGCTTTTTGGTTTTATCAGTTATTTAATATGACTCCAAAATGTTCTGGAATTACAACAGATGTTAGACAGCATGTTAACCTGTCGTTCTTTCTTCAGACGACACAGATGTCGATACGAGTTTCTTAATAACGAAATTCAGTCCAATATAAGGAGATGTCAGTTTTCCTAAACATGTCCAAGTTTGAATATTTAAGCTGTTTCAAGTGTCTACACTCCTCGTTATACCAGTAAGCACTACGAGGTTGAGGGACAAACCTCCGTGGACTCGCATACCACGCTGTTCTGCACTACGGGTTATACAGGAAGTTAGTTTGGAGACAGCGTCGTCTACACTCCTCAGAACATCGCTTGTGAAGTCATGAATACCATAACACGACAATTCACATGTGAGGCTACCTGAATAATCGTATATCTTTTCATCCTTCCATATAAGTTTAAGAACAGAAATTTCTTCATTGTCATTCACGTCAACTTTGTCACGCTTTGTCACGCTTTGTCACGCTGTCACAACATGCTCATCTCCACCACCGAGTCCAATCTACGACATCTAGCTGCTGATGACATCATCTTTGATGGAGTGAGTGAGTGAGTTAAAATTATAAGTCACATCGGCAGTATTTCAGCCATATTGTGACTATATCAAGTTATACATTTATAATAATCATAGGTAAATTATAAAAACCTGTCAACGAAGGACAGTAAAACAACTAGTTTATCACAGATGGAAATTTAAAAACTAGTAATTACATTTAAAACATTTTAACTTAACAAGACGATACAATATAAAAAAACAGGCTATAGAAATTGAAATTAGTGATAAACTAGTTATTTTACTGTCCTTCGTTGACAGTGAGTGAGAAAGTGAGTTAAAATTTAAAGTCACATCGGCAGTATTTCAGCCATATCTTGACTAAGAAGTTATACATTTATAAGTGAATAAAAACAAACTTATATAATATGCTTACCTGTCTGCAAAGGACAGTAAAACAACTAGATTATCGCAGAAACAAATATAAAATTAAATCTAAAACATCCTAACTATAAATGTCAATACAATATAAAAACAGGCTATATATTGCCAACAACTGAAGGTAGATCACCATACTAGGGACCATGGAACTTACAGTACATTTGCTTCCTGCATGGACCCTAGCTGGATTTACACCATCCCTTCAGCTATTGGCAATTTTAGATAATCTAGCCAGAAATAAAAATGACATATATGCTACGATTAAAAATAGAAGTAGGTTTACATTAACTTTGAATGTTTTGGGACTTACGTGGCCTTTCAGGAGAACAATAATTTTACAATGCTTCAACCCCCTTTGAGGGAACAGCCACTAACAATCTCAGTTACTAATCTAAACTACCAATAATAAAATATTTATCTATTTACAATTCTTTTATCACAATTTATCTAATAATTCAATTTCTTTTAAAAATTCATAAAGTAAATGATAATTGACGTTAAAAAGATCCTTCACCGTTTTGATATTGAAAAATCTATCCCTTGTGATGGAAAATCTTCTTTGATGGAACATTTAACATCTGTCCTAAACTCTTTCATCAGCTATAATCCATACGTGTTTTTGTGGGCTCAGAAAATGGTCCCTCTCGTGCTTTCTGCAGAAAGAACAAGCCCACACTGAAATCACCATCAGCCAGATCCTGTCAGGTGGACACATGCCTCCCCCCAAAAATAAAGTTGCCTCCCCTAAAAATAAAGTACAGACAACTAGAAGACCCTGAGATGAAATGCCGATTCGGTATAATTGTTTATAATTGTGAAAGTGTGTAACCTGTGTAATAGATTTCTTAATTCCGTACTGTATTAAAATTTCATGTAATTTGTGCATTATATACTTGTGCAAATCTTGTGCAATTTCATGAAAAATACTAAAGACGTCACTGTAATGTAAATGTTGTGCAAAGTTTATTATACTTTTTATGATACTAGAGAGGATACCTGCCACCTCCTTTTGTTCTTCCAATCAACACGCATGACGGCTTCGCCACCCTTAACAATAGGGTGGTGGCAAAACGAGGAGACCCCTCATTCAATCATGCTAATGTCCGGACATATTATCTGTTGCTGTGCATGTGTGTCTACATGGTGAGGGTAGCTTTTCGGAGCGTTGGTGATTTGCCCTGTGCGTCGCAGTATGCATTGTGTTCTGAAAGGAAATACCTCTCCTTTATAAAAACAGTTTCGAATCGTGTCCTAACCAGCTCCATCCACCCAGTCCTCCACATTGAGGACCACAGCTCTCTCCATCCACTCATTCCGCCACATGCAGGACAATCGCTCACTCCATCCACCCAGTCCTCCACATTGAGGACCACAGCTCTCTCCATCCACTCATTCCGCCACATTGAGGACCACAGCTCTCTCCATCCACCCAGTCCTCCACATTGAGGACCACAGCTCTCTCCATCCACTCATTCCGCCACATGCAGGACCACCGCCCACTCCATCCACCCAGTCCTCCACATTGAGGACCACCGCTCACTCCATCCACTCATTCCGCCACATTCAAGACCACCGCTCTCTCCGTCCACTCATTCTGCCACATTCAGGACCACCCATCTCACCATCCACTCATTCCGCCACATTCAGGACCACTGCTCACTCCATCCACTCATTCCGCCACATTCAAGACCACCGCTCTCTCCGTCCACTCATTTTGCCACATTCAGGACCACCCATCTCACCATCCACTCATTCCGCCACATTCAGGACCACTGCTCACTCCATCCACTCATTCCGCCACATTCAGGACCACTGCTCACTCCATCCACTCATTCTGCCACATTCAGGACCACCGCTCACTCCATCCACTCATTACGCCACATTCAGGACCACCGCTCTCACCGTCCACTCATTCCGCCACATTCAGGACCACTGCTCTCTCCATCCACTCATTCCGCCACATTCAAGACCACCGCTCTCTCCATCCACTCATTCCGCCACATTCAGGACCACCCTCACTCCATCCACTCATTCCGCCACATTCAGGACCACCGCTCTCTCCATCCACTCTTTCCGCCACATGCAGGACCACCGCTCTCTCCATCCACTCATTTCGCCACATTCAGGACCACTGCTCACTCCATCCACTCATTCCGCCACATTCAGGACCACCGCTCTCACCATTCATCTATTCCACCACACTTAGGACCACCGCTCACTCCACCTCCCTCTCCTCCCCCTCCTCCACACTCAGGACCACCGCTCACTCCATCCACCCTCTCCTCCACACTCAGGACCACCGTTTACTCCAGCACCATCCACCCATTTATCCACACTCAGGACCACCGCTCACTCCATCCACCCTCTCCTCCACACTCAGGACCACCGTTTACTCCATCCACCCTCTCCTCCACACTCAGGACCACCGTTTACTCCAGCACCATCCACCCATTTATCCACACTCAGGACCTACGCTCACTCCATCCACCCTCTCCTCCACACTCAGTACCACCGCTCCCTCCACCCATCCTCTCCTCCACACTTAGGACCACCGCTCACTCCATCATCCATCCACCCATTTATCCACACCTATATCTAGGTCTAGATTCTTGTTACTGCGCTCTACATCTGATTTATAGGGCCTGCTATCCCCCGTGGCTGAGCTTCAACTTAACAAAGCGTTCGACGTAACGTAATCCCCTGTAATGGTCCAGTGAGCAGGATAGTGATGTCATGATCCACGTACTACACATAATCAACAGGGAGACTTGTAGTTGGAACCAGGAGCTGGACGCACAGAGGAGTCAGAGAAGTAACACAGTCAGAGAGGTAAGTAGTGTCCACTGCCGTACAGGAGGTCACAAACCTGCCCAGAAACTGGCCTCTGGTGCATGGGCGTCAACTGGTACATTCTGTGTCGGGTGTCGAGTCTGTGTAGGGTGGAAACGGGTGGTCCGTTGTCCGAGTCTGCCATGATATTGCGGGAAAGGGAGGGCTCGCTACATCTATAAGTACATTCTGGTTAGTCATTCTGGTGAGGTGAACTGAGGTTTGCATTTATATTGCGAAAGCATTTGTGTAACGGGATATTGTATCCCCTGGAAACGTCCCCCCAGCATATTGTAACCTCAGGACAGATGGTTCGGGATACATGAAACACGCTAGGTTGATATTTTTTACATTTTGCTTTTACATATGTACTCGTTCGGATGAATGGCAGTTATATATATGCAGATATATTATGTTTGTTGATAAACTACAACCATGTCCAAGATATTTTTATGGATTAAACTTCTTTTTTATTTTAATTTTTAATTTTTTAATTTTAAATTAAAAAAGAAGTTTAATCCATAAAAATATCTTGGACATCAATGTACAACTTCTAAATGCCACTGAAAGACATCAAACTACAACTAGTCTATAACTGTCGCGTACACCAGATTTTATAACATACAGGTGACTACGCATGCCACATAGAGACTGTTTGGAGACACAAATATTGTTGGCATTCATAGAAGATAATGTTATTCAACCGGCCGACTTTCCCGCTACCTATCGACACATTGTTTTATCATGTCTATTTAACAAATAATCCACGAATCAATTGGGAAAATATTTGACAAAATTATGTGCTGAGGATTCGCTTCTTGGACTATAGCAGAGTGCAAATGTTGATGGTACTGGATAGTTTTCAGGAAGGATTTCACTCCTCGGCAATATGCTTATTCTGAAAACCATTATTTCAGTGTATCCCAGAAGAGTTATTTTGACTGTGCATCTGTACACACTTAAGGCTGCATTCGCCACTGTTTACAGACGTTGTATGAACTGTGGGAAGCCGAGGTTGAAGGTACACTTACAGAGTGATGAAAAGCATGTCTAAACAAACAAAACCTTGTTTTTGTTATTGCTGGACGTTTTCATATTTTAGCAAATATGGATTGAGGGAGGGTGTCAAATGTCACAGTTTTGTTTGCTTGTGTATTTAGATGTTGTACTCTTTTGAAATTCTGAGAGGAATTACCATGGGTCTGTTGATCTTGTTTCTACTGATGTTTACATAATTATAAAAGTTACCGAAGCGTCAAAGGTGTAACTACGAGGGTCGGTCAAAAAGTAGTCGGCCTAACTATATTCTCGATGTCCAATGTTTGAAAAGCTTCCATTTTAGTTTGTAGGAATCATTAGCAAAGCGGTATAAAAAAATTCACATATGTGGGTAATGTGATTAACGAGATATTAGTAATCACAACACATTGGGGTATAATATTTCTAGAAAAAATGCAGAAAATTAAAAACGATCCGTCATTTAGTACCTCTTGGATAATGGTATGCCCTCAGATAATGTCATATAAAATATGTTAGTATAGTATTGGATGACTTCCCGTCATAATCAAGAGTCAAAGCTTTGGATTGCTTGATTCATATTTAGTCGGGGACTGTTTCTTTTAAGGACGCCCCCATTTTAGTATTTCAAAAACATTGTGTCCAGATATTCAAGCTGGCCCTGTTTACAATATACTGAGAGTTGACGCTTGTGTGACCATTCAGTATTTACTTTGAATCTTTAACATCATTTGTGAAAAAGTGAAAACATTAGAATAAGTTATGTCCTTATGATTTCGTCGTCTGAAAGGGGATGGGTAGTGTCTCCAAAACAATCTGTTTCAGTAAACATGAAGGGGGAATCACTTTAACAAGCGATTGTACTTTCAAATTGCTTTTTTATGCACTTTAATATCTAAGTTTGATTCTAGCGGACGTCTACCTATCTCAAACACACAAAATGTTTCTTGCATATTTTGTTACCTGAAGTTTGTGGTGCATTTATTGCAGATTTTGAGCTTTTGGGGGGGTACAAAGGTAAACTTTCAAACAAAATGGGGATCGTAAGGCTGGAACGTAGCAAAACCAATTTGCTTGAGGTTGACAGATAATATGTAGAAAAATAAAACATAAAAACAGCTGCATTTGTATCATTTACTAGGTCAGGCCGACTACTTTTTGACTGTCCCTCGTATCATCCAAACATATCTACTGATAACTAGAGCATCTTCCCCTTCAGATGTCTGCTTGTCTGACCGTCGTGTGCCGCACTGTTGTCATCTGTATCATCATCACAGTCGGCTGTCCTCGATCGGGGCTCATGATCTCTCACAGGAGGACCGAAGCAGGTATGATATATATGTATATATTTATAAACTTGGGGGTAAGGCCGTCCGTATTTTTTTCTGTGTTTCTCATCTCCCAACCGACCCAAATTTTCCTTCCGTCGGAACAAAACAAATTTTTTTATATGCCGCCGACAGCAATAATTTCAGCCCAATCAAACGAAAAATGTGTCTTAAAAGTCAACTTTGAAAAAAATATAATATTTTGAAAAGTCTCTCAAGCATCTAAATGGGCGATGTTTTTGAATTTATCTAAAGTATCTATAGTATATATAAAGTGAGTTTACATTATTCCATAGATGCTATGACACCCGAGACTTACAGTGTCTCATGTTCTGCCGTAGGAAATGCTGTGACAATATACCGATTTTTCATGGCGTTTTTCCGTTATCTTCTATCGTGTCAATTCGTATTGAGCTTGAAATTAAACAAACTGTGGACCTGCAACCAGTGAGCTACCAGTGGACCACAGCCTTTGGCCGGTGGCCCAAAAACCTACAAGTGATAAATCTCTCCAAAAATAAAGAAAGTGACAGTTTTGAAGAACTGACTTTGTTGTATTCTGATCCCATGTGACATTTAAAGAGGCTCTATTAAAGGTTTGTAGCATAATTATTCAATATAGTTTCCTTATGTTTAATGACAAAAAAGGATTATCACAATAAGAAAAGCCTCTTTTTATGGTCTGGGTACTGTTGGAGGGTCATTTTCTGTCACCAACTTGAAAAGAAGATGACAAACTGCTTCTTCTTTTCTTTTTTGCTTTTTTTTTCGCCAGCATTAATAATAATAATAATGTGTCCATTTATATAGCGCCAAACTCCACACTAGGTATGCTCATAGCGCTAACAATCAAGGCCATTATTACCCCGGATAACCCAAGCTGCCTGTTAGGCGCTAGAAGGTTATAGTCATATGACTTTTTTCCACCGGGTACCCATTTTCCTGCTGGGTGAACAGAGACAATTTTGAACAAACTCACTTGCCTAAGGTGAGACCACATGTGTCACATGTGCTTCGTTGTGGGGCAGGACTCAAGTCCTAGAAACTCTCAGGAGTCAAGCTGCCAAACACGGTCACCCATCCAAGGACTCTCCGAGCTCGACGCTGCTTAACTTCACCGATTTATGACCTGAGCTTTAAGCATAGGACCACGCGCCACCATTAGCACCAGTTTGGAGATGAGAAACATAAAAAAATGTATATGGCCTAAAACATATCGGCACACGAATTTCTGACATAGGCAGAAGTCTTTTTTCATAATCCCTACAAGGGGTGGTGGGGTAGCCTAGTGGTTAAAGCGTTCGCTCGTCACGACGATGGACCGGGTTCGATTCCTCACATGGGTACAATGAGTGAAACACTTTTCTGCGCAACCCGTTGTGACATTGCTGGAATATTGCAAAAAGCGGTGTAAACCCCAGACCCAGCTTACTTACATAGTGCTCCAAGGCATTGATTGGCTGGAGGTAAACCCCGACTGAATTTAAACTCGAAAATATTTAATATTCATAATTTTTCTACTGTGGTTTTGTCAGAGGCCTCTATAAGAACTACATTGCTGATAAACAGCTTGTTTATGTTTATTATCTATATTTAGACCTGTACCTTTTCAAACTTCACCCATGGTAATAAATAGACACATCACTTGCCTTGAAGTTAATGTCGTTCGGCGGCGCATGTTCCAGCAATCTTTACACATAATACAGTAACACTCGGAGTCCCTACTGTTATCAAGCATGTCAGGGTACGTGTACTGATACCTCATGGTGACGTGCTGAATCAGGTTTTCAATTACAAAAAACCACTTTCACGCAAATATACATTTTTGTAATAAATGGAAAGTTAACAATTTTTCAACTTGTCTGCAAGAAAGTTCAAGGAGTCTACTGACTAATTTTGAAAAAAGGAATTTATTATGGTCATTAAGTTGATTCAACTCAAATGGATGTTTGCATTCCGTTGCATTTGTTGATAACGCAGCACTCAGCAATATTCCAGCTCTGTGACGGTGGTCTGTCACTAATTCACCAGATAGTTAAGTTAAACTGCTTCATTCCAACGCAGAGAGCCAGCACTGTTAAATGCAGTCATGCCGCTCTGCAAATAGTCTGTCTCACAGTCCCTGAACCACATTAATTTCCCCACTGCCAAGCCCTCTCTGCTGTGCTAAAGCCCTAAATAAAGCAAGTCTAGATTTCCTCTGGTTCAGGAATCTCTGGTCTCCCTAGGGCTCCTTTTCAATATAAATGGGCTTGTTTGTTACTATCAAAATTATATATATTCAGAGACTAAGCCTTTGTCTACTCTGCAAAGTGCAGTAGTTTTATAGGCAGCTTTGTTCATAATGTCACCTGACCGTACAATGTGAAATGTATACCGAATTGCCTGTTTCTGTTCCAGTACTAACAGCCAGTGCGGTGGCCTTCAACATTGGGAAGCCAGCCAACTTCAAATGTCGACTCACTACACCGAGAAATCAAAAAGATAACTACACCGTCAACGATCTCCGTTTCGTGTCCGTGCCCGCGTCACTTGCGGCACGTGGGGCGACGAGGGTCTTGGACAACGCTACTATTGCGATGTGGGTAACGTCCCTATTTCTGAATGACACCGGGACATTGTATTGTGTCACCAGCAACAAAACCCTGGCCATGAAATTGATTTTTGTTGGCTGTAAGTATACTGCAATACAAGCAAAAGCCAGTTAGTGAGTTGAGATTTACGCCGCTTTTAGCAATGTTCCAGCAGTATCACGTCGGCGGACACTAGAAATGCGCTTCACACATTGTACTCATGTGGGGAATCGAACCCGGATCTTCGGAGTGGCGAGCACACGCTTTAACCACTAGGCTATCCCACCGCCCAATATGAGCAAGTGTTAGCAGCAGAAATGCTATTCGTTGCCTCCTGTTTCCACATAATGTGAGTAGGTCCACTGTTATTATAGTGAAACTCTCTTCTCAGTCATCAATTGCAGAGTTGCCTCCCTTAGGCGTATCAGAATCCTGTAATCGTCGTTTATTATGACGTGGCCAAACAATAAGCATAGCCTGCCTTACCCGTAGCACCCGCCACTCAACCGTAAAAGTTTTTTTTAATTTAAAGAGTAAGTGTTTAACGCCATGATCTAACACCTCTAATGTGTCACGGTCTAACACCTGCTCTCGGTATATCTCGAATTACGTATAGGTCGAAATATACATTTCATCTCAAGGCCATGACGTTAACGAGATTGCATGAACTAAGGATCTGGATGTTACATGATATACGTGTGCATGGCCAGGCCCTTCTACTACAATAAACTGTCACCGCATGGGCAACTGATTGTATTACTACAAGGGCAACTGTTTGTATTACTACATGGTCAACTGTTTGTATTGCTACAAGGGCAACTGTTTGTATTACTACAAAGGAGCAACTGTTTGTATTACTACAAAGGCAACTGTTTGTATTACTACAAGGGCAACTATTTGTATTACTACAAGGGCAACGGTTTGTATTATTACAATGGCAACTGTTTGTATTACTACAAAGGAGACTTTTTGTATTACTACAAGGGCAACTGTTTGTATTACTACAAGGGCAACTGTTTGTATTATTACAAAGGAGACTTTTTATACCACGAGGGCAACTGTTTGTATTACTATAAGGGCAACTGTTTGTATTACTTCCATTGCAGCTGTTTGATTTACTACAAAGGCAACTGTTTGTATTACTACAAGGGCAACTGATTGTATCACTTCAAAGGCAACTGTTTATATTACTACAAGGGCAACTGTTTGTATTACTATAAGGGCAACTGTTTGTATTACTACAAGGGCAACTGTTTGTATTACTACAAGGGCAACTGTTTGTATTACTACAAGGGCAACTGTTTGTATTACTACTACAAGGGCAAATGTTTGTATTACTATAAGGGCAACTGTTTGTATTACTACAAGGGCAACTGTTTATATTACTACAAAGGAGACTGTTTGTATTACTATAAGGGCAACTGTTTGTATTACTATAAGGGCAACTGTTTGTATTACTACAAGGGCAACTGTTTGTATTACTACAAAGGAGGTTTTGTATTATAAGGGCAACTGTTTGTATTACTACAAGCGGGCAAGGGCAACTGTTTGTATTACTACAAAGGCAACTGTTTGTATTACTACAAGGGCAACTATTTGTATTACTACAAGGGCAACTGTTTGTATTATTACAAGGGCAACTGTTTGTATTACTACAAGGGCAACTGTTTGTATTACTACAAGGGCAACTGTTTGTATTACTACAAGGGCAACTGTTTGTATTACTACAAAGGCAACTGTTTGTATTATATTTACCACGAGGGCAACTGTTTGTATTACTACAAGGGCAACTGTTTGTATTACTTCAAGGGCAACTGTTTGTATTACTACAAGGGCAACTGTTTGTATTACTACAAGGGCAACTGTTTGTATTACTACAAAGGCAACTGTTTGTATTACTACAAGGGCAACTGTTTGTATTACTACAAGGGCAACTGTTTGTATCACTTCAAAGGCAACTGTTTATATTACTACAAGGGCAACTGTTTGTATTACTATAAGGGCAACTGTTTGTATTACTACAAGGGCAACTGTTTGTATTACTACAAGGGCAACTGTTTGTATTACTACAAGGGCAACTGTTTGCTTTACTAGAAATGCAACTGTTTGTATTACTACAAGGGCAACTGTTTGTATTACTACAAAGGGCAACTGTTTGTATTACTACAAGGGCAACTGTTTGTATTACTTCAAATGCAACTGTTTGTATTACTACAAGGGCAACTGTTTGCTTTACTAGAAATGCAACTGTTTGTATTACTACAAGGGCAACTGTTTGTATCACTTCAAAGGCAACTGTTTGTATTACTACAAGGGCAAATGTTTGTATCATAGCAAATGCGACAGTTTGTATTGCTGTAAGGACATCTGATCGTGTTACTTTATCATTGCATTCACAGCACCTCCTGTAGCGGCGTACAACATCAGCTGTATCTCCTACAACCAAGTTGAGCTCGGGTGCGAGGTACTGGTGGCACCAGGGCAGTTGCAGACACGATGGACGATCGAGTACAAAAACAGGTAGGCCAGGATGTGTTGCTCGGTGAACACTAGACTAAGGCTTAGTCTCTGAATATATATAATTTTGATAGTAACAAACAAGCCCATTTATATTGAAAAGGAGCCCTAGGGAGACCAGAGATTCAGAACCTGAGGGAATCTAGACTTGCTTTATTTAGGGCTTTAGCACTGCAGATTGGGCTTGGCAGTAGGGAAATTAATGTGGTTCGGGGACTGTGAGACAGACTAGGTGAACACCTTCGTCAGTGCTTCACGGGGCGTATACATTAGCTGAACATTTGTGGACTGATCTCAAGTTTTGTAATGTTTGGGATATGTCAGCTGGAGTCGTGACATTAGATATGGGCTATTGTATCCGTGCAAACAACCCATTGTTAAAGCAATAATCTTGTAGATTAGTTTCCGCCGAGATAACCAGACACGAGATCCAACAGGTCACATGTGATGACACTCCGCTCATCAGTTGAGCTTATTGACTGATCCCGTGTCCAGTTATGTATCTTGCATGGTGACCTCAGACCAACAATTTGCTGATCAATCACAGCTGATCCAAACGCTAGGTTTCAACGTTAATGTATTGTCAGAATCAAATGTCAACAATATAAATAACTTTCTTGTTCTGTCCTCGAAGGACATGTCAAGTCCTTGTTTCTATCAGATGTACATGCGATCCCAGGACTGTTGTATAATACTACACAGTCATGTCGGTCCGGGGAGAGTGAGGATGGTATATAATTCTTTTCGCGTGCACATATTCCCAAAAAACATGCGGCCGTTATTTCATATATTTACTAATAATGGTTTTGTAGATTATTAACACTATGTATTGTTTCCCACGAGGATTGCCAGCTAATGCACGTATGCACACATCTAACCCCCCTCCTTGATAAAGACTCAGTCTTTTTACTGGTAAAACAGTGTGTATACTTTTATAGGGACTGAAGGTGAGTCTGAGTAACAAACTGTTGTGCATTCAACCCGTGAAGATCCGGTTCATAATTGATCTTCAGCAACCATGCTTGTTGTAAGAGGCGACTGACGGGATCGGGTGGTCTGGCTCGGTGACTTAGTTGACACATGTCATCGTATCCTAATTTGGTAGATCGATGCCCATGCTGTTGATCACTGGATTGCTTGGTCCAGACTCGATTGTTTACAGACCGCCGCCATATAGTTTGAATATTGCTGAGTGCAGCGTAAAACTAAACTCACTCACGCCTCACTGTTGTGTATTAAAAACTGATGTAATCTAACAGGGCTTTATTTAGGTTTTATGCCTCTTCCAGCAATACTCCAAACATGTCCTCGCTACCCTGGTTGCCAGATCTGTGTGCATTCACGCACTAAATGTTTGACCGACGCCTCGTTATTAACGCAAATATCAACATCTCGTCACAATAGTGAGCTGGTCGAAGATACTTTGCTGTCCACTCGCCCATTTGTTTCGTAATTCGTTTAACTCATTGCATTCTAATATAAAGTGAAATTCATCTCCAATTTTACTCTTGCATGATGTACACAATCTATTTTCTTTATCAATTTTATGCCATCTACCAGTTTCAGTAGGGAGTCTGTGGTTACAAGTTCTAAGTTTTGTAGTATAAATACGTAAATCTAGAGGAAGTTGGAACAAATAAGTTTCAATATAAAGATTATCCTTAAACATATTGTAATATAGGCCTTTCGATGATTGTGATTTACTTTCTCTCCAAGTTTGTAGAAACTGATCAACGAGAACAGTTTTAACATTATTTACCAGCCAATGGGTACTCTGAAATTCTTGTAATTGCCAAGTGTAGCTGAAGCCTGTATTCTCTAAGACAGATTTTACTTCCGCTATTAGCGGATATTTAGCATTTGCCTGAGAATTGTGCAAACTGAACATTAATTTATACATTACTTTTGATAGTTTACCATGAGATAATAATAATTTACACCAATATGATAACATTCTCAATTTGATAGAAATACTAAGTGGATATCTTCCAAGTCCACCATAAACCATAAAGTCTGGGGTTGTTGTTTTTACCTTCAATATGTATTTACAAAATTTCAAATGAATATGTTCTAATTGAATAGTGTTTTCGTAGCCCCACACCTCAGCACCATACAATAACATAGGCTTAACAAGTTGATCAAAAAGTTTAAGTTGGCAGTCGACCGGTATATCTAACAAGCGAATTTTTCTAAATATAGCAAACATTGCACGAGAAGATTGGTCAGAGAGCCGTTTAATGGCTTTACAAAAGCGACCAGTGCTTGTGAATAGTACACCAAGATAAACATAATGTTTTTCTACCTCTAAAACAGTATTCTGCAGAAGAAATAATGTACTAAGTTTACTGCTTCTTTTGGAAAAAATCAAAACTTTAGTTTTAGAAATGTTTACTGGTAGTTTCCATCGTGTACAGTAAGCATCAAAAGTTTCCAAACAAAGTTTCAAATCAGAAGGAGATTCAGATAAAAGTACTGTATCATCAGCATAAAGAATTACCAGTAGCTTAATGAATATACCAATTTCTTTTAGTGCATAAGCATTTACAAATTCCAAACCAATTACGTTATTTGATAGAAAATATGACAAATCATTTAAATAAAGAGCAAACAGAAATGGAGATAAATTTTCGCCTTGTCTAACACCCGTATTACAAGGAAAGAATTGGGTTGAACTGCCATTATGAGAAACACATGATTTTATATGCTGATACATATTTTTTATAACGTTAAAACATTTTCCAGTAATACGATTATCAACCATTTTCCGCCAAAGGCCACAGCGCCACACAGTATCAAAGGCTTTACTAAAATCAACAAATACGCATTATAATTTCTTATTTTGATTAAGGTATATATCAATCAATGCCTTTAAGATATAAATGTTATCAATGGTGGAGTAGTTTTTCCTGAAGCCCGCTTGCGCAGAGCTTAAGACACCAATGCTGTCAGAGTAGGCTTGGAGCCGTTTACTTAATATGGATGTGAATAGTTTACCCAAGCAGCTTAAAAGTGACACCCCTCGATAATTATCCGGGTCCCCAACACCCCGTTTGTTTTTGTAAATAGGCTTAATTATACCTAGAAGCCTGGACTCAGGCATTACACCACCATCAAGAACTAAGTTAAATAGCTTTACATATACAGGTAACATAACGTCAGTAGATGACTTAATATACTCATTTACTATATCATCCAACCCAAAAGCTTTGTTGCTTTTCAGACAATGGACAGCAAAAAGAATTTCCTTATCTGTAATCACCGAATCTAAAATCTCGTTATGTAACACACCTTCATGAAAACAAATATCACAATCAACCTTGCAGGCTTGTCCTGCGTTCAAATCTTTGAAATGATTAAATAGCTCTTGCTTGTCAATACCTAATGCTTTTTCAGTGCGATTATCAAATGACTTTAAAATTTTCCAGAAAGATTTTTAGTAGTTCTTCTGTGAATTACGTAATTTTTCAGCACAGTCACGTTTATAGTTATTAAATGAAGTTTTCAAAATTTTACTGTAATAAGATATACCGTACATGTACCCATTTACTGAATTCGTAGCCGAAAGCGAAGCACTTATATCGTTTGACTGTAGAAAACGTTATAGTTGATTGATTGTTGAATGTTATTTAACGCCGCACTCGGCAATATCGGGATACGATGACATGTGTCAACCAGTCAGCGAGCCTGGCCACCCGATCCCGTTAGTTGCCTCTTACCACATGCATGGGCTACTGAAGACCAATTCTAACCCAGATCTTCACTGGTAGAAAACGTTAAACCTAAATGCCAAGAAACAATTACGGAGAAAGACGTTCCTTTCTGTTAAATTCTGCCACAGTGGTGCGGTTGTCACATCATTTTCGTCATTTTTGGGGATTGATTTGATACCCTGTTTCTCAAAGCTCTCGTAACTAAGATGTCGTAACTTTTCTCGTAGCATTCGTACCTCCTATGTTACAGTATAGGAGATACGAATGCAACGAGAAAAGTTACGAGAGTGAATATTTTCAAACTTCAAGGCAGAAATAGGTATAATTTCTATTAAAACTTCACAATAATAGTTTAATGAATGTGTTGTCTGACAGAGGTTTGGGAGGAGTGTACAATATGTGTAGCCACTCTACAATATGTGCTCTCATCACCAACGACATCGACGACCCCAACTACAACATCTTCTACCCTGCCTTCAATCACACGTTCCGCGTAAATGCAACCAATCGTTTCGGACGCGCCACAAAGACGTTCGAAGTGGACCCATTTCTTGTTGGTAAGTGTTTAAACCTATATCTCCCTATTCTCCATTACTGTGCTACAAATGTATACTGTTGTTATGTGAGGAGAGTGTGGTTTGTAGTGGTGATCCGATTAATTGAAATAATCGAAGATTGGTCGCAGTGACCAAACGACCAAGCAATCGATCACATTTTCTCATAATCGAACACAAACGATTTTGGAACCGCTGTAATAGAGTTTGAAATACTTGATGATAGAACATATCTAGGACGTTGTCATGGCCTGAAAACGTGTTTATAACTAAGAAAACTCACTTCACTTTCTGAAAAGTCATGACTGAATATTTCTTGAAGTATCTGGGAAGTTTATGTTACACTGGAACTGAATCATTTTACACTGGATGTGAAATTTGCAAATGTAATTTATGAGTTTCAAAACAGAACAACAGAGAACCAAATGTTTTTTTCTTTATACTTATCTGCAACTACAACCTGAATAGGAAAATCTAAAAAATGATGCTAACCAATTTTTTTCGATGATTGGTCGTTGGTATTGAACCAGTCATCAATTGTGAGATTTGAACCAATTCCCAACACTAGTGGTTTGCCGATGTCTTTAGGAATGTCACCAGCCGTGGCACGCTGGGGATACATAAATGCTATTCACACAATGTTCCTATGTCCGGATTCGAACCCGCGCCGTCGGTGTGACGGGCAAACGTCTTACCCACTAGATTACTATGCCAGGCCCTTGTCTCACTTAACGAATACTCTAGCATCGTGTATTTAATGATTTGTTAGAAATATTGAACTACATAACGGCTGTATACAATCCAGTCTGGGTCACATAGCCTGGTAACTGTTGTCATGAGCATCGATCTACGAGAACGGAATACGACGAGATGTATGATCTAGATCAACCAGATTACCTGATTCCTTAAGACACAGCTTACACCAATCATGAAATCATGAAGATCAACCAGATTACCTGATTCCTCAAGTCACAGCTTACACCAATCATGAAGTCATGAAGATCAACCAGATTACCTGATTTCTTAAGTCACAGCTTACACCAATCATGAAGTCATGAAGATCAACCAGATTATCTGATTCCTTAAGTCACAGCTTACACCAATCATGAAGTCATGAAGATCAACCAGAGTACCTGATTCCTTAAGTCACAGCTTACACCAATCATGAAGTCATGAAGATCAACCAGATTACCTGATTCCTTAAGTCACAACTTACACCAATCATGAAGTCACGAAGATCAACCAGATTACCTGATTCCTTAAGTCACAGATTACACCAATCATGAAATCATGAAGATCAACCTGATTACCTGATTCCTTAAGTCACAACTTACACCAATCATGAAGTCATGAAGATCCACCAGAGTACCTGATTCCTTAAGTCACAACTTACACCAATCATGAAGTCATGAAGATCCACCAGAGTACCTGATTCCTTAAGTCACAGCCTACACCAATCATGAAGATCAACCAGATTACCTGATTCCTTAAGTCACAACTTACACCAATCAACCTTCGCTCCTTATGTTCAGGTTTCATGATCGGTGATTGAATTCCTCGTATTTTCGGCCAACCAATTGCATGAGGCTCAGTTCTAATTGTCTCCTTACAGACAGCCACAGTTCCTCAATCAATCATATCCAGCCTTGAGTTTTCTAAAATCCTTCTGTTTGTTTTAGAAACAAGAATACCAAGCCGCCTCCTGTCACCGACAGTCCATATTCTTGGCCTACCTACTGGTGCCTCCCCTGGTGCTCAATGCCATATCCATTTGCAATATTTTTCAAAACACGATAAACAGTGGACAAAGAGATGCCTGTTCTACTTGAAATCACTTTAGCTGATCTGATGTCCTTTGTTATAATACTCTAAAATCAACTTCCTCTTCTTCTTCATGAAGATCAACCAGATTATCTGATTCCTTAAGTCACAGCTTACACCAATCATGAAGTCATGAAGATCAACCAGAGTACCTGATTCCTTAAGTCACAGCTTACACCAATCATGAAGTCATGAAGATCAACCAGATTACCTGATTCCTTAAGTCACAACTTACACCAATCATGAAGTCACGAAGATCAACCAGATTACCTGATTCCTTAAGTCACAGATTACACCAATCATGAAATCATGAAGATCAACCTGATTACCTGATTCCTTAAGTCACAACTTACACCAATCATGAAGTCATGAAGATCCACCAGAGTACCTGATTCCTTAAGTCACAACTTACACCAATCATGAAGTCATGAAGATCCACCAGAGTACCTGATTCCTTAAGTCACAGCCTACACCAATCATGAAGTCATGAAGATCAACCAGAACTTGATTCCTTAAGTCACAGCCTACACCAATCATGAAGTCATGAAGATCAACCTGATTACCTGATTCCTTAAGTCACAGCTTACACTAATCATGAAGTCACGAAGATCAACCAGATTACCTGATTCCTTAAGTCACAGCTTACACCAATCATGAAATCATGAAGATCAACCAGATTACCTGATTCCTCAAGTCACAGCTTACACCAATCATGAAGTCATGAAGATCAACCAGATTACCTGATTTCTTAAGTCACAGCTTACACCAATCATGAAGTCATGAAGATCAACCAGATTATCTGATTCCTTAAGTCACAGCTACACCAATCATGAAGTCATGAAGATCAACCAGAGTACCTGATTCCTTAAGTCACAGCTTACACCAATCATGAAGTCATGAAGATCAACCAGATTACCTGATTCCTTAAGTCACAACTTACACCAATCATGAAGTCACGAAGATCAACCAGATTACCTGATTCCTTAAGTCACAGATTACACCAATCATGAAATCATGAAGATCAACCTGATTACCCTGTCACAACTTCAATCATGAAGTATGAAGATCCACCAGAGTACCTGATTCTTAACACCAATCATGAAGTCATGAAGATCCACCAGAGTACCTGATTCCTTAAGTCACAGCCTACACCAATCATGAAGTCATGAAGATCAACCAGAACTTGATTCCTTAAGTCACAGCCTACACCAATCATGAAGTCATGAAGATCAACCTGATTACCTGATTCCTTAAGTCACAGCTTACACTAATCATGAAGTCACGAAGATCAACCAGATTACCTGATTCCTTAAGTCACAGATTACACCAATCATGAAGTCACGAAGATCAACCAGATTACCTGATTCCTTAAGTCACAGATTACACCAATCATGAAGTCACGAAGATCAACCTGATTACCTTATTCCTTCAGTCACAGCTTACACCAATCATGAAGTCATGAAGATCCACCAGATTACCTGATTCCTTAAGTCACAACTTACACCAATCATGAAGTCATGAAGATCCACCAGAGTACCTGATTCCTTAAGTCACAGCCTACACCAATCATGAAGTCACGAAGATCAACCAGATTACCTGATTCCTTAAGTCACAGATTACACCAATCGTAAAGTCACGAAGATCAACCTGATTACCTGATTCCTTAAGTCACAGCTTACACCAATCATGAAGTCATGAAGATCCACCAGATTACCTGATTCCTTAAGTCACAACTTACACCAATCATGAAGTCATGAAGATCCACCAGAGTACCTGATTCCTTAAGTCACAACTTACACCAATCATGAAGTCACGAAGATCAACCAGATTACCTTATTCCTTAAGTCACAGCTTACACCAATCATGAAATCATGGATCATATTCCTATCCCGGATCTTCACAAGGGTCCATTTACAGCTATGATTGGCTTAATGTTTGCAAGACAATTATGAGCAATTAAAAGGTACATATGTCGCAACAGATTTAATTACAACTTAAAACGCAAGTAACCTGTGACTTGTCGGATTATATCATTCAGTTTGATAGCGAAAGGCGACACCTGCCTGCTGAACGAAATCGTATTTTGATCATACTACACCAAGCAGTGACAAATACATGTAGTAACTGTTCAAGGCCTAATTTGCTGTTCTCGTTCTCTGTGAATTTCTGATGCATTTAAAAAATATATTTCAAGTGAACCTAAACATTTTCCAAATAGTCGCGGACCCCTACCCCTTCAAATCTGCTGACTCCCTACCTTTCGCATGCGTACTCATCTTATTACATGTTATAGAGTTTAGCCAAGGACCACAGGGGCGGATTGGAGGTTTGGATGTGAATGTTGCAGCTTACCTGCAGTAAATGCCCTACCCTTGTATCGATAAAGTAACATAAGTAGACACAAGTGTCTGATAATGGTTTAACGATAACATCTGGTAAGTGACACGAACGTGCCAATTGGGAACTTTGTTTGTAACGACTGTATTCAACCAACCACAGAGAGTAGGTATGCATTGTCTTCGTTGTAAATCAAGACTTTATACGTACAAGGAACCGATAGTGCGGAACATATGCATCGGTGTCAGCTGCATAAAGATGTTCACTTGACCTCATTGTGGCGAACGTGACATAAACTGCATGAAGAGGTCCACCTTACCTCAGTTCAGTAAACGTGGTGTGTCCTGCATTGAAGAGGTCAACCTCGCCTCTGTGCAGGGAACGTGGTATATGCTGCATTGAAGAGGTCAAGCTGACCTCAGTATAGTGAATGTGGTACACATCGCTTGAAGAGGTCAAGCTGACCTCAGTTCAGTAAACGTGGTATATATTGCTTGCCGGAAGAGGTCAACCTGACCTCAGTACAGTGAACATAGTATACTGCATTGAAAAGGTAAAACTGACCTCAGTATAGTGAACGTGACATGCTCTGCATTGAATATGTCAACCTGACCTCAAATAAGAGAACGTGATATATGTTGCACTTCAAATTGACCTCAATATAGTGAACGTAGTATACAGTACAATCAGAAATTATTGAGAATTTAAAGATTTGTAATTTTTATTATTTTTTCACTCATTACTCATTAGCAGAACATAACTCCAGCTTCAAAGACAGGTGAACAGTTAGTATTTTATCAAGTCACCATGGGCAGCAATGCAGGCTTCAATGCGGCGGGGCATACTCCTGATCAAAGAAGTTAGAAAGTCGTGGTCCATGCTGTGCAAATATCGGACCACCTCTTCTTTCATTTCAGCAATATTTTCTTATTGACAATTTCCTTCATAGTCCCAAAACATTTTCTATTGGATTTAGGTCAGGGCTTTGGCTTAACCAATCTAATAATGTCATATTTTGGGTCTGAAACCAGGCCTGTGAATGCTTTGAACGATGTTTTGGGTCGTTGTCCTGCTGGAAAATCCAAAATATTCCATAGAACACGTGAGCAGATGGAAGTAAATGTCCCTCGAGAATATCTGTGTACCGCTCAGTGTTCATATTCCCTTCAAATACGCAGAGAGGCGTTGCCCCTAACACAGATATGCCACCCCAAACGTTAAATTTCGGACTGTACTTTGGGCGCTGATACAAAGGTTTTTCAGTTTGTTTGGTCCAGAATTTCAGTGTATTAGGAAACAGCCACACAGAACTTTCATCTGAGAAAATCACATTGTCCCAGTTAAAATTTCTATGCTGTAAGCACCAGTTCAACCTTCGCTCCTTATGTTCAGGTTTCATGATCGGTGATTGAATTCCTCGACTTTTCTGCCAACCCATTGCATGTAGCTCAGTTCTAATTGTCTCCTTACAGACAGCCACAGTTCCTCAATCAATCATATCCAGCCTTAAGTTTTCTAAACTCCTTCGTTTGTTTTAGAAACAAGAATACCAAGCCGCCTCCTGTCACCGACAGTCCATATTCTTGGCCTACCTGCGCCTCCCTGGTGCTCAATGCCATATCCATTTGCAATATTTTTCAAAACACGATAAACAGTGGACAAAGGGATGCCTGTTCTACTTGAAATCACTTTAGCTGATCTGATGTCCTTGTTATAATACTCTAAAATCAACTTCCTCTTCTCTAAATCATCCATACTGAGGATCACTGAAAATGTCGTCTGCTAGCAAGTAAACGAAGGGGGATAACTCTTCACAAACTAATGAAAAAGGATTAACAGAATTCTCTCTCTTGAATGAAACCAAGCACTTGATAGCTGGTCAAGGTTGTTTATACTAGAAATCCAATTAAACATATTCCTAAAATTCTCAATAATTTCTGGTCATACTATATATTTCTTGAAGAGGTCCACCTGACATCAGTACAGTGAACGCGCCATATACAGCATTGAATGGTTCAACCTGACCTCAGTATAGTGAACGTGATAAATACTGCATTGAATGGGTCAACCTGACTTCTATACAGTGAACTTAGTGTATATTGCATTGAAGAGATCAACCTGACCTCAGTAGATTGAACGTGACATATATTGCATCATAATGTCGCAAATGACGTCGGTTTCTTCTTAACTGTATATTCTTTCTGTATCTCAAGAATAAAGTCGTGGATCCATTTGTACAATGTTAAAAGACAGAACGATCTTTACATATTTTCTGAAACATTCCGCATAAATGCATTATCATTTTTTAACATGTCAAACCTTCACTGTCGTGGATTTTGAAGAGTGAAAATGCTCAGGATATGATTTCATTTCATGTGTTTGGGTACACGGGTCTGTTTGTGACCCATCCTTTGGGGTGGCCAGAAACCATGTGGTCATGGGTTCGAATCCCGTTTCCCTCCAGTATGTTTCTGTTTGTCACCAGCGTACCTGGGTTTCTGGGTGCCACTCACTCACTCACTCACCCACCCTCCCACCACCCACTCACCACTCATCCACCACTCAGTCACTCACCCACCACTCACTCACTCACTCACCCACCCTCCCACCTACACACCCACCCACCACTCACTCACTCACCCACCACTGACTGACTGACTGACTGACCCACCACTCATTCACTCATTCACTCACGGAGCTGAATGGGATTTGCTCTCAACTTAACCGACTAAGATATTTCGATTTCAACTCACTGTTTGAAACACACAATGTTACGAGCCTACCGTCACTTGGTCAGGAAATGCTGTCTCAACTTCCTGGTGTTAATTTCAGTGAAGCCGGATCAAGTAAAGAATGTAACAGCTTGGATCCTCAACACCACGTGCCTCAATGTGACGTGGGGTGACGCCAGCTTCTCCGGTGTGGCTGTGCAGTATACCGTGACAGCTAACTCCCAGCAGGTGTGCCACACGTATCTATTGCCCATCTTCACACTGTAGCATATGGTGCAGCGGACAGTTGAATGAACTGCGGTTTACCTATCACGGATCTGTGGTGTTTCTATTTGAATAGAAGGCGTAACCGGTTATTAGGGATGGTACCAACAAAGACATGTCCACGGCATGCTAAACTTAATACAAGTTATTGTGAAGGAACCGCAGTGTTAGTGCAAAGTAGAGATGCAATGTAAATTCCATTGGCAATAGAAATACAATGATCTTACAAAGGTATGTGTAGTGATTACAGCAATAAAGGTGGGTGGTTATTATAATAAATTGTAGTTTTCAAATTAGGCCAAGGTTATATCCATATATAAGATAACTATCGTTTTCACGATAAAAGTTTACATAACAAAATACATGACAAACATGTGACTCGTTACATAAAACCGTATGTACAACTAAAACAAAAGAAATTTGACTAGCGATTATATAAAACAGATTTTCCTTTCTGTAAAATATCACAGCAGGTTCGGCAGCTAACGAGAATACAACTGTACTAGAAAGAGTTAAACGTCGTTTTATAAATAACATTTAACGTAAAACGTCAGTTCAGTTCGTCACATCTTCTAACATTATTGACACTCATCGTAACACACCAAGGCTGTTAAGACATATTCTCTGTTCGACCAAGTCATACCTCTTGTATTTAAGGTAACTGTTTTGGAACTTTCCATGATATTCTGACTGATATTAGGCTCGTGCATTTGTAGTACCTTGTAGTACCTTGCAGGACCTTGCAGTATCTTGCAGTACCTTGCAGTACCTTATAGTACCTTGCAGTACCTTGTAGTACCTTGCAGTACCTTGTAGTACCTTGTAGTACCTTGCAGTATCTTGTAGTACATTGCAGTACCTTGTAGTACCTTGCAGTACCTTGTAGTACCATGCAGTATCTTGTAGTATCCTGTAGTACCTTGCAGTATCTTGTAGTACGTTGTAGTACCTTCGAGAACTCTCAGTCTAAATATAGCGGAGCACTGCCAACTACTTAATTTCAACAGAAACATGTCATAAACTTGAAACACTATTCGTAATTGATTACACATGCCACATAACAGTGTCTGGTTGGTGAAACACACTTATGATAGGGTAATTAACGTATGGTAAATCAATACATAATAAAGACTGTGATGCACGTATTGGTTATTCAGGTGTTTGTGTCTGGGCATAACGACCGCCAGATGTACTGGATCGTCGTGTGCGACTTGCGCCCCTACAGCAGGGTGGTGGTGTCAGTTACGTCACGACCTCTACACGGAGGGTATCCTAGTGACCCGGTATCGACTACACACACTATGCAAGAAGACAGTCAGTGTTATATTCAAACTATTTGTGTTTTTCAACTATGTTTATATTCCAACTACGTGTATATTCCAACTATATATGTTGCCGTCTTCAAAATATGCTGATTCCTGCAGACAGCGAACTGTGAAAGGTGGTTCTCTGCTTCTGTGTGCAGTGTTGATTAGAGCACACTTAGGAACCGTTCATAATTTATGAACCGCAGAACAAAATGGGTGACCCCCTTAAAATCATCATAACACCCCTCTCCCCCACCCCACCACACCCCCGCCGCCATAAATTATGAGCGGTCCCTTATACCTATGTGTCGCTTTAATCTTTCATGCACGTCGATCCCATACTGTTATATTTATGTTTTTTTAACACAATTGTTCTGAAACAGGTTTGATTTCAAATATTCTTACTGTGAGGTCGCGTATTTCCCTTTATAAAATACAATGAGTTGTGAAGAGACATTCACATTGCCTAACAAAACAGTGTCGGATTACCATATGATTTATTGATTTCCTCGCATGCTATGCATTAGTCATTGATTTACATTCATTGTCAATACACTACAGACATAATGAGTAATTATAAAATCGATGGATAACATATTAATCAATGCCATATCTTAATCCTCAACCCGACTACTGGGATCTCAGTGTTGCATCCTTTTATTAGAAACATAACATCTTGGCATCTTTTGTCTCCAGGACCATCCGGGCCTCTAATCCAAGCAGGGTCGTACACCACGCTGGCAGCAGGTGCGCGGAGGAAGATCGCAGTTTACTGGCAGGTACGGTTCATGTATGTACATAGAGGAACAATGAACATTACGATCTTAGCTCAGTGAGAAATGTGAACATACTAACAAAAGGTGTCCTCCCATTACGCAGGCAGCCAATTCGCAGACATTTACGGTTCAGTGAACAGATTATCTACTACCTGTTACCTACACATTATAATGGAATAGTCCAAATAAAAGCACAGGAGCAAACTGAAGCTATATTATTTATTTTGAAAGATGGACGTTAAGACAGTAATTTGAATTTTTATTGCTGCAATATATGAACAGTTTATTTTCATAAACATTTCGGTTTTACCTTCTAGTCTAACGGAAGTCGGCATAAACTGTTACAATCTTTAGAAAGAATTGTTGAAATTAGAACACTGATTGGTATTAATCGTATCTTACATGGCAAATCAGGTGTCTCATTTACTGCAAATCAGAATGTTTCCAAATATGTACATATCTATATCTCTCCAACAAAACGTTTTCTCAGTTAACTTCTGTTGTACATATGCTATTATTGGGAGGGGTCTTTTCTATCAATAAACACAATCAAACCTCTCAGTGACAAACCTGTGATGTAGATAAATGGCAGAGAGATATGTACATATTTGAGAACATTCTGTTTTACAGTTAATGGGAGACCTGCATTGCCATGTAAGATAAGATTAAGACCAGTCAATGCTCTAATTTTGACGATACTTTCTAAAGATTGTAACAGTTTACTTTGATTAGCAAACAATAGCCATTCAAGGAAGTAATGGAAAACATTCTCACATCCATGGCCACATTGACATGATGAGTCACTTTTTTATATTTATTCTCGTTAGACGAAAAGGTTAAAACGAAATGTTTATGAAAATCAACTTTTTTCTTTTTGCAGCATTCAAAATTCAAATGTCTCTTCGGTCATCTTTCAAAGTAAATAATACGGCTTCTGTTTTCTTCTTGCATGTTAATTTGGACTATTATTATGTGTAGGTAACGGGTAGTAGCTAATCTGTTCATTGAACCGTAAATGTTGTTGTTTCAAGACGCCTGCGAACAGCCTGTCTGCGTAATGGGAGGACAACAATGTTCACAATGTGATTATTCTTACACCGGATAACCCAAGCGGCCTTTGGGGCGCGTGAAGGTTAAATATTTAGTAATGTGAACTATACCTCCGGGTACAAACTTATTCCAAGTAAGTGAGCACTGTAAAGAATAGTACACTAAGAATGTTCTTTTTTGTAATCCGAGAGACGAAGAATTTACAAAACTGTTCATGTTTCAGGCTTGCAAAACCCCAATAAGCTTAGATATAAGTATTTTACATACACAAGAACAGTTACTGAGTGTTTAATACCAACTATTTCATTTTAAACCTGAGTGTATTCTTTACACTGACGTAAATCATTAAATACATTAAAGGATTCTTCAGTGGTATTACATGTAAATTACTCAAGCGTATCTATTTTAAGATGGCTAATCACAAAAAAATAATGCAAGATTTTACATGCTTACCAAGTAAGTATGTATATCATATTGTGAGGTTGTTCCTGGTATTTGGACAGCATCGTATAAACGCAACCATCATCAACAATAGCGTGCGCCTGCAGGTGGACTCATCAACGGTGACGTGTGATTGTTTCTCAGTCGTATTCAGTCTCATCTTTGTCTTCGTCAAGTAAACGTCTCTTATTTGTACATCTGTGTTGCGTGTTATGTCGGCCTGGAGACCTTACAATATACATGTACACAGAGGACAACCAACGACAATACATGTAAACCAACGCTTCCCAAACAATCACTGTAACTCTGGTTCAATCATGCGCTCGTGATAACCACATCCCAGTATGACAAATGAAAGTACCGGGATGCTGGTGTACCAAACAACCTTCGCTCTGATCATGAGACTACCTTATATTAAGCAATTGGAGTTAAGACCGCTTTGTACAACGGCTCCCAGGTGTGTCGCAAGTCCCATGATACCAGCTGAAAATTTGAATTAATTATGATCCAATCCCCTTTAGTTTGTGTCATCTCACATTTGATGACGTTTGTCAATATGTTGATATTTTCAGTGATTTACAGAGAAACATCTCAGTCTCGCAGATGGTTATCAACACAACGTCTATACTCGAGATAATACTGGCACATCGCTATATAGCGTAGACCCCATTTTTGTAGGTGAATAATTGACTTGGCTTGGCATGTGTTTGTGACGGGACGGCCATTCTTTCGTTAACACCAGGTGCCATCACTGTTTAGTATTGAATAATAAATACTTCTGTGTACCCAGGCCATCTCTCCTCACCTATTGTTGTACACCCAGTCCATCTTCCTCATCCACTGTTGTTATACCCAGACCATCTGTCCTCGTCCACTGTTGTATACCCAGACCATCTGTGCTCGTCTAATATTGTCTACCCAGACCATCTGTCCTTATCTACTGTTGTCTACCCAGGCCATCTGTCCTCGTCTAATGTTGTCTACCCAGGCCATCTGCCCTCGTCTAATGTTGTCTACCCAGGCCATCTGTCCTCGTCTAATGTTGTCTACCTAGGCCATCTGTCCTCATCCACTGTTGTCTACCCAGGCCATCTGTCCTTATCTACTGTTGTATACCCAGACCATCTGCCCTCGTCTAATGTTGTCTACCCAGGCGATCTGTCCTTATCTACTGTTGTCTACCCAGGTCATCTGTCCTCGTCTTATGTTATCTACCCAGGCCATCTGTCCTCGTCTAATGTTGTCAACCCAGGCCATCTCTCCTCATCCACTGTTGTCTACCCAGACCATCTGTCCTTATCTACTGTTGTATACCCAGACCATCTGCCCTCGTCTAATGTTGTCTACCCAGGCGATCTGTCCTTATCTACTGTTGTCTACCCAGGTCATCTGTCCTCGTCTTATGTTATCTACCCAGGCCATCTGTCCTCGTCTAATGTTGTCAACCCAGGCCATCTGTCCTCATCCACTGTTGTATACCCAGACCATCTGCCCTCGCCTATTGTTGTCTACCCAGTCCATCTTTCCTCATCCACTGTTGTATACCCAGACCATCTGTCCTCATCCACTGTTGTATACCCAGACCATCTGCCCTCGTCTACTGTTGTATACCCAGACAATCTGTCCTCATCCACTGTTGTATACTCAGACCATCTGTCCTCGTCCAATGTTGTCTACCCAGGCCATCTCTCCTCATCTACTGTTGTCTACCCAGGCTATCCCCCGTGATCTGCAGCACGGTGTCATCAGGGGTCTCCGTGTTATGGTCCGCGGGAGTGAACCAAGGAGGAACACGTCAATACTGGCTGAACAGATTGTACCTAACACCAGTGTGTCGGCCCTTGTCGACGTCGACCTCAGCATGTCTGTGGATTATGTGATGTCGGTGCAGGCCTGGACGAATGTCGGCTACTCCGATGTCACGGATAGATCGAGAATCTATATACCTGTTGCATCTCAGAGTGAGTCAGTTTTATCTTATACATTATCTATAAATCCTGACGGTGTATCTAAAGAGGAATGAGAGTGTGGGCAAGTTCAGTTACAGTCCCCACTGAGCTGTGTTTCAAAATGTCAGGTTGCGTGTCAGATTTATTGTGTGTGTGTGTGTGTGTGTGTGTGTGTCAACCGAAGTTGTTGAGGTCATTAGTAACTGGAATGGTGCTGGCAGACCTTGAATCACAATCTGGACAAACCGGCTACCATGGCCACTGTCTAAGGGACATAACTCAGCGAGGCCATGGTCCCTGTCGCCACTAACAAGAGTGCACCTATTGTCGTGTAGTGATGTCATCAAATCAGACCAAGCTTTGTGCTGATGCCGTACACATTTTATTGGCAAGGTGCAGTCGTTGATCCTGCTCATGATGGATCGGTAGTACATATCCTGCAACGCACCAGGTATTATTTTGTAGCGCATAAATATTTTGTGGCACTTTTCAGAACTGACTACAGCAAGATGGGTAGACGCCGTCCTCGTGGATGATGATGTCTATGACATATACTGGGATCCCGTCATCAATTCGGCGACATCTACGACACGACTTCACTGGTGTTACGGCCAAATGACCAGTCCAGGCTATGTCTCTTGTGAGGTCAGTATTTGACGTAAACTGACAGCAGGTATTAACGTTGACAGGATCAGGAATTAGCATCAACCCCACAATTGTTGCAGTGAAATAATCTCCAAGGATACCTGCGCACGGCCACTCAGGTTGGGAAGGATTTGGTTATGGTGGTGTATACCGGATGGGGTACCTTCAGGACTATTGCTAGCTGAAACACATGGGACAAGACAATATATACTTTCTAGTAGACGATGGTGCAGTTGGATGGGTGGTGTAGACTACAAGTGGAGGTGGTTGGTGTTGAGTAAAGGGTAAAGAAGATGGGGTGGCTATCTACTGTGGTAGACGATCTGAGATAAAAGATGAGGTGATGTTGTCATTGGGGCAGATGACTGTCTGTACATCTAGATGATGGCGTAGACGATAACCAGAACATGGGAACATGATAGTTCTGGAGTGAATATGTACTAGTATTTTAAAAATAAATTACTTGACACTGATATGTTCACTCCAAGTTAGCTCCAACTCATGATGCAGTGTATATCGTCCTGCAAACTGATCGGCCAGCTGTTGCGATAGCTCTCAAAACCATTTGCTGACTTTGTTGACGAGATCATATTTCCCAGTAATAAGATAGTCTACAATAAAGACAACGGCTGACTTCAGTGAACCAAAACGTCTGGAGCAGAGGGGAGGGAGGTGAGGGTGATTGAACGGGTACACAAAGAGAAGGAACGAGGACAGGACAGGACGAACAGGGCAGGACAGGAGGGAGAACAGGGAGAGGACAGGAGGGAGAACAGGGAGAGGACCCGAGGGAGAACAGGGAGAGGGAGGGAGGGGAGAACAGGAGAGGAGGGGAGGGAGAACAGGGAGGAGGGAACAGGGGAGGACAGGAGAGGACAGGGAGAACAGGGAGAGGGGGAGGGAGAACAGGAGAGGGAGGGAGGGAGAACAGGAGGAGGAGGAGGGAGGAGGGAGGGGACAGGAGACAGGAGAGGAGGGAGAACAGGGAGGACAGGAGGAGAACAGGAGGACAGGAGGGAGAACAGGAGAGGGGAGGAGGAGAACAGGGAGAGAGAGGGAGGAGAAGGAGGGGGAACAGGAGGAGGAGGAGGAGGGGAGAACAGGGGAGAGGAGGGAGGAGGGACAGGAGAGGGAGGGAGGGAGAACAGGGAGGAGGGAGGAGGAGGAGGGAGAAGGAGGAGAACAGGACAGGAGGGAGGAGGAGAACAGGAGAGGGGAGGGAGAACAGGGGGAGGGAGGGAGGGGAGAACAGGGGAGAGGAGGGGGAGGGGAGGGGAGGAGGGGAGGGAACAGGGAGGGAGGAGGGAGGGAGAGGACAGGGAGGAGAACAGGGAGAGGACAGGAGGGAGAACAGGAGAGGACAGAGGAGGAGGAACAGCACAGGAGAGGGAGGGAGGAGAACAGGAGGAGGAGGGAGAGGAGGGAGGGAGAACAGGAGGGAGAACAGGGGAGGGGAGGAGGGAGGGAGAACAGGGGAGGAGAGGGAGGGAGAACAGGGGAGAGGACAGGAGGGAGAACAGGGAAGGAGAACTGGGGCAGGGTGAATTATGGATGGAGGTAATGAGATGAGAATGTTCAAGTCATGCCAGCAATACCAACTTAATGAACACTTTGTTCAAGTCATATCAGCTATACCAATGTTACCTTTTGCCCTGTGATATCAATAAGTGGCGGCGTTTACGACGTACGCCTCCATCGACATTCGCCGAAGACGTACGTTTACACATCTTTGGACTATGTCACACGTGATAAATATGCGAGACCGTGAGCCTTCGGGATATGTTTAGACTATTATCTAGACAGTTACCTGTCTGTACTCCTCAGTTGAATTGTTCAAGCTTATACTAGGGCAGCGTGTATATAGCCTCAGTTTGACTAGAAAGTGTGCCAGATGTTCCCCATTACTCAGTGGTTTATAGATCACCACTCATGAAACCTACCAATTGAAGAATTGGTAGGTGACATGAGTGGTGCTAGATAGGCCAATCATCCATGATTATGTTTGCATTAAGTATTAATCGAATGCATGCGATGGTAGCGTAGCGATCGGCAAAGCAGGCGGGTAGGGTACACCGAAGTGTCCGGCCTTGTCATAATGTATTATACTGTGAAGCATTTTGAGTCGGGGGTCATCTCCAATGTTTTATGCTTTTTTAACATCTTTAATCGTCGCAAAGACACGAGGGCATGTGGTCCATCATGGGTAACGTACCCTCATGTGTATTATGACCCTTTGCAAAAATCAGGCTATGGACTATAGAAAAGCCCCCAATCCGTCATACGTAACTTATGTCCGTGAGGAAGCTGTGAATGTGTTGTTCATGTTGCAGACAAGTATCCAAGCCAGAGTTGAGGGGGAAGCTGACGGAGATGGCGCTGAGGTGGAGGTCGGGGAAAGGTTCGTCACCACGTGCAGTGCATGTGTCTGGCATTTCGGAGTTTCCATGGAAACCGACGGAATAAATAGCGGAATCGTATGGAATCAATGCAAATTCCAAAAATTCAAAGGTGATTTAAAACCATCATGCAAATCTGTTTGGTTTAACCGGATTGGAGATTAGCACCATAGTTGGTCTTTATGTTATTTCGGTTTGACAAACGGACACAATGAGGTATTTAATAAATTGGGTGAGTGAGTGTAGTTTTACGCCGCACTCAGCAATATTCCAGCTATATGGCGGCGGTCTGTATATAATCGAATAATAGGGAACCGATGGCATGTGTCAACAAAGTCAGCGAGTCTGTCCACCTGATGCCGTTAGTCGCCTCTTAAGACAAGCATGGGTTACTGAAGATCAATATTCTAACCCGGACCTTCACGGGTTGATAAATTGGGACCTCCGTGAGACCTGTAGTGGATAGAGCGTCTCCCGCTGATGGGGAGGTCGGTAGTACGATACCTGAGTACGGCATACCAAAGATGGCATTGAGAAGACACACCAAAGACACTCTGCTCGGTGTCACTATGATGTACCTGAGTGGGCCAAGCATGTTAAACTGCCCATTTCTGCTGCTGGCTATCGCAGTGGGCTATCGCAGTGGGTTAGGGTTATAAAGCCCCACAATGCAAGCTCCTACCTCATCTATTCACCCCCACGCCCATACCTCTCTAAAGGAATGCATAAAACGTTGATTACATAGACTGAATTCAATGACTACTTGGAGAGACATCAATATTAAACACTGAGTTATCTCCCCTCTTACCCGTTAAAGATGCATCATGGATCTGTATGTGTTCTAGTTCTTGTGCGTTGTTCTTAGTACCGCTCGTCAATGATGTCGTCGTGAACAGACTGACGGAGACATCGGTGGAGGTGACGTGGGGCGTGCCGTGTCTGATGATGAACTATGGCAGACCAGAGTTTATTGATGTTGCAGTTATACCTGGGAATATTGACCCGGGACGTTGCGACAACTTTCACCGTGAGTATATCTCTATGTGTGGAACTGACAGTGTTTGTGTGAAGTAATATAAAGTATGTGTATCAAAACCGAAACTGAAATAGGGCAGTTTTGACGAAGAGCATGGATCTTTCATCTGGATATTTGACGCTCAGCGCCACCTGGTCAGTCACGTGTTGATTTGTACGTGACACTGATATCTGTCTATATTTACAATTGCAGCTGTGACGGTGACGGCAAAGCACGACGGCGACTCCGTCATCCTGAAGGTGGGCGGCTCCTCCTACAGGGTGTGCGTCAGAGCTGTGGGAGGAGGAGTACATGGACCCTGGGTCAGGAGGAACGTCACGACCCCGGGGTCTGTAGGTATGTTGGTACCCTCACTGCTCGTCATCGTGAGCGTTCAGTGGCAACACCGTCTGTGACAAATGCGCATCACCACCACGACCACCACACCGACCACCCCCAACACTACCATCCTCACCTCCACCAACAACAACTCCAACAACAATGATATAAATATATAAAACTTCTTTTGTGAACAAACTATTGGGTAATTAAACAACAGGAAGCTTGAAAGTCATTGTTGCTACGTGAACGCCTTCCTGATTTAACTCCTCAGCGGCGAGCTAAAACCGGCATCAATCCAAACAGCCAAAAATAAACCCTCCAAAAATACACACACATGCACTCCACTTGTACGCATTTATCGCTAGGTAATTCAGCGCGACATTAGACACATATTTCCCTTGCGACTCTGCTCGACCTCTGATACAGATTATCAGTTGTATCGAACACATATTTACGCATACATGTGGTCTCACCTTAGGCAAGTGAGTTTGTTCAAACATTGACTCTGTTCACCAAGCAGAAAATGGGTACCCGGTGTGATAAGTCATGTGACTATAACCTTCTAGCGCCTAACAGGCAGCATGGGATATCAGGGGTAATACTGTGCTATGCTATTCATTGTTAGCGCTATGAGCATACTTGGTGTGGAGTTGGCGCTATATAAATGGACACATTATTATTAGTTATATTGTTATATTTTGATAATCAGTTTTCCGTATCTTTGAAAGTTAAGAAAGATCCCTTTCATAAGTGGATTAGTATTCACCAATACTTTACTCATGAAAGTCACGAGTGTGAAAAAACACAGCAATATAGCAGAATAATGTTGATGAGTAATCCTTGTTTGTTGTGCAGCTCTCGTTCCACCGGAAGTGATTGTTGGGGTGCCAGTCAGCTGTTCAACACTCGCAGCCGCCATCTTGATAACGTAAGTCTGATCATGGATCTACTTGTGGTGTGATGACCTTTAAAGGTCCCTAAAGGTGATTGTTCTGTATTGCTACAGTATTGCCGCCATCTTAATAACATAAGTCTCATCATGTGGTGTGGTGACCTTTAAAGGTCAGATGTAATACTCTGAAGGTGATTGTTCTGTGTTGCTACAGTCATTTCCATATCTGTATGTATATGTATGATACATATTTAATGTTTCTGCTCTTAGTTCCATATATTTCTGCAGAAGAAAAAAATGGTTCGCCAAGATTCAAATCCAGCTACCGACTTTAATCAACCATTTGGTATGTATTTAGTAGTTTGTTGTTTATTGCCGCACTCAGCTATATTCCAGCTATTAGGTGGCGGTCTGTAAATAATCGAGTCTGGACCAGATAATCCAGTGATCAACATCATGAGCATCGATATACGAAATTGGGATACGATGACATGTGTCAACCTAGTTAATAGGCGAGAATTGATCACTACTGCTCTTGCTCTCAACAAATTCTCGTCCTTAACAACATAAATACAATTCTTTAATCAGACGCAGCACGAGCTGTTTCCATTAATGGTGACAGGATCTGTCTGTCGTATGTTCGAATCCAAAATAGTGTTGTTGGTTTGTTGTTTAACGCCACACAGCAATACTCCAGCTATATGGTGGTGGTCTGTAAATAATTGAGTCTGGACAGCCAATCCAGTGATCAACATCATGAGTATCGATCTACGAAATTTTGATACGATGACATATGTCAACTAAGTCAGCGAGTCTGGCCACCCGATCCTGTTAGTCACCTCTAACGATCAGCATAGGTTGCTGAAGGCCAAATCTAATCCCGATCTTCACGGGTATGTATTTGTTGGTACAATGTGTATTTTATACAAACCTTTCTCTGTGCTACTGTTACTAAATGATTTGTTTACTCCTCATAGAGTGAGTCCAGTTTGATGCCTCTTTGAAAAGTATTCAGTTACTATAACTGTCAGTTTGGTGTCTGAGAACAGATAAAGCGGATAAGGTCTCAGATGTTACCACTTTGATGAAAACACCCAATCACACGTTTTGTACTGACAAACAATACATGACCGGGGCGAACGGGATTCGAACCCGTGATTATACGTTTGTGGCGTGTCCATAGGGACGCAGCGCAGTGAATGAAACAACTAGGTCACATATTTGTTTTAGAAATACTTCTGTGGAATGCATGCGTGTTGCTTGTATTTTTTTGCAGTGTACACCATCATTTAATAATAGCTCACTCACAGGTTATGCATTGTGTTGCCAGGGAAACCCTGCACCAGAAGAAGGCCGTTTTCTTCCTTCGGGGAATGTTTCCTCGGAGACCTCCACAGCTACCAAGATGAAGGTAATGCAGCGTCCATGTGATATAGTTTCGTATACAGAAGAAAGTATAGGTTTTACGCCTTTCAGAAACATTCCAGATATGACGTTGGATACCAGAAATGTGCTCCACAGATTCTACCTATGTGGGAAATTGTTGGAGGAAAAACGTCCAGGCTATTCATTGTCTCGTATATTAGTAGGGGAGGTGGGGTAGCCTTGTGGTTAAAGTGTTCGCTCATGACGCCGAAGACCGAGGTTTGATTCCCTTCAATGTGTGAAGCCCATGTCTGGTGTCCCTCGCCGTGATAGTGCTGGAATATTGCTAACAGCGGCGTTAAACTATACTCACTCACTCCCATATGTTAGGTTGATCAGTGTAAAGGACCGATTGACATAACATCAGTGCATTGTTCCACAGGTCAGTTATCGGGATGAATCCAAGACACTGTCCAACTTGGAGTCCAGAAACGAAACAGTGGGAACAGGCCTCTTGACCTATGTCATTGCAGGGGACGACGTCTCCATGGACAACAGCATCGACATTTGTGTGGACATTTCAAGTTTATCATCAGTGGATGGAAACACCGAGCGCGTTGGTGAGAAAGTCGATAATATGGCCACGAAACACAGGATGAGAGCGAGCAACTTCACCTTACAAGGCTCTGAATCAGGATGTGGTCAGGATGTGTGGTTGCAGGGAAGCTGTGCGGGTGTCGCCGGGTCATCGGAGTTTCCAGATTATAATGTATGTGTTGGCGAGCCTTGCGACACAGATGGAGACGGCCTGGATTGCTATCACACGTGTTCCTTTGTTCGTGAACCCGTGCAGAACGGTGTGGGAAAGCAGCATGGCGTGTCAGACAATCAGATATGTACGTGAACGAGTGGCATGTTGCGGTGAGACAACAGGGACCGCATATTGACCAGACTAATATACACACATGAAGGCTGACGTATAATCGGCGCGTACACTGAAAGTCTCAGCTATGCTTGTAGCAGTTGCTCTGATGTGTCTATCGGCAGATCGATACGTGATCGATAGTGAGAGCATCCTCGGATCCATCCATCTCACGGTTGGGTCTGTCTTGGGGGTGACACACGCAGGTATTAACTACCCGGAAGCTTGAAGTAACTTTGTCTTCAATGTGGTCTGGTATGAAGTGGTTGTATCATCACGTCTAGACGTCTCGGGCTTCAGACGAAGGTGAGCTGGAGGAAGGTATCCACTGTTGTATGGGGTGGTATGCAAGGGCTATGTTTGGACTGCAAACCTGGTTTGTTGTGATTACTTACTTACGTGGAGTGTGACGATGGAGCTTGTCCTGTGTCGTCGAAATGGCGTGTCAAGGGAGCTTGTCCTGCTGGTGTGTCGAAATGGCGTGTCAAGCTGGAAGTTTTAAATAGATTATCGAGGTACTTTGTCGAAATTACATATCGAGGTGATGTGTCGAGCTGGTGTGTCGAAATGGCTTGTTGATGTGGAAGTTTTAAGTAGATTGTCGAAGTACTTTGTTGAGATAACCTGTCGAGGTGGTGTGTCGAGGTGATGTGTCGAGCTGGTGTGTCGAGCTGGTGTGATGAAATGGCTTGTTGATGTGGAAGTTTTAAGTAGATTGTCGAAGTACTTTGTTGAGATATCCAATCGAGGTGGTGTGTTGAGGTGATGTGTTGAGGTGGTTGGTTGAGGTGGTGTGTTGAGGTGGTGTGTCATGGAGGTTGGGTATCGAGGCAGGGTGGTGTCGGGGGGAAGTGTTGGTATCTACATGATGGTGGACTAGTAGTATCAGAGTGACACGGGTAGCTTCTTAGATACATGGCAGGACCTGTAGAGCTTTGAAGATATACGCCATAATAAGGAACACCTCCACAGTGGCCCAGGACAGGAAGACTGTAAATATGACTAATATGTATACCATTTAAAATCAGTGACAGGTGTGATGGAGTAAGTAATTATATTTTTCAATATTGAGTGCTGCCTCCTTTTTTACATGATGACCCATGCTGAATGTGACCGTGTATTTTCAAACGGGTGACATGTTGTGCGGAACTGGGGTTACTCTGTCCTGCTTCTGTACTAGGAAAAGGAACTGGCTGAGGTAGTCATTCTTCTCGTTTCTATTTCTGCTCTAAGTCCAGATGATGCCTACATGTACATGTAAAAGCTGTTGAGGGCTAAGTTAATTTAAAAAATAAAAATTTTAAATACAAATCTACGTTACTGTAGAAGTCAATGGGGAAATATTTGGTTTCGTGTAACCTGTAGCACATGGTTTACGACGTCAAGGCATCCTGTTCTGTTATAGATTTATATCAGATGTACGTGTCTAAAAAGCTTAAATACTGCCTCATTGTCAAGGAGATTGGCATCAGCATGGTTAACTTTCTTCTGAATGCACACGATATGGACAATTAAAGCTTGATGTAGGCTTTCTTTCATCAAGCCTTCCGTCATATTATAGAAGTGTTTCAATGTTAAGATGTATCAATCTTATATTAGTTCTGGAGTCAAGAAGCCATACCACCAGCACTGACCGGATTTCTTTGTCTCGGGACACCATGTCTCCTGTTCCAAGTGTTATTGGTATTGTACGCACCATGAGGCTGGACGACACGTTAGAAACTCGTATTAAACTAATGTTGTACTCATATCGATATAGTCCTGTGTCTGAGACGAAACAGATAAGAAACTTCCCATCATCTCTTTACAATCAGGTTTATTCAAACATTTTACTATTATCATGGTGTATGTAACATGACAAAACCAAAACGTTTCTGTACAAACCCATGACAGTATCAATATCAACCACGCGAGATGCATGCTAAATTACTGTAACATATTTAAAGGTATTGAATAAATTCTGTTTGATCGTGTTTGCTTATTACCCTGATATCCTACAACCACTTGATGATCAGACATATGTCTGGACTGGTGGGTCACGTGACCCCTGACTTGTACAAATGATGGGGCCACAGTCCGACATAAGTACGATCCGTGTTGCTCACGAATAGAACGTCCTCAATTTAAATGAAGGGTAAAATGTCAAAGCACTGAGACATTCCTATACTTTTCCTGACTGGACAACTTTTCTATAAAAGGCTACCGAGTCTTTGGGTGTCCTGGGTCTAGCGGGGTCGGAGAAGTCGATGCTGTAGATGCCGAATCTCTCCTTGTAGCCCTGGTGCCACTCGAAGTTGTCAATGAGCGACCACAGGTAGTAGCCCCGGACTCGGCACTTGTCCTCGTTGATCGCTGTGGATACAGAAACACTGGACTTATATACAGTCAACACCGAGGTGAGAGGGACCTACGTAAACATTTCGAGTTATCAGAAATTCGACACAGCTCCACTATGAGAGTGATTAAGGAACTCAGCGTTTTCTTCGGGACAACAGCAGGTTCGAGACACCAAACCCATGGCATTTTGTACTTCTATACGAAATATGTCATTGTAATATCATCTTGATTGCCAGTTACCATATGGGACCTATGTTGACCTCTTCTGACATATTCTGACCTCAATCCGTAACGCCGAGATACCTTCAGTTCACAGCTCACCAAAGGTCGGGGGTGACGTAAGTTTTCTGACCCGTATTCCCAGCAGAACTGATAACCTCAGCAGAGTGGGTTTAGTGGAGGTTCTAAACAGCGAAATTCAACGATTCATACAACCAAGGAGAAAATGAAACAAATGAGAAAGCACCTTTTGATACTTCTGTGAGATGTTCCCGGAGGTACTTGATCCTGTCAGGATCTTGGAGCACCCCTGGCTGCGTGGTGAAACCGTTCTCGGTGATGTAGATGTCGGGATCCCCGAAGTCATTCTTGATGGCTCCGAGCAGTTTCCGCAGCCCCCAGGGTACGGAGTACAGCCAGTTAGACACGGCTCTGGGATGCAAGTGTTAAATGTTCTTAGCTGAGGTGATAAGGGGCTTAAGGTCTCATCTATGACAATTGCTAGTACATATACATGTGTGTGTTTGTACGTGTGCCCATTGTACTAGTCCTTATACCCGTGAAGGTCCAGGTTGGAATAGATCTTCAGAAACCCATGCTTGTCGTAAGAGGCGACTAACCGGATCGGTGGTCAGGCTCGCTGATTTGGCTGACACATGTCATAGTATCACAATTGCGTAGATCGATGCTTATGCTGTTCATCACTGGATTGTCTGGTTCAGACTCGATTATTTACAGACCGCAGCCATATAGCTAGATTATTGCTGAGTGTCCCCTCCTGGGTTTGTTCTTTAATCCCTAGTGACTGGCAGGGTAACACAATGGACTATGTTTTAATGTGTATCGGTATGGCACGACAGGGGATCGAACTGTCCCTCTTGGGGCAGATGGTGACGTGATTTGGTCGCAAATACAAAGTCGGACATGGATATAGTCTACACGATCTACATGTTTAACACGGAACCTGTAAACGATGGCTGTGACTCTCTATTGGCGAGACAAATAAATATACTTGAATCATCATCTTATGATGTTAGAATAACACGTCATACGATTCCTGCTCAAATCTTATTTGATCACGGTAACAATATTCAAGGCCTAGGCGAATATTTTATAGTCGGCAGGGGGCATTTCTATGCTTACTGCATTCGTGCAAACCGAAACATGAGTCTCATTAACCAATTCAGACAATGACCTACTTTTCAGCCGATCCTAATTTTCTCGTGTGAAAGTGAAGAGACACTACAAACAACTATGGTTACACTAAATTCCAATTCCTTCTGTCATAAGAAACGGTATTTACAAATTAAATTTAATTCTAAAGTTTTAAAAAATCGTATTTCTATATTTTATATCGAGGTTTAGGCAGCATGTCGTTGACTAAGACGTCACAGACTGCCCCTGTTGGAAGAGGTCATAAAATTATTCACAATTCATCTTGCTCACTGGTTACACCTTATTGCGCTTATTAAGTGTGTTTTCGTAACTACAGTGTGATTGACATAATATCAAGTCCGTACCAGACCGCCAAACGTTTCTAGCGGCCAAGCCTCGTTTTGAGATTTCCACGATTTCCAGGTTTCCGTTTGTCAGAGCACATAGGACAGAGAACGCTACACGTCGTGTTTTGCAAGGATTAGAATGAGAGTAGTGTTGCAATATACAAGTGATTAGATGTATCAAATAATACTGATTAATATTTATATATCCAGCTGAATGAGTTGGTCTCTCAATTCTTGACTGGTTATTGTACTAAGTTGCGCAATAGGGCAGAACCCAGTCAGCAGGGAATGCTCCCTTATTTCACTTCTACCGTATGTTCCCATATTTGCAGATAAAACTGACTTGCCTGTACATGTGTTTGTGACAGATGCCACGGGTAGGGTGAAGTACATTCTGGATTTCTGAATACGGCAAGTGTTTTATCGCTATTATCATCATGCACTAGTCCGTAATGCGACAGCTATGTTACGATGAACCTGTTTTAGTCCCAAGCCTACACAAGACTTACCGTGGCCATGATGGGTCTGTCAGTCCTTCGTAGCTCTTGTCTCCCAAATAGCCTGGCTTCTCTTCCATCGGCTTACTGGCGACAAGTCGGGTGGTGTAGTAGTTTAGCCCGAAGAAGTCGCTGCTTCCTGAACATAGAGTGAGTGAGTGACTTAACGCTGCTTCTAAGATGATTTTCAAATAGAGTGAGTGAGTTCAGTTTAACGCCGCACTCAGCAATATCCCAGCTATATGGCGGCGGTCTGTAAATAATCGGGTCTGGACCAGACAATCCAGTGATCAACAGCATGAGCATCGATCTGCGCAATTGGGAACCGATGACATGTGTCAACCAAGTCAGCGAGCCTGACCACCCGATCCCGTTAGTCGCCTCTTACGACAAGCAATAGTCGCCTTTTATGGCAAGCACATGGGTTGCTGAAGACCTATTCTACCCCGGATCTTCACGGGTCTTTTCAAATAGAGCATACACCACTAAAACAAGTTAAAGGCCATCCACATTTGTATGTTTGCGAGGGGCGGTGGAGTAGCCCAGTGGTTAAGGCGTTGCCTCGTCACGCCGAAGACCCGGGTTCGAATCCCCACATGGGTATAATTTGTGAAGCCCATTTCTGGTGTCCCCCGCCGTGATGTTGCTGGAATATTGCTAAAAGCGGCGTAAAACCAAAGTCAGTGAGTCAGTCAGTATGGTTGCGATGCTAGAGTGAGTAGAGTTCGTAAACATATAATACGAAACGTCAATGGATATAAGTACTTCCATCTCTCACGTGAACCTGACCTTTAAAATTTAAACTGTGTGTTGATTGATACTACACACCGTTTTCAAGGACGCTGTCACCCTTCCAGGGCCCCACGTAGCACTACGACAGTCGTAATTCCATGTTAAAGTATGGGAGTTACGATCATCTTAGGGTTGGAACGGGGCCAGACTAACGCTCTGGTTAGTTCTATGCAAATTTTATAAACTCTCCACAGTTCACTCAACCAGTTTTACAGTAACTCAGAATTTCAGCAGAATGCGTTCACCACAGAAACCCTTTAGGGCTAGGCAAAACCCCACGAAGAACATTACAGGGTGATCCATAATCAGGATCCACAGACCAGTACTAACACCGTTACTACAGGGTTACTAAGGGTTACTACACAACATCTACAAGCGGTTCTACAAAGAATCTGCAGGGTGATCATAAGTGATCTCCCAGGAAAATATTGGACAAAATATGGTAGCTCTACAAGGATATTTTTGTATTACCACAAAATTTCTGCAAGAAAGCTACTTGGAACGATACAAGAGCTCAACAAGAAATACAACTGGATCACTACAAGATTTCTGCAAGAAAGCTACTGAATCACATACAAGAATTTTACAAAGCTATTGGATTACTGCAAGAGAAAACTACTGGATCACTACAAGATTTCTATAATAAAATTATTGGATTACTGCACGGTTTCTACAAGAAAGCTACTGGATCACCACAAGATTTTTACAAGAAAGCTACTGGATCACTAGAAGATTTCTCCACGAATGCAAGATCACAGCAAGAACTTACCAAGTCTCTATTGGATCAATAAAGAGATTTACAAGAACATTAACAATTACTTCAAGAGGTGACATACATTTCAACAAGAACATAATAACATCACAACACAAGAATAGTAAAGGGCCAAGACAACTAGATCATGACAGGACCACCAAGTAGCCACAGAGTTGACAACTAGACCATGACAGGACCACCAAGTAGCCACAGAGTTGACAACTAGACCATGACAGGACCACCAAGTAGCCACAGAGTTGACAACTAGACCATGACAGGACCACCAAGTAGCCACAGAGTTGACAACTGGGCCATGACAGGACCACCAAGTAGCAACAGAGTTGATAACTAGACCATGACAGGACCACCAAGTAGCCACAGAGTTGATAACTAGACCATGACAGGACCACCAAGTAGCCACAGAGTTGACAACTAGACCATGACAGGACCACCAAGTAGCCACAGAGTTGATAACTAGACCATGACAGGACCACCAAGTAGCCACAGAGTTGACAACTAGACCATGACAGGACCACCAAGTAGCCACAGAGTTGATAACTAGACCATGACAGGACCACCAAGTAGCCACAGAGTTGACAACTAGATCATGACAGGACCACCAAGTAGCCACAGAGTTGACAACTGGACCATGACAGGACCACCAAGTAGCCACAGAGTTGATAACTAGACCATGACAGGACCACCAAGTAGCCACAGAGTTGACAACTAGACCTTGACAGGACCACCATGTAGCCACAGAGTTGACAACTGGGCCATGACAGGACCACCAAGTAGCAACAGAGTTGACAACTGGACCATAACAGGACCACCATGTAGCCACAGAGTTGACAACTAGACCTTGACAGGACCACCAAGTAGCCACAGAGTTGACAACTAGACCTTGACAGGACCACCATGTAGCCACAGATTTGACAGCTAGACCATGACAGGACCACCAAGTAGCCACAGAGTTGACAACTAGACCTTGACAGGACCACCAAGTAGCCACAGATTTGACAGCTAGACCATGACAGGACCACCAAGTAGCCACAGAGTTGACAACTAGACCATGACAGGACCACCAAGTAGCCACAGAGTTGACAACTAGACCTTGACAGGACCACCATGTAGCCACAGATTTGACAGCTAGACCATGACAGGACCACCAAGTAGCCACAGAGTTGACAACTAGACCTTGACAGGACCACCATGTAGCCACAGATTTGACAGCTAGACCATGACAGGACCACCAAGTAGCCACAAAGCGGTGCCCCTCCGAAGCCGCATGGTAGTAACTGACACTGAGACTGATTTCCCAAACATAAGTTCTGATTATTCTTGATACAATAGAAGCCTGTAAACAAATTGTGACACCGCATTCGTAAGTTTCTTTGTAATGATGATAGCCCCCAACAACCATGTTAACAGGGCATACTCAACGATAAAGAAATAAAAGGAACCCCATTGCCGTTCCATTGCAATGATTACTACCTTTAAGATAAGCCTTTTCCTCTTCAGTGAACGTAGGGAGACGGGACTTGCCCGGCTCACTCCGGCTGTTGATTCGCTCCTTCAGCTCTTCGGGATAGTCACCGTTGACAAAGATGGGGTTGGTGAAGAGTCCTATTTTGATCTGGAAGTACCGGAGTCGGGCCTCCACGTCAGCTGGGTTAGATGGATCTTTGGGCTGCGACCAGTCACAGTTCAGAGTGATGCCGATCCGGCCTGGCGGGTACATGGGAGAGAGAGAGAGAGAGAGAGAGAGTGAGTTAAAGTATGTTCGACTTTCCAGAAGAGTGAGTAAGTGAGTTTAGTTTTACGCCGCTTTTAGCAATATTCCAGCAATACCAAGGCGGGGGCCACAAGTAATGGGCTTTAAACATTGCACCCATGTGAGGAATCGAACCCAGGTCTTTAACTGCCCTTACAACTAGGCCTCCCCACCGACAGCTTTCCATTATCGAGCCTCCACCTTGCGATGGTAAAGGCCGTATAAAGATTGTAACATTGTTATCTTTACAAAAGCTATATAACTGAGTGTGCAATACAGCCATTATGTCACTGTGGTTTGGGTTAGCCATGGAACAACTATAACAGATTGATATGGCTACCGAAAAGTGTTCTTTGATCGTCGAAAACTCGACATTGTGCCGTCAGGACCTGGGCAATTGTACCCCATCGATTCTCGGCTACTCAAAGCTACCTTTCTGTGTAGGTCTGTACTTCTCGTCGTAGAGTCGGTATGCCTTGCCATGGGCCCGCACGACGTTGTGGGAGACTGGGTAAGGGCCGATGTCCTTGAAGTCAGCTCGGCCCGGCGCGTGCCAGTCGAGGACGTAACCGTGGTCGATGAAGATGTCGGGTTCGTTGAAGGTGATCCAGAACTTGACCTGGAATAGGAGTTTGGGATGCGATGTGATCTGAATGTCTGTGGACCTAGATGGCCCAGTCATCAACGTTTGTTTTGAGGTCATTTCTTCTTCTCATGACTACATAGTTGTTTAACCTCAGTGATTTGCAATAAGCCCACGTTGAAAAGAGCTATGTGGGGTTGCGTCCCTCTGCCGTGCCATCAAGTGGGTCACCCTGATTCCGATTATAGTTGAGTTAGCACCATATCCGTACCTGATTTTAGCAAATGGCAAACGTTTCCGGCGTGCATGAGTCTTGACATTTTCTCCACATCTAGCCGACACACAGCGCTACAGCTGTTCAAGCAGCTCTAAGCTTATACTTACAAAGTTTACTTGTTTATGACGTCTACTAAGGGCGACCTGGCTGAGGCTTGCTCGAGTTACCTCCCCTACACCAGTTACCATTCTCAGCAACCAGCAAGGTATGTGAGCAACATTTTAGATGAATGCGCAGATCAACTAAGCTGGTGGTCAGTATTTAAAATGTTGTATTTTGTTAGATTATAGTTCTACCAAACATGTTTCCATTGTCATAAATCCAAGAAGACCTCCAAAACCAGCCGACAAGTAGTAGTCGTGATCACCATCGTGTCTTTCTAGGAAGTAACGCCTCCATTACATTATGATTAAATCCCAACACCCAATCAATACAGCTGTTTTATTGAGAAAGGCAGCACTCAGGGAGCCAAATTCACGTTTCGAATTAGAGGTTGGAGCACAGGTGGCTATGTTAAAGGACGGCGCTATGATAACAATAGAATTGAGATATGATATCCCATATTATAGAGAATGAGTGAGATATGCCAGCAATATCACGGTGGGGGACACCAGGAATGGGCTCCAAACATGGTACCCCTGTGGGAAATCGAACCCCTCTGGTTTTCAGTGTGATATGATGACGCGTCAACCATTAGCCTTCCCCGCCGTCACTAATAAAGATGACTGACTGACTGAGTTTGTTTTACGCCGCTTTTAGGCAAATCACGGCGACACCAGGAATGGGCTCCAAACATGGTACCCCTGTGGGAATTCGAACCCCTCTGGTTTTCAGTGTGATATGATGACGCGTCAACCATTAGCCTACCCCGCCGTCCCTAATAGAGGATGACTGACTGACTGAGTTTAGTTTTACGCCGCTTTAAGCAATATTCCAGCAACATCACGGCGGGGGACACCAGAAATGGGCTTCACACATTGTACCCATGTGGGGATTCGAACCCGGGTCTTCGGCGTGACGAGCCAACGCTTTAGCCACTAGGCTACCCCGCCGTCCCTAATAGAGGATGAGCGACCACTAGAGGTGAGGTGAGGTAAAATTGGGTTTTACGTCGTGCTTGAGAATATTTCGCTCATATGACGACGTGCATGCCTGTGTATATGTATGTGCGGCTGCTTGTACTAGCCCAGACTTAAGCTGGTTTTATAGTGCTAGCTCACTGAGATACCATGCCGCAGTGAAGCATGAATACCCTACTCAGACACATTATACTGACTCCGAGCCGACCAGTCCTTGTTGTACCCATTAATGCCGAGCGCCAGGCAGGGACCAACAAGTACCATATTTTAACGTCTTTTGGTTTGACGCGGTCGGGAAACGAACCCGCGACCTTCCCTCTCCGGGCGGAAGCTCTAACACTACACCACGGAGGCGGTCGCGACAACTAGAGACCTGTATGGTAACCTTGAAGAGGTTTAAAGTTATGTCTATATTTGCCCTACCAAAAACTGGACAAATGTTGAGATATTTACACATGTACTGTGTGCATCTGTCTTATGCTACAGTATCGTGCTCATATTGAAAACCAACGGTACCCAATGTGTCTTGAAATTATTCTGGCGCATATAAGTAATAACACTAGTTACAGAGTATAAGAACTGACTTGGTTACAGCGGTATTTATTCATGAGTTGTGGGGCGGTGGGGTAGCCTAGTGGTTAAATCGTCCGTTCGTCACGCTGAAGATCCGGGTTCGATTCCCCACATGGGTACAATGTGTGAAGCCCATTCTGGTGTCCCCTGCCGTGATATTGCGGGAATATTGCTGAAAGCGGCGTAAAGCTAAACTCAGTCACTTACTATTCATGAGTTGTAAACCTAAGCGTAGTCATAGCTGTTGCAGCTTGATGCGTCTGCAGCTGTAATCTTACCCGGTCCCCGAATCTGTCGAAGCAAACGTCAGCATACTTGACGAAGTAGGGGATGATGTCCTCACTGGCCCAGCCCCCACCTTCTCCTCCAGGACGAGGGGGAGGTCCCAGTGGTAGAGGGTGACGGACGGTTCTATGCCGGCTTCCAGGAGGGCGTCAATCACACGGTTGTAGAAGGCCACGCCCTTCTCATTCACCTCCCCCGAGATAGGGTCGGGGATGATTCTGGGCCAAGCCAGAGACATCCTGTAGCTGGAAACCTTTAGTGGGAGACACAGACAGGGTGCGAGAATGTACCAGTGGATTAACATTATAGTTGAGGATAAGGGGATGGAGAGAGAATATTAATGTTTTATGGACAATAATTTCTTTTATTTCGGGAATACGTTGCAATACATATTTTCGTATCGTGGTCAAGCAATATACACAAGAATCTGTATCGAAACGTCGCACTCACGAAATTGTTATGCATCAAATTTGACAATATTGTAAACTTCTAAAATGATGTGTTCATTAGAACTGTCAATCCCCTGAAATGTTGATTTTGTTGGATAGAATTGTGCTGACAATTTAACGTTTGATTGCATCCAACCCCGTGGTTTGATGCTCATGATGTCAATCATTGGATTGTATGGTCCAGATTCAAGTATTTACACACCACTGTCATATAACTACAAAGCTACCGAGTGCAGCGTGAAACAAACAACCCTACACAAAGACAATAACATGACAAGATCGAGCCACCAGTGGTCAGTAAATTACTGGAATGCTTTATTTAAATCCTGTCAACGCTACCCAACATGTTTATCGTAGTAACTCAGTCATACCCAGCCAACCACACGCCACCAAATCCCGACTCACCCCCAGGTCCTTCATGAGGGCGATATCCTCCGGGTACTTGTTGTAGCTGTCGCACGCCACGTCACCAGACGCGCCCTTGTCTTGCATCAGGGATGCATCATGTGTGAACGTGTCCCAGATACTCCAGACCCTTGCCTGGACAGGGAACAAGTGAGGTAGGCCAGGTACTGATCATCAACGTGGATTCACAATTCTATAACGGATAAAACACACACCGTGCGGCCCCTCTGTCGGTTACACACACACACCGTCTTGGCCCATTTGTCGGTTACACACACACACACACACACACACACACACACACACACACACACACACACACACACACACACACACACACACACACACACACACACACACACACACACACACACACACACACACACACACACCGTCTTGGCCCATTTGTCGGTTACACAAACACACACACACACACACACACACACACACACACCGTCCTGGCCCTCTGTCGGGTACACACACTGTCTTGGCCCCTCTGTCGGTACACACGCTCATTTGTCGACTACACACACACACACACACACACACACACACACACACACACACCTGTCCCTTTGTACACACCCCTGTCGGACGGTTATACTCCACACACACACACACCGTCCTCATCCCCTTCTGTCGGTTACACACACACAGTCTTGGCCCCTTTCTCAGGTGTATACACACACACACACACACACACACACACACACACACACCACCCGTCATGGCCCCTCTGTCGGTCACACACACACAAACTGTCCTCACACCTTTTCGGGTACGTACACACACACAGACACACAGAGTCTTGACCCCTCCGTCGGTCACACACACACACACACACACACACACACACACACACACACACACCGTCCTGGCCCCTATGTCGGTTATACACACATCATCTTGGTCCCTCTGTCTGTCTGTGTCTCACACACACACACACACACACACACACACACATATGTACACCGTCCTGGTTCCTCTGTCGGTTACATACACATTGTCTTGGCCCCTCTGTCGGTCACACACACACAAACACACACCGTCCTGACCCTCTGTTGTTCATTTTGTCACACACACACTCACACACACACACACACGCACCTCTGTTGGTTACACACCCACACATGCACACCGTCTTGGCCCCTCTGTCGGTTACACACACACCATCCTTGTCCCCCTGTCGGTTACACAAGCACCGTCTTGGCCCCTCTATCGGTTACACACTCACACACACCTTCCTGTCCCCCTGTCGGTTACACAAGCACCGTCTTGGCCCCTCTATCGGTTACACACTCACACACACCATCCTTGTCCCCCTGTCGGTTACACAAGCACCGTCTTGGCCCCTCTATCGGTTACACACTCACACACACCTTCCTGTCCCCCTGTCGGTTACACAAGCACCGTCTTGGCCCCTCTATCGGTTACACACTCACACACACCATCCTTGTCCCCCTGTCGGTTACACAAGCACCGTCTTGGCCCTCTATATCGGCTACATACTCCACACACACCTTCCTGTCCCCTGTCGGTTACACAAGCACCGTCTTGGCCCCTCTATCGGTTACACACACACACACCTTCCTGTCCCCCTGTCGGTTACACAAGCACCATACCTCCTGGCCTCTGTCGGTTACACAAGCACACATGCCACACACCACATACCATCCTGGCCCCCTGTCGGTTACACAAGCACCGTCTTGGCCCCTCTATCGGTTACATACACTCACACACACCATCCTTGTCCCCTGTCGGTTACACAAGCACCGTCTTGGCCTCTATCGGTTACACACTCACACACACCTTCCTGTCCCCTGTCGGTTACACAAGCACCGTCTTGGCCCTCTATCGGTTACACACTCACACACACCTTCCTGTCCCCCTGTCGGTTACACAAGCACCGTCTTGGCCCTCTATCGGTTACCGCACACTCACACACACCTTCCTGTCCCCTGTCGGTTACACAAGCACCGTCTTGGCCCTCTATCGGTTACACACTCACACACACCTTCCTGTCCCCCTGTCGGTTACATAATGGCACCGTCTTGGCCCCTCTACACACACTCACACACACCATCCTGGCCCCCTGTCGGTTACACAAGCACCGTCTTGGCCCCTCTATCGGTTACACACACACCATCCTGGCCCCTGTCGGTTACACAAGCACCGTCTTGGCCCCTCTATCGGTTACACACTCACACACACCATCCTGGCCCCCCTGTCGGTTACACAAGCACCGTCCTGACCCCTCTGTCGGTTGCACACACACACACACCGTTCTGGCCCATTTTTCGGTTACACACACCGTTCTGACCCATCTGTCGGGTACTAACACACACAGTCTTGGACCCCTGTCGGTCACACACACACACAGAGAGAGAGAGAGAGAGAGAGAGAGAGAGAGAGAGAGAGAGAGAGAGAGAGAGAGAGAGAGAGAGAGAGAGAGAGAGAGAGAGAGAGAGAGAGAGAGAGAGAGAGAGAGAGAGAGAGAGTGTGTGTTTTTGGCCCTCTGTCACACACACACACACACACACACACACACCGTCCTGGCCCCTCTGTCGGTTACACACGCACCGTCTTGGCCTCCCTCTGTCACCCCCACCCCCCCAACAGTCTTGGCCACTCTGTCGTCTCTCTCTCTCTCTCACACACACACCGTCCTGGCCCCTCTGTCGGGTGTACACACACACCGTCCTGACCCCTCTGTCGGTTACACACACACCGTCTTGGCCCTCTGTCGGTCACACACACACACCGTCTTGGTCCGTCCACATGATACACACTCCCCAATTGCGTAGATCGATGCTTATGCTGTTGATCATTGGGTTGTCTGGTCCAGACTCGATTACTTACAGATCGCCTAGCACTGTGCAAAGAAAGCGGGAGAAAGTCATATAGTGTTAGAATTAGAAATCCTTGATTTTTGGCGGCCATGTTGGACGCCATCTTGGATTTTTCGGAAGATCGACCCCAAATATCGGGCACCTCCCAAAATATGTTTTATCATTATATTCCCCAGCACTTTGCAAAGTTTCATGCTTTAGTCCGGCATGTAACGATCAACCCCCAAACCGGACCTAAGCCACCGCACGTAGCTGGAATATTGCGTAGTGCGGCGTTAAACACCAACCAACCAGCCAGCCAATGATACACTCACCGTCCTGGTCCCATGCCCCCTCTATCTGGTAAGACGCTGTTGCCGTGCCCCACACAAAGTCGGAGGGGAAGGAGTGCGTGCCTTCAGCCATTTTGATTTTGCAACTCTGAAACACAACGAGGAAATCATAAACAAATGCAAGTCATTACGTGGTATTTGAATGGATAACAAAGCATTTATTTTTGCGTTTATGCTTCCATACATCAACAAAAACCTTGGCCAAGCCCATTAGCGGACTACCTACTGGACGTGTTCAGCATCCCTCGTGTCAAGCCCGTGTCAAGCCCGTGATATGCATAAAATGAGTAAAACCGTCCACTGTTTTTTATAATTACTTTTTAGGTCACACGCATGAGCATTCCATTGTTTAGAATATAATCCACACAAAATAAGACTTGAATATATTTTTCACAACTAAACGTATTTATTTGCCCGATTGGAGTCTGTCTTTTGCTTCGGCGGTTTTCATTCACGAAACACTGAGACTGTTTTCGCCATGAATTCCGATGTGTCAAATGATATTCTGAGATATAGAAATACGGATTATTGTTCTCTGTGATGAAATGGCTGACCTGTATCTGTGGTGTAGAGGACCGAACATTTACCCGCAGAGGTAAGATCGCTTGTTCGAAACCCTGGTCGCAAATGATGGTACTTATTGTTACCTTGCCTGTGCTCGATGTTAAAAATACGTATGTGTGCGAAGTAGAATCAGTCATTCTTTTGGAAATCTATGAATCCCTACTGAAAATAAAGGAATACCGACCTTCTGTATTATGTGTGGTGTCTGGAGAAATAAAAGCGTCCGCACTATGAAAGTCTCACAGTATTGTCAGATGCCGAATACAATAAAACACCGTTGTGTCGAACTGGCGGTTATCTCGAGGTAATATCTTGGTCCATGAGTATTCCTCACTTAGTCATTATTTACGGTTGTGTCGAACTATGGTTGTTCGAGGTAATATCTTGGTCCATGAGTATTCCTTACTTAGTCATTATTTACGGTTGTGTCGAACTATGGTTGTTCGAGGTAATATCTTGGTCCATAAGTATTCCTTACTTAGTCATTATTTACGGTTGTGTCGAACTGATGGTTGTCACGTCGAGGTACTATCTTGGTCCATGAGTATTCCTTACTTAGTCATTATCTACGGTTGTGTCGAACTGACGGTTGTTCGAGGTACTATCTTGGTCCATGAGTATTCCTTACTTAGTCATTATCTACGGTTGTGTCGAACTATGGTTGTTCGAGGTAATATCTTGGTCCATGAGTATTCCTTACTTAGTCATAATCTACGGTTGTGTCGAACTATGGTTGTTCGAGGTAATATCTTGGTCCATGAGTATTCCTTACTTAGTCATAATTTTACGGTTGTGTCGAACTATGGTTGTTCGAGGTAATATCTTGGTCCATGAGTATTCCTTACTTAGTCATAATTTACGGTTGTGGCGAACTATGGTTGTTCGAGGTAATATCTTGGTCCATGAGTATTCCTTACTTAGTCATTATTTACGGTTGTGTCGAACTATGGTTGTTCGAGGTAATATCTTGGTCCATGAGTATTCCTTACTTAGTCATTATTTACGGTTGTGTCGAACTATGGTTGTTCGAGGTAATATCTTGGTCCATGAGTATTCCTTACTTAGTCATTATTTACGGTTGTGTCGAACTATGGTTGTTCGAAGTAATATCTTGGTCCATGAGTATTCCTTAGTTAGTCATAATTAACGGTTGTGTCGAACTATGGTTGTTCGAGGTAATATCTTGGTCCATGAGTATTCCTTACTTAGTCATAATTTACGGTTGTGTCGAACTATGGTTGTTCGAGGTAATATCTTGGTCCATGAGTATTCCTTTCTTAGTCATTATTTACGGTTGTGTCGAACTATGGTTGTTCGAGGTAATATCTTGGTCCATGAGTATTCCTTAGTTAGTCATAATTTACGGTTGTGTCGAACTATGGTTGTTCGAGGTAATATCTTGGTCCATGAGTATTCCTTACTTAGTCATTATTTACGGTTGTGTCGAACTATGGTTGTTCGAGGTAATATCTTGGTCCATGAGTATTCCTTACTTAGTCATTACATCTAGTTGTTGTCGAACTATGGTTGTATCATGGCTATGGTTGTTCCGGTTGTTCGAGGTAATATCTTGGTCCATGAGTATTCCTTACTTAGTCATTATTTACGGTTGTGTCGAACTATGGTTGTTCGAGGTAATATCTTGGTCCATGAGTATTCCTTACTTAGTCATTATTTACGGTTGTGTCGAACTATGGTTGTTCGAGGTAATATCTTGGTCCATGAGTATTCCTTACTTAGTCATTATTTACGGTTGTGTCGAACCTATGGTTGTTCGAGGTACCATCTTGGTCCATGTGTGTTCCATGCTTAGTCATAATTTACGGTTGTGTCGAACTATGGTTGTTCGAGGTAATATCTTGGTCCATGAGTATTCCTTACTTAGTCATAATTTACGGTTGTGTCGAACTATGGTTGTTCGAGGTAATATCTTGGTCCATGAGTATTCCTTACTTAGTCATTATTTACGGTTGTGTCGAACTATGGTTGTTCGAGGTAATCTTATCCTTGGTCCATAAGTGTTCCTTATCTTAGTCATAATTATTTACGGTTGTGTCGAACTATGGTTGTTCGAGGTAATATCTTGGTCCATGAGTATTCCTTACTTAGTCATTATTTACGGTTGTGTCGAACTATGGTTGTTCGAGGTAATATCTTGGTCCATGAGTATTCCTTACTTAGTCATTATCTACGGTTGTGTCGAACTATGGTTGTTCGAGGTAATATCTTGGTCCATGAGTATTCCTTACTTAGTCATTATTCTACGGTTGTGTCGAACTATGGTTGTTCGAGGTAATATCTTGGTCCATGAGTATTCCTTGCTTAGTCATTATTTACGGTTGTGTCGAACTATGGTTGTTCGAGGTAATATCTTGGTCCATGAGTATTCCTTACTTAGTCATTATTTACGGTTGTGTCGAAGCTATGGTTGTTCGAGGTACTATCTTGGTCCATGAGGTCCATACTTAGTCATTACGGTTGTGTCGAACTATGGTTGTTCGAGGTAATATCTTGGTCCATGAGTATTCCTTACTATCATTGTTCTACGGTTGTGTCGAACTATGTTGTCCATGAGGTGTATATTCCATATTCTCCTTAGTCATTATTTACGGTTGTGTCGAACTACGGTTATCTCGTAGAGGCACTATCTTGGTCCATGAGTATTCCTTACTTAGTCATTATCTACGGTTGTGTCGAACTATGGTTGTTCGAGGTACTATCTTGGTCCATGAGTATTCCTTACTTAGTCATTATCTACGGTTGTGTCGAACTATGGTTGTTCGAGGTAATATCTTGGTCCATGAGTATTCCTTACTTAGTCATTATTTACGGTTGTGTCGAACTGATGGTTGTTCGAGGTACTATCTTGGTCCATGAGTATTCCTTACTTAGTCATTATCTACGGTTGTGTCGAACTGACGGTTGTCTCTTCGAGGTACTATCTTGGTCCATGAGTGTCCCTTACTTAGTCATTATCTACGGTTGTGTCGAACTGACGGTTATCACGTCGAGGCACTATCTTGGTCCATGAGTATTCCTTAAATAGTCATTCTCTACGGTTGTGTCGAGCCTATGGTTGTTCGAGGTACCATCTTGGTCCATGTGTGTTCCATGCTTAGTCATAATTTACGGTTGTGTCGAACTATGGTTGTTCGAGGTAATATCTTGGTCCATGAGTATTCCTTACTTAGTCATTATCTACGGTTGTGTCGAACTGATGGTTGTTCGAGGTACTATCTTGGTCCATGAGTATTCCTTACTTAGTCATTATCTACGGTTGTGTCGAACTATGGTTGTTCGAGGTAATATCTTGGTCCATGAGTATTCCTTACTTAGTCATTATTTACGGTTGTGTCGAACACAGACCGCCGCCATATAGCTGGAATATTGCTGAGTGCGGCGTAAAACTAAACTCACTCACTCACTCACTCATTTATTCCAGCAAATCAGGTTACTGTCAGGGGTGAAATCATTGACAATGGGTACAAATGACTAGCGAATGAACAACAGATCTGAGTTCAAACAATCCATGACAATGTTCACATACAAATGGGTGTTAACACAGTAGGCCTTACAAAAAGGGTTAAAATTGACTTGGTACGCGTCTGTTATCCAAGTGAAAGAAGGTGAAAGAAAAATATCTCTTATATACAAATTCCGTTATACGAACATGGCGAGTTTGCGAAAAGTTGGTGCAGTTAACAGGTAATATTTGAAACCTAACTCTGTTCTTGACTCTATCCGGCTGCTACTCCATATAGTAGCCAATTTACATACATGTTATGCTGCATAGAACATATTGTCTGAAATATATTATCAGGTGAGGTGAGGTGAAATTGGGTTTAACGTCGTGCTTGAGAATATTTCGCTCATATGACGACGTGCATGCTTGTGTATGTGTATGTGTATGTGCGGCTGCTTGTACTAGCCCAGACTGAAGCTGGTTTTATAGTGCTAGCCCACTGAGATACCATGCCGCAGTGAAGCATGAATACCCCACTCAGACACATTATACTCACTCCGAGTCGACCAGTCCTTGTTGTACCCATTAATGCCGAGCGCCAAGCGACCAACAAGTACCATATTTTAACGTGTTTTGGTATGACGCGGTCGGAGATCGAACCCGCGACCTTCCGCTCTCCGGGCGGACGCTCTAACCACTACACCACGGAGGCGGTCTATATTATCAGGAATTCTGAGGGAAACAGCTCCATGTATTCACGCTTGACCATTATCCGTATATACAGACTATTCTGACCTACATATCTCTAACTAAGTTGCCTTTACGTGGTCTATATAAACACATTTCCCCAAAGCACTCCAAGTGGGTTAAAGGATCATAATAAAGTTTTAACTTTATTGAATTTTTTAACTTTATGCAGGATGACTCGGTGTAATACGATTCTTTAAACTATAAGCAAATAATACTCCTAAACAACACACTCCTCTAGACACAAAAAACAGCTGGTGATTTATTGAAATTGGCTTCAAGATTGATCTACAGTTTGTCTTATTTGATTCAAGGCGAGCTTCGCTTTGACGGCGTTGAAAGATAGAGTGACCTCCCTTCATTCCGATTTTATGAACGCTCTGCCACGAAAGTCCCACACAGCAACACTTTCTTATCTCTGTTTATTGTATAAGAACGTATTATGATTGGAATGGATAGGCTGAACACGTAATTGTAGTGTGAGAAATAATCAACAACAATTCGTCCAACGAGGAGATGCGCGTTTTCATTCTCATGTGCTAACGGATAATCAATGGTGTGCCGTGCACGTTGAATGAGCCAGTAAGCGAGTGAGCCAATTTTGAAACTTTCATAAACATTCGTAATCATCGCTGGTGGGTTGGAATTGTACCAAAGTGGAGATCGAACCCGGGTTTACGGGGAAACGCATGAATGCATTATTCTCTACACTGTACCACCACCACGGAATAACAGTATATATTAAACTATACGTTATGAACTAGTCCGCTTAAGCAATTACCGGCATGATATGGCTAAATTTGAACTCACTCACTCACTCATAAGCAGTTAACGGGCTTTAAATCATCCAAACCACCTTGGTAGAGACCAGTAAAGGCGCTATTACTTGATTTACTGTCCATCACTAGATTCGATAAAGATAATCTACAAAATATTTGAAAAAGTAGAGTTATACACGACTTTTTATTTGGTGGTGGGGTGGGTGGGTGTGTGTGGGGATGTGGGTGTGTGTGTATGTTTTGGCATGGTCTGATTTCTGTTCAAATATTGAATCATTTCTCAGTATTCGAGACAAAAAGTAATTGGTTCGATAATAAAATATCGATAACACTTGACGACGTCAGATTTGATGTACAGCTTTGGCAATATATCTATTGAATACTACATTGCGACTCGAGTGTTTGTGTACCGAGGTGTTACGCCCTGCGTAGGTCAACATTACACTGATAAAACAAGACATAAGACTATATTTCATTTGGTCAATATTCCACTCGGAACACAGCGTCCTGTTCTAAACAAGTTTATGATGGTAGTTTAAGAGTTACTTTAAAATTGATGCAATATTATAGCGGTACATACCCGGATGGGTATGTATAGTTAAACAAATTGTTGGCAATGTGAAGATATATTTTCTGATTAATATTGACATGAGATTGTTTGACAACCTTCAAAAATACAAGCATGGAATAGTTCTATCCAAAGTATATATCATCTAATTCATTTTATCTAAGAAATTTTAATCACTGTTTACACGTAGGAAAGTATCCCTCACTCCCTGTCCCTGTAATCTGAGACAAGGTTTGACTCTTTCCAGATGTGGTAGGTTTAGACTTGCTGTAGATTTGGGGAGACTTACACATATCCTAAAAACTCAACCACAACGAAAATATGTTACAGAAAATGGTAGATTTTACACTTTTAGATGAATGCCATGCGTTGCTTGCATGTCAGCGTAATTCAAGTCTGAAACTGTAACATCTTTGACTGAAATTATTTTATCTGAAAACTTTGATGTTATAAGTAACACATTGCCCATATCTTAAGTCCAGCGGCTATGGGAAAAATAATCGATTATTTCAATGACAAGCTTAATTGAGGCAACAAAACATTGGCTGTATGTTTGGCTTATTGCTTTTTTTTTTTCAGAAAAAAATGTCGGTCCGTCTAAAAGTCCAAATTCAAAAACGTTTATCGCCCCGGGTATGGCATTCTCTTCCCACAGAGGTTACTTGTCATATCTTCCTACGAACCTCTGTTTTAATACGGCCATATTTCCCGGTTCTCGTAAAATCCCCTAGCGGCAAAAGATCGCAACACGAATTATCTACCTTCTTTCTATCCAATCAGAACACGTGTTACATCGACTTAGATTCAACTTGACTAACACAAGCAAATGTGGGGCCACAAATATCCCCCATCTGCCGGGGGCTTGTGTTGATGTTACACACAAGACGTTTAATGGCTAGCTTGTCCGTTGTCAACGAGGGCGATGGAGACGCCACTGATCCGCCATAACATGACTGAGTTCTGTCTAGAAGAAACGTTTGCGCATCGCGCAGGGGAAGAGGTTTAGTTTTCTCGAAGCATACGGAAATTACCGAGGCCTTGCGAATGATCACTTTTGAAACAACGTCGCTGATTGCACAACTAAATCTGATTGCCTCCAATCACGAGTCTTGAACGCTCACACCATGAAAGGGACGTATTAGAACAGAGGTTACGTAGGAAGATATGACAGGAGTAACCTCTGTGGGAAGAGAATGCGGGTATGGTGGTATCATCCAAGGAGCATAATCAGGAAGAATATTGTTATACGATCCCCGGATCAGGGTATCCTGTCACAACTAGGGCACACAAATTCGACAGCGGATTATGGATGACCAGTCGTACCTGCTTTCAGGATTGTGAGAGCAGTGGAACATTGAGTGAGAACAGTAGCGTAACGGTCGAGGACTTTGAAGGAAGGAGACACTGAGTTAAGGCAGGAATCACAGCCACTTACACCAGCATAGACAACAAAGTGCACAGCGAACCCTGCGCGAGAGGCAAACGCAATCTAACAACCCTTGTTGAGGGAAGTAGGTTAACAGAGGTTCATGATCGCGAATAAGGTCTAGTGGTGAGGGAAGTGTGACTGAAGTGTGGATAGCTGAAACAGTAACACCAAGTGTGATATACCTGTACGGCTGTTTAAAATTGGCTCATTTAACGCTAGTAATGCTAGCACGTGCAGCAGCAGAATTGCACGTGCCCTGACCTGTTGGGGACATGCCCAGGTACAGACCATGTGCTAAGACAACCTTAACTTTATCACTCACTCACACACCCCTCGTGTCTCAAAGGCGGTGAGGTAGCCTAGTGGTTAATGCGTTCGCTCGTCACGCCAAAGACCCGGGTTCGATTCCCCACATGGGTACAATGTGTTAAGCCCATTTCTGGTGTCTCTCGCCGTGATATTGCTGGAATATTGCTAAAACCGGCGTAAAACTAAACTCACTCACTCACTCAAAGTAGAATATCACTTATAAAACAAAGGGATAACATCACCATTTCTTTAAACTGCAGTAGACCTGCTCAAAGAAAATCCCTCTGACAAACACCACAGACTGACAATATGCAAACCTTCAAATCTCCTATTATGCATGTGTACATATACCGAACCGAACAATAACTACACATAAAAAGTATTAATTTACTTGGTTTCTTGAACACATAAAAGCTGGTGATACAACTTACCTTGCCCACGCCTTCTGTTGTTGAATCTGTTATCGTATCGTGACCTATATAACGAGAAGACACTGTCCTTGACCTGTCAACTTGCATCAAAGACCCGTAACTACTATCAGTATCAGGGTCGTGCGAAAATCGTGATCTTTCCCCTTCTCTGTACTCTTCATGAGTGTCAAGACGTTTATGTTAGTGGGCGATATTAATTGTACTATCTGTCATTATCTCCCTTGTCTCTGATAACCTCGTTAAACCGACCCATCACTTATCAACATAAGGCACATGTCGTCAGCGGGGACAGTTGGTAACTGACTTCAAATGAAACCAAAACGCACGAGTGATCTGATAACCTATACAGGTATCGTAACTCCAACACAATCATCTATGTGAATGTGACTCCGATACAGGGCAATGAACTTAAGTATTAAGGTTTCAAATGTGTTGACTTCAATGTGTTCAATTTGTTATGAAAGGAGGGGTATCAGGGGGGTTCGAACCCCCCGAACCCCCAACTTGATCCGCCAAATAAAATCTTCAATGTGATCTTAACTCATTTTCAAAAGGGGGGATCGAACCCTGAAACACACACACACACACACACACACACACACCATCCGCCAATGCAAATACCACTTAAACGCCGCAGTGCTGAAATATTGTTCAGAATGTCGTTTACCCAATTCACAAATACACCCGGCACAGGTATAATCCTTAGTGCATTGTGGAATATGATCTCAACGATATGCAGTTGTTGCAACTCACACATCTTTACAAGGATTTACACCAGTCATTCTACTAAGGGTGTATCGTATTGCAAACCTTAAGGTGTGCTGGTATGTTTTAAAACTGATACTGTTTTTCCGCTTTCGACGTGGCCGGAGTCTGTACGTTGATAAAGTTAACTACTGAAAGCCAGCCAGTGCGATATCATTTGATCTCCTCAACCATGTTCCCAGGGTCCAGCTACCCACAAATGTTGCTTGAAATGAAACAGTAAACGTCAGGCCCTTAAAATTGACAAACAAGTAGTCATCAGAAATGAAAATGAGTTTAAACTAATCTACAACTTTTCCATTGAACAGGGTGCCGTTATACAAAACAACATAAGCGCTACGCCAGTCGTAAGTCTATGTTGAAGTATGGGAGTTACGATCACCTTAGCCCCAATGTTGCTTTGTACGACACACAGGTCTTTATGATTCCGATGTGAGGGAGTTTCCACGTTTCTACAGCAGTTCTATGAACCAAATGTTACCCAGCATCTGCTCTCTGTGATAACCATGCATCCAATATACACCCATCCCTGCCTGGCAATATAAAATTGGCGTGATTGTTGATGCCGATACCACGACCGGAAGATTTGTTTCAGGACATTCAAGAAATTCCACATTAAGAAACTCAAGTACAAAACACTGTCACTTGACTGACGTCAGCTGTAAAAGTGGGCAAAGTATGGTGGTTACTATTGGTGGTTATTATGTATGTATTGTGATTACTATTGGTGGTTGCTATGTATGTATAGTAGTTACTATTGTGCTTATTATGTATGTTTAGTGGTTACTATTGGTGGTTACTATGTATGTATAGTTACTATTGGTATGTTATTATGCTATATAGTGGTTACTATTGGTGGTTATTATGTATGTATAGTGGTTACTATTGGTGGTTATTATGTATGTATAGTGGTTACTATTGGTGGTTATTATGTATGTTTAGTGATTACTATTGGTGGTTACTATGTATGTATAGTGGTTACTATTGGTGGTTGCTATGTATGTATAGTGGTTACTATTGGTGGTTATTATGTATGTATAGTGGTTACTATTGGTGAATTCTAAGTATGCATGGTGGTTACTATTGTTGGTTTCTATGTATGTATAGTGGTTACTATTGGTGGTTACTATGTATGTATAGTGGTTACTATTGGTGGTTATTATGTATGTATAGTGGTTACTATTGGTGGTTATTATGTATGTATAGTGGTTACTATTGGTGGTTATATGTATGCATGGTGGTTATTATTGTTGGTTGCTATGTATGTATAGTAGTTACTATTGGTGGTTACTATGTATTTATAGTGGTTACTATTGGTGGTTATTATGTTTGTATAGTGGTTACTGTTGGTGGTTATTATATATGTATGGTGATTACTATTGGTGGTGATTATGTATGTAAAGGGATTACTATTGTTGGTTACTATGTATGCATAGTGATTGCTTTTGGTGGTTATTATGTAAGTATAGTGGTTACTATTGTTGGTTTACTATGTATGTATAGTGGTTACTATTGGTGGTTACTATGTATGTATAGTGGTTACTATTGTTGGTTTCTATGTATGTATAGTGGTTACTATTGGTGGTTATTATGTATGTATAGTAGTTACTATTGTATAGTGGTTACTATTGGTGGTTATTATGTATGTATAGTGGTTACTATTGGTGGTTATTATGTATGTATAGTGGTTACTATTGGTGGTTATTATGTATGTATAGTGGTTACTATTGGTGGTTATTATGTATGTATAGTGGTTACTATTGTGGTTATTATGTATGTATAGTGGTTACTATTGGTGGTTATTATGTATGTATAGTGGTTACTATTGGTGGTTATTATGTATGTATAGTGGTTACTATTAGTGGTTACTATGTATGTATAGTGGTTACTATTGGTGGTTATTATGTATGTATATAGTGGTTACTACTATTGGTGGATTACTATGTATGTTATATGTGGTTATTGTATGTATAGTGGTTACTATTGGTGGTTATTATGTATGTATAGTGGTTACTATTGGTGGTTATTATGTATGTATGGTAGTGATTACTATTGGTTATTATTGGTTATTATGTATGTAGTGGTTACTATTATGGTGGTTATTATATTGGTGGTTACTATTGGTGTTACTATTGGTGGTTATTATGTACTATGTATAGTGATTACTATTTGGTTATTATGTATGCATTGGTTAGTGGTTACTATTGGTGGTATGTATGTATAGTTACTATTGGTGGTTATTATGTATGTATAGTGGTTGCTATTGGTGGTTATTATGTATGTATAGTGGTTACTATTGGTGGTTATTATGTATGTATAGTGGTTACTATTGTTGGTTACTATGTATGTATAGTGGTTACTATTGGTGGTTATTATGTATGTATAGTGGTTACTGTTGGTGGTTACTATGTATGTATAGTGGTTACTATTGGTGGTTACTATGTATGTATAGTGGTTAGTATTGGTTGTTATTATGTATGTATAGTGGTTACTATTGTTGGTTACTATGTATGTATAGTGGTTACAATTGTTGGTTACTATGTATGTATAGTGGTTACTATAGGTGGATATTATTAGTGCTTCTTCTTGTACAAAGTGAAATATGTGTTGATTACCATTATATTACGGGAATATTAGTGTATTTAATAAAGTGTAAATGCATTTGAATAAGAAACAACACTCAAGCTTCCCCTCCACTAATAACGGAGCCCTGTAACAGAGTGAGGCAGTGTGAACCCGACAATCAGGTGATTTTATGTTATGAGCAGCGACCCGTCGGATTGCAATGACACGTGATCAACCAAATCATCGAGCCGTTACACCCTATCCATCTGGTCGCCTGTTACGATAAAGGGAGCTGGGGACAAATAATGTTACGATAAAGGGTGCTGGGGACAAATAATGTTACGAAAAAGGGAGCTGGGGACAAATAATGTTACGATAAAGGGAGCTGGGGACAAATAATGTTACGATAAAGGGAGCTGGGGACAAATAATGTTACGATAAAGGGTGCTGGGGACAAATAATGTTACGATAAAGGGAGCTGGGGACAAATAATGTTACGATAAAGGGAGCTGGGGACAAATAATGTTACGATAAAGGGAGCTGGGGACAAATAATGTTACGATAAAGGAGCTGGGGACAAATAATGTTACGATAAAGGGAGCTGGGGACAAATAATGTTACGATAAAGGAGCTGGGGACAAATAATGTTACGATAAAGGGAGCTGGGGACAAATAATGTTACGATAAAGGGAGCTGGGGACAAATAATGTTACGATAAAGGAGCTGGGGACAAATAATAATGTTACGATAAAGGGTGCTGGGGACAAATAATGTTACGATAAAGGGTGCTGGGGACAAATAATGTTACGATAAAGGGTGCTGGGGACAAATAATGTTACGATAAAGGGTGCTGGGGACAAATAATCCTACGATAAAGGGTGCTGGGGACAAATAATGTTACGATAAAGGGTGCTGGGGACAAATAATGTTACGATAAAGGGTGCTGGGGACAAATAATCCTACGATAAAGGGTGCTGGGGACAAATAATGTTACGATAAAGGGAGCTGGGGACAAATAATGTTACGATAAAGGGAGCTGGGGACAAATAATGTTACGACAAAGGGTGCTGGGGACAAATAATGTTACGACAAAGGGTGCTGGGGACAAATAATGTTACGATAAAGGGTGCTGGGGACAAATAATGTTACGATAAAGGGTGCTGGGGACAAATAATGTTACGATAAAGGGTGCTGGGGACAAATAATGTTACGATAAAGGGTGCTGGGGACAAATAATGTTACGATAAAGGGTGCTGGGGACAAATAATGTTACGATAAAGGGTGCTGGGGACAAATAATGTTACGATAAAGGGTGCTGGGGACAAATAATGTTACGATAAAGGGTGCTGGGGACAAATAATGTTACGATAAAGGGTGCTGGGGACAAATAATGTTACGATAAAGGGTGCTGGGACAAATAATGTTACGATAAAAGGGTGCTGGGGACAAATAATGTTACGATAAAGGGTGCTGGGGACAAATAATGTTACGATAAAAGGACAAATAATGTTACGATAAAGGGTGCTGGGGACAAATAATGTTACGATAAAGGGTGCTGGGGACAAATAATGTTACGATAAAGGGTGCTGGGGACAAATAATGTTACGATAAAGGGTGCTGGGGACAAATAATGTTACGATAAAGGGTGCTGGGGACAAATAATGTTACGATAAAGGGTGCTGGGGACAATTAATCCTATGATAAAGGGTGCTGGGGACAAATAATGTTACGATAAAGGGTGCTGGGGACAATTAATCCTACGATAAAGGGTGCTGGGGACAAATAATCCTACGATAAAGGGTGCTGGGGACAAATAATCCTACACAGGAGTAGCAGTTGTAGTCAGTGATAAAAGTAGTAGCAGCACCAGCCACTGCCAGTAGCAGTAGTTGAATGATACATAACATGTCGAATAGGGCAAGGCGAGACTACTCGGAAATGAGTGGAACAACAACAGTTATGGCACCCAACACTGAATTACATGGACCACTTTCATAGTTACAATACAACATACTGGACATCGTGTTCGGGTCATTGGGTGAATGTTGTATTACACAGCAACAAACACGTCGGGATGATGAGGACCATGTAAACCAATGGTTCAGCATCATGAGCTACGATACACGTAAGGCGGGATGATGAGGACCATGTAAACCATTGGTTAAGCATCATGAGCTACGATACACGTAAGGCGGGATGATGAGGACCATGTAAACCATTGGTTAAGCATCATGAGCTACGATACAACGGGATTATGAGGACCATGAGGTTAAGCATCAGGACCATGGGATGATGAAGACCCAATGGTTTAGCATCAGGAGCTACGATACACGTAAGGCGGGATGATGAGGACCATGTAAACCAATGGTTTAGCATCATGAGCTACGATACACGTAAGGCGGGATGATGAGGACCATGTAAACCAATGGTTAAGCATCATGAGCTACGATACACGTAAGGCGGGATGATGAGGACCATGCAAACCAATGGTTTAGCATCAGGAGCTACGATACACGTAAGGCGGGATGATGAGGACCATGCAAACCAATGGTTTAGCATCAGGAGCTACGATACACGTAAGGCGGGATGATGAGGACCATGTAAACCATTGGTTAAGCATCATGAGCTACGATACACGTAAGGCGGGATGATGAGGACCATGTAAACCAATGGTTAAGCATCAGGAGCTACGATACACGTAAGGCGGGATGATGAGGACCATGTAAACCAATGGTTTAGCATCAGGAGCTACGATACACGTAAGGCGTGATGATGAGGACCATGTAAACCATTGGTTAAGCATCATGAGCTACGATACAAGGCGGGATGATGAGGACCATGTAAACCAATGGTTAAGCATCATGAGCTACGATACACGTAAGGCGGGATGACTGACTGACTGACTGAGTTTGGTTTTACGCCGCTTTTAGCAATATTCCAGCAACATCACCGTGGGGAACACCAGAAATGGGCTTCACACATTGTACCCATCCGGGGATTCGAACCCGGGTCTTCGACGTGACAAGTCAACGCTTTAACTACTAGGCTACCCCACCGCCCCAAGGCGGGATGATGAGGACCATGTAAGCCAAATGTTAAGCATCATGAGCTACGATACACGTAAGGCGGGATGCGACCACAGACAGGCGTGTATACATACAATCAGGTGTGGATTCTAACCGGGTCCTTCGGCGTGGCGAACGAACAATTAACTGTGGGTTAGTGAGTGAGTTACGATTTACGCCGCTTGTAGCAATATCCCGGCAGTATCACGTTGGGGGACACCAGGAATTGGCTTCACACATTGTACCCATGTGGGGAATCGAACCCGGTTTTCGGCGTGACCAGCGAACGGTTTAACCACTAGGCTACTCCACCGACCCAATTATTCTATAGAACGTCCCTATCGACTACATATAGGTAATGACCAGTGAAGATCCGGGGTAGAACAGGTCTTCAGCAACCCACGTGCTTGCCATAAAAGGCGACTATGCTTGTCGTAAGAGGCGACTAACGGGATCGGGCGGTCAGTTTCGCTGACTTGGTTGACACATGTCATCGGTTCCCAATTGCGCAGATCGATGCTCATGCTATTGATCACTGGGTTGTCTGGTCCAGACTCGATTATTTACAGATCGTCGCCATATAGCTGGGATATTGCTGAGTGCAGCTTAAAACTAAACTCACTCACTCACTCACTCATATATAGGTAATAGTACCCTTGCTAATAAGCATAAAAATATTTTCCTTTTAGTTTGGGGGTTTCCAACTCTATCGATCGCTTGACTGACCAAGGCCTCTTGAAGTGTTTGTATATTGACACAACGATTCAGGCCTCGACCCAGTAGTGAGCATATCTAGCACTCTACAGGAGCCACAATAAAAACAAGTACACGGGCTTTTATAGTTTCTTCTGATTAATCCCGTTCCCCGGATAGAAGTTATTCTCATGTGTATACATTTAATGTGAGCAAGTTGACATCCATACGTATTAGTTACGCTGTATATGATACGGATCGCGACCACGTGGTTGCTAACGTTTAACAGCCATCGCCTGTACGATCAAGTAATGAAACGTAACGCATACTATTCAATATGATTTTATGTATTGGGCTGACAATATCTGAGTCACAATCGTTAATCTCGGCGTGGGATCTAGGCAAGGAAAGGAATTATCGTGACTAGCTCTGGCAACATACGCTGGGAAAATAGATTTAAATGTTAATTTTACGATCTTTTGGAGTGGGCTATAGTGTTTGTTTACATAGTTACGTTATATCAAGAATATTTCATTGTATTTATGTATATAAGTGTGGTATGGATAAATTGAATGAACATCTGTTTCGACATCTGTTTTATTCAAATGAATTACACACAGACGCTCTTGGGTGGGCTATATGTTTGAAATGTAAACTATGGGCATGACATGTCTGTATGTTTTCCATCAGTCTGACATTTGACTAACATTCAAGTAAAAACAATAACAGCTTTTGCTGCCATATATTAATTGACTCATGAAAGAAATCTCCATTAATAGACTCATGAAAGACATCTCCATTAATATGTCTCTAATACACATAAACGAGCTCAGGGAAAAAACAAAATGACATAAACCTATGCTATTCCCATCACAAGTAGATACATGCTTCTTACAATAATTTATAAATATTTGTAGATGGATGTCTACCCTTTCACAAGTATAGATTCAGAGATTGGACACCAAATTTTTCAGTTTTAAAGGCTTTTTTTTATCAGATATCGAATTTTAAACAACTCCATTTAACAAAAGGTCTTCTTATGGAAGCACTTCCAGTTAATACATAATAATAAATATAAACGTTTCAGGCAAACGAAAGTATACGCTTGACAATTGAATTAGGCGATAAACTTACAAATGTATCAAACGTAGATTGGCTGAAAACACCTGCCGAAACAAAGCATAATTCAGGCCCAAAACGGATCTATGCTACCCGCATCAAATGCATCATCATCGAAAAACAGATTATTGTTCGTTTTATCTTTATCAATGATCAAGTATGAGTGTATATTTTACTTTGCCAAGTAGGGGCGGTGGGGTAGCCTCGTGGTTAAAACCTTCGCTCATCACGCAGAAGACCCAGGTTCGATTCCCCACATGGGTACAATGTGTGAAGCCCATCTATGGTGTCCCCCGCCGTGATGTTGCTGGAATATTGCTAAAAGCGGCGTAAAACTATACTCACTCACTCACTTTGCCAAGTAAACCTCAATGACCCCGATGTAAGGGTACATACATGATTGATCAGAGCCGCATCTCACACTGGCGAAATTAATAGCCTAATGTATGACAGGTGTGTACTAAATAAGTGAATTACATATATATATAAACTGCAAAATTAATATATAGTCTCATTGATCCTTAGTGATTGACAGCATAAAGAAAGGGTAAAGCCAATAGACTTTAATGCACACATATTAAACCTCTACCACTGATTACAGTGCGGGGCATTGTCTACTTGGGATCAGCAAGTTGACGCGGGGACAATACATAAAGTATACAGATCTATATAGCCTCAAATTTCCCCCTGCATTATTTCACTTAGCCTCGGAGGTACAAGGAGCACGTTGATGTGTATGCGAACGGGTTTGTTAAACATGATCCTATTCTTGTGTACCCCGATCTGCATAAATAAACAACTCGGCCGGAGCACCAAGCAACGTCTAAAGACGAAGGAGCATTCCATTTGGAAGTCGCCTTTGGCCGTGCTCAATATTGACAGTGCAATGTTGAACGGTAAATCACACTAGTACTCTTGAGATCTTAGACACTCACAAAAGCCTGCTACGAGCAACAAACAGACGACTGCGGATTGCCAGCCGCGATCTCGATTTTTATCGACCCTGAAACGAGACGTAAACGAGATCGAGAGTGAAACTGACAATACTTCATTTGACGTCTGCTACGGCTGAGAGCAGACGACATCTGCTTCCGGCGACGACGATTAGGCAAAATGTCTAACTCGTTTATGTACGAGAAGGTTGTGTCGGTTATATCAAAACCACCCGAGAAACGACAGGATTTTGAAGTTCACACTCTTGTGTCATGGTTTCGGAAAAAGTCTCAAATGTGTTCGCAACTGAAAACAGGTGAGTTGACTCTGCCAATACTGTTGACATGGTCCACGAGGACAGACGTCTTTGGAATTCATTTTCTTGAAATATTTCATGTGTTCTATGTACTTTGGTTGCCATGTTCATAATCATATATTCTGACTAGATATATTATTTTGACATATAGCGAAATTTAGACAATCCCTCATTAATTTTCACATATGACGTGGTGAATATTGATATCTGATATCTTAATATTATTAATGATTTCTTAAACGGTGACAACATGATTGAATTCAGTTGAACACTAAATATTTACCCGGGCATGGGCATTGATGTGACCTTTCGATATTAAATGACTTTTAATATTCAGTTGACATTCATATTCATATTCAGACGCCATGCCATCAACACAAAACAGTTTCTAGAAAGGTTTACAGTAGCGTTTCTTTTGCTCACAGGGCTCATTAGGCGTATGAGTAAATAGTGAAAAAAGCATTTCCTTAATCATTAGAAATCGCTACTAAAATAAAGTTTATCATAATCATGTATTTCTGAATCACTATCTAATAGTTATGTTCGCGAAAGGCTGAGCGCCTCCTGCCCCACCAGTGACACTTTATACAACATATCCAAGATAAATGACATGACAACACACCTGAATAGGGTATTACATCGGACATGTTGTTTTGTCACTGATGCATCAAATTTGGAAATGTCTACTATAAAACGTTTAGAAATGTTAAATATTCAAACAAGTTTGTTGTGGATAAGAAATATATTGTTTATTATAATTAAACGTCAAGAAGGTTACATTACATAGGTTTATGGTACATACCGAATTGATACACATACCCACATACAGAAAACCCTAACAGTAGGAGCACAAGCAAGTCATATTTACGTCAGTCAGTGATAAATTGTCACACTCAAGCCCTTCTATTCAATGTAACACGCAGCGATAAAGCGACGAATGAGAGGAATGATTTATCAGGATCTAACCAGATTCATGTAGTGCATTTTTCAAGGCAATGAAAGCCAGTTATTACTTATGAACCACCTGGCAACAAACTGTTGGTCAATGCATAGTACTGACAGTTTATACTAAATACCACTTCGTTATGAGAGTACGGCTGACGCATGGGTGGGTGGGTCTTTGAGGATTGACGTACGGGAGTAAAAGTAATTCAGTGCATGTTTTATGTCGTATTTAAAATGATCAAAGACAAGTGTAAGTGTGTACAAAGTCGGGGGAACCGAATACAGGTGACAATAACAAGTGCGCTTTCTCATAGCTCATGATATAGACAGGTATGAATGGAGAGCATACAGTTTGTCCATGCAAGGAATGCACGCTATTGTTGCAGTGTACTAGTCACAGTGGGAGTGAAAATGTTGGAATATACAATGCATATGAACAAGGGCTATTACAGTTTGTGACACGGGAACGTGTGTATGTACACATATATGTGTAACTCATGAAATGTTATCAATATTTAAAAGGTGGAGGATGGTGTTTTTGAATATGACAATAACTATAAGACGTGTAGATAGTATATCATTTGTATCCATGTGATATATTATAAACCGTGTTACGTTAGTGTAGCGGCATTCAAATTTCCGAGTAATGGGATTCGAACCCCAGACCATCAGATCCGAAGTCCGATGTCTCGTCCATAACCCTGTCACTGAGATGACAACGTAAGGATAAAATCTGTGAAATGACACCACGCCCTTCTATATTAGGATCTGTTTCATTTCCATACAGTAAGTATATATGTTAAAAGATCGAGAATAATTGACACTGATTTACAGTTAATAGTGGAAACCCTTTTTACGACCGTACGTCCAGGCTCTTCAAAATCAAGGCGATCTAAGTTTGCACAACTATATGTGGTAATAGTTAAAATTCTAACATATGCACATTTCTTGGTAATCCTGTATCGAGTGGGCAGGTTCGCTGATTTGGCTGACACATGTCATCGCATCCCAATTGCGTCGATTGATGCTCATGCTGGTGATCTGTGAATATTTGAGTCACGACCAGGCAAGGCGCCGTACTTATCTGTATAGAGGTGGGTCCCTTTAGGTCAGAAAGGGCCAGAAACCATTGATCGTGGGTCTCGAATTCCGATTTTCATAATTGATTATTTTTCTCGGTACGTCACCATACCCCTGATCGTAGGTTGCACAGGTGCCTGCTTTACTTCGCTCTTCTCAGCTGACACCCTGTGATATTACTGAAATTCTGTTCCAAGAGGCGTGATAACTGAGAAAACTGGCTGATTGATTGTTGGGTAAAGCTTTCACAACGCTGATTACATTATCGCAGAAACGGCACAATGTAGCAATTATCTGCCTCAAATTGTTCTTCACCATGAACAATAATTTGGTTTGCAGAATGAATGACAATTATAAACTAATTTTGTACTCAGGGGTACGAATAATCTTTTACTTCCGATTTAATCCCATTCACGTCTTTAACTCCCTTCTTCAACGCCATAATTCCCCAATGTCGAAATAGAATTACTTTTGAGTAATGAACATTACGCTACATGAGGTAAATATTGGACCATAATCTTAATAATGAGCAGTTTTTTTCCTGGAAAAAGAAATTGAGAACCAGTGTTAGCTTGTGGATTTTTTACACATCATATCACTGAGTACCTCACAACAAGCGATTGTTTTCATTTTTCAGCAGATTAAACTTTTGTTGTTTTTTTGTTTTGGCCAGATCCAATTTTCAAGTGAATACTTTTTTTGTCCTGCAGTTTATACACACCCTGTAACTTTTGTGTTAGACAATTAATAAAAATATTGAAAAGACATTATTTCACGATGAAAATAATGTTTGTTTCGATGTTATGATAAGACGTTACGCAGCCAACACAATGTCAGCAAACAATGAAAAGAAAAAAAGTGGACATGGATTAGCTAACAGTGAAAATTATTGAAGGATAATTACTTTTTATCCATTCCCCTGAGCTTAATATCGTATAAAACATAATAATTTTACCAATGCATTTTGTGAAATATGGTTATGACAGTTTTAGTGACAAGCTGGCAGTAAATTGGGTCTAATGACTGAAAGATTCGGCTGAACAAAACTCCAAATCAATTAATCAAACTTAGTTTCAAACTTCATCACAACGTAATTCATTAGATGATAAATTTGGAAGTCAAGGTACAGACAAACCAGGACATCTTGCCAAACGTTCTGCAAATAACTAATAACATCAAACCTAAATTCTGCGGTATGAAGTATAGGACGCCTTGGTAGAACTAATAAAATTTCCTGTGACATAAATGATACATTGGACGATCGATACCCACACAATGTAATATCGAAGAATGTTCTGTCGAAAATATACTAGATCAAAGGTCTTCTATGAAACATGTCAGCTTGATGGATTCCGTAATTTTGAAACTGTCTTTAATTCAGTTTAAGAAACGTTAGGTCCCTCTGTTTATACGACAGGACACACCCGCGTCCAGTCAGTCGATTACAACCATATGGTCCTAACTTGTACCGCTATAACTGGAAGCTAATAAAAACTAACGGTAAACGTTAATCAATGTTTCTCGCCTCAAGCAGTTCCTAAAACTGCTTCCACGTATTGATCAGCGCCACCCGTCAACTGCCCATCCATTCTGGAGAGAAGGACCTGTCAGGGTAGTGGAGTGTTTCGGTGACGAGGCAAACTTTGTCTGAATCAACACAGGTTCGTGAGTTAAACACCCTGTCCAGTGAGTCAGTGATAGAAGAATAGGTACGTCCCATTCTGCACCGTTATTGCTATATGACGGCAACCTGTGACTACTCGAATATGAACCAAACAAATCAGGGGTTAAAAGCCTGGGTTTTAGAAAAAAATCTTAAATTGAGAATCAGTGGTCTCCCGTTTCTGCCTCTGTACAACAACTGCCCAGTAATGACCATTGTCATGGTAAACTAGTTTAGTTGTGCAAGTTAAAGCCTTCAAAGAGCCTCGTGGTGGACATGCTGATGACTTATCGAAAACTGATGCTTCTGTGACAAAATGTTGTCCGATGAATTTCCCTAGTTTGATTTGTACCATATGTTCAGTTGACTTGCCTTGCCAACCGGTGGAACAAAGCTCACCTGGAATCATCACTATGTCATAGTGATTCACAAACACATGCCTATTACAGTGTGACCGCCTCCGTGGTGTAGTGGTTAGAGCGTCCGCCCGGAGAGCGGAAGGTCGCGGGTTCGATCCCCGACCGCGTCATACCAACAGACGTTAAAACATGGTACTTGTTGGTCCCTGCCTGGCGCTCGGCATTAATGGGTACAACAAGGACTGGTCGGCTCGGAGTCAGTATAATGTGTCTGAGTGGGGTATTCATGCTTCACTGCGGCATGGTATCTCAGTGGGCTAGCACTATACAACCAGCTGAGTCTGGGCTAGTACAAGCAGCCGCACATACACATACACACGCATGCACGTCGTCATATCAGCGAAATATTCTCAAGTACGACGTTAACCCAATTTCACCTCACCTCACCTCACCTATTACAGGGATCCATTAAAACACATTTGACCACCATGTTGCCTTCTTGGCCAAATGGAATCGACTCTATATTCTCAAGCGTTGACGTTTCGTAGTAACACGCTATAGTGCAGTCGACTCGCATTCAGCAGAGATTTTGATATGCTTTTGGAAAGGATATTGTCTCTGTTTTTGATCAAATCACAAATATTTATCTTTATAACTGGATAAAGTATGACAATTACTGGGTGATATGAAGCATTTGTAACGACATGATTTGTTTTCCAAGTTTTGGATAAGCATAGTTCAAATGATGACAACCCTCCGTCAGTTTCTCATAAGACAGCTATCGTTATGTAGACTACAATAATAGGCTGAGGAGAGTCATGTTCAGAATGCGATGTGACTTATCTTACTGGCACAGATAATAAATATATGGCTTTACTGAATGTACAAAAGACAGGTATACAGAAGTTCGATATTTACAACGACATTAATAAAAACGAAAGATAGTATAAATG